CGCCCGCGAGAGGTCCTGCAAGCGCGAGTTGGCCGTACGGGTGCGAGCAGCGGTCAGGAGGTGGTCACGGGCAGAGCGGAGGGTACGTGGAGGGGCATATTTATGGATCAGTGAAGAGATATAAGCGGGGCTAGAACTGTTCAGTGCTTTAAATGTATGGGTTAGCACTTTGAATTGACTCCTATAGCATACAGAGAGCCAATGTAAGGACCGGCAGAGGGGTGAGGTGTGAGAGGACCGACTAGAGAGGAACATCAGTCTAGCTGCAGCATTCATTACAGACTGTAGCGGGGCAATACGGCTTTTGGGGAGACCAATCAGGAGAGGGTTACAGTAATCCATGCGGGAAATTACTAGAGCATGGACAAGCTCCTTGGTAGCATCTTGCGTAAGAAAGGGGCGAATGCGGGCTATGTTTTTGAGTTGGAACCTACAGGACTTGGCAACAAACTGGATGTGAGACTCGAAGGTGAGACCAGAGTCAAGTATGACGCCAAGACAGCGCGCTTGCAGGGATGGACTTATGTGGATATCACTGACTTGAAGGGAGAGCGAGAGAGGAGGATCAGTATTAGGAGGAGGAAAGACAAGGAGTTCAGTTTTAGAGAGGTTAAGTTTCAGAAAGCGTGAAGACATCCAGTCAGAGATGGAAGAAAGGCAAGCAGTGACACGTTGCAGGACAGCAGGGGAGAGGTCCGGGGAGGAGAGGTATATCTGAGTGTCATCAGCGTACAGGTGGTAGTGGAATCCAAAAGAGGCAATCAGTTTACCAAGAGAGGCGGTATAAAGAGAAAATAGAAGGGGACCAAGGACAGACCCTTGGGGAACTCCAACCGAGACAGGACGAGTGGAGGAGGTATCCTTGGAAAAGGAGACACTGAATGAGCGTTGGGAGAGATAGGAGGAAAACCAAGAGAGGACAGAGTCACAGAGACCGAGCGATTGAAGAGTTTGAAGGAGGAGAGCATGATCAACGGTGTCAAAGGCAGCAGAGAGGTCAAGGAGAATTAATATGGAGTAATGACCTTTGGATTTAGTGGAGATTAGGTCATTAGTCACTTTGATAAGAGCAGTCTCAGTAGAGTGGAGAGGGCGGAAGCCAGACTGAAGAGGGTCAAGGAGAGAGTTGGAATTAAGGAAGCGGGACACACGGGTAAAGACAAGCCTTTCCAAAAGCTTTGATGAGAAAGGGAGCAGGGATATGGGACGATAGTTAGAAGGGGAGGATGGGTCAAGAGATGTTTTTTCAGGATAGGTATTACAGTGGCATGTTTAAGGTCAGCAGGAACAGTGCCAGAAGAGAGAGAGCAGTTAAAGATGTGTGTTAGGGTAGGCACAAGACAAGGGGAGAGAGATCTGATGAGGTGAGATGGGACAGGATCGAGCGGGCAAGTGGTGGGGCGAGAGGAATGGCAGCCGATTCCCGGATCTGCTCGCTGCTTTTTGGAGCGGCGCCCCATGTTCCCTGGACCCAGTGGAGCTCGGCTTTGGCTTTGTATGTGCCCAGTGGGTCGGTATATTTGCCGTTTAATCAGCCGGCGGCTTGGAGCTTGCTGAGGATGCGACTGTCTCGCATGGGCGCTGGCTCTGCCCCCCTCCTTTTATATGTTTTTTTAAAAGTTACTAAATATATTCTTTATTTCCCTTTCCTGTGTCTAGTATTGGGTTCTTGAATTCTTTTACATATCTTTAGGTTTACTTCAGTTTCTCTAAACTTGCACGCTGCCTGTTACTGGTTGTTTTCTGTTTGGAATATTTCTTACCTTACAGATGCACTGTCATGACCACATCTAGCTTTTTAACCCACCCCTCCCGACTCCACTACATTTTATTATCCAAACAAATACGTACAATGATAGGTAGGTCACACTTCTGAATATGTCTGAAAAAGATATGCACAAAACACAAAATAGTGTAATAAAGTCTATATAAATGAGTAGTAGAGAATCTGAGTGAAGTATTCACAAACCTAGAGCCAAATATATGTGGCTCTCATAGATATCGCCTTGGGACTATTTCAAGGATGTCCCCCTCCTATTACCACGTGGCTGGATAGCTGTTCCCACTTGACTTGAAGGGATTCCAAAGAAGATCCAATGTGGGATAATTAAACAAAGTTGTTTAGTCACAAAAATTATAAAAAATATAGTAAAAAAACAAACAATAGTAAAATACCATACAAATTTAATAAAATAAGTAAACAAAAATCTATAGCTATAGTGCTATAGAAATAAGTCCTGCCAATTGGCCTTTGGACCTGGCTGAGGGAAAGAGGTTATCACCTACATGGCCCTGTCCCCTTAGCATAAAAACACCCCCAAAGCATAATGTTTCCACCTCCATGTTCGACGGTGGGGATGGTGTTCTTGGGGTCATAGGCAGCATTCCACCTCCTCCAAACACGGCGAGTTGAGTTGATGCCAAAGAGCTTGATTATTGTCTCATCTGACCACAACACTTTCACCCAGTACTCCTCTGAATCATTCATATGTTCATTGACAAACTTGAGACGGGCCTGAACATGTGCTTTCTTGAGCAGGGGGACCTTGTGGACGCTGCAGGATTTCAGTCCTTCACGGGGTAGTATGTTACCAATTGTTTTCTTGGTGACTATGGTCCCAGCTGCCTTGAGATCATTAACAAGATCCTCCCGTGTAGTTCTGGGCTGATTCCTCACCGTTCTCATGATCATTGAAATTCCATGAAGTGAGATCTTGTATAAAGCACAAGACCAAGGGAGACTGACAGTTATTTTGTGTTTCTTCCATTTGCGAATAATCGCACCAACTGTTGTCACCTTCTCACCAAGCTGCTTAGTGATGATCTTGTAGCCCATTCCAGTCTTGTGTAGGTCTACAATCTTGTCCCTGACATCCTTGGACAGCTCTTTGGTCTTGGCCATGGTGGAGAGCAGTGGCGTACTAAGGGGGGGCGATCCGCCCCGGGTGCTACTCACTAGGGGGGTGCCCGGGGCAAACTGCAATGCGCCTCCTGCGCCCATTGCCGAGACCGGTCTGCAGCTCTGCAGTGTGTAGAGCTGCAGACCATGTGATAGGATCCTGACAATATCCTTCTTTAGAACAGGTGCCCAAAATTGCACAGCATATTCAAGGTATGGTCTTACCAGCGATTTATAAAGCGACAAAATTATATTTTCATCCTGATAATTTATGCCTGTATTTATACCAAAACCTTACTGGCCTTAGCAACTGCAGATTGACATTGCATATTGTTGCCTTATTTGTTGTCTTTAACAATTCCCAAATCCTTCTCGTGTGTGGTTATCCCTAATTCACTACCATTTAGGGTGTAAGTTGCTTGTGCATTCTTGACCCCGAAGTGCATAACTTTGCATTTCTCTACATTAAATGTCATCTGCCATTTTACTGCCCAGTTCCCCAATCTATGTAAATCCCTCTGCAGCAAAGAAATATCCTGCAGCAAAGCAATATCCTGCTCACATTTTTATTTTTTTTAATAAAATTTTATTATTGCCGTGCATAGAGTGATTACATACAAGCCTGAGGTACCCCAACGGCAGTCCTCCGGCTACATATCAAGCTTTACATTCAGGGTATTTGGATAAACATGCACAATTTTTAACGGTTACAATGGCAAACTAGAATTTGCTTGAAAGCTTGTCTTTGAACGTACATTAACTTCGCTATACTATCTAAGCATAATATTATTCAGCTATATCAAGGGTTAACTAAGCATTAAACCACTGGAAACAGGTTTTATCAAAAATTGCATTTCAATTATAGGTTGGTGTTGGCATTGGCACAGGAGCACAGTCAGCATGGGATGTGCAGTGGTTATCAGGGTCTGGGTATTTAGCTATTGTGGTGTATAGGGACGTTCCAGGTGAACTATACCTTGTGCGACGGCATAGTGGGTACTTCAGCCTATGCCCAGTGTTGGTAAGTCCCGGTTGTTGACGCTGCAAGTCCCTCCTTTGTTGCTTTTGGGCATGGTGTCTCTGCTTTGTGGATCGGCTCCTGTTGTGCTCCGTGGGGTGTGCATCCGCTCAGCCACCTTTTTTGCAGCAATGGTTGTAAAGCGTTGGGTCGTGCTGTACTGCATGTCGCAGTTTTGGTCGGGTGGGGTGCTCTTGTGCGCTGCTTGGTTAGTGGTTCCGCTTTTGTTTGTCGTCGAGTGGAAGCGTGCGCTCGAGAAACATGTCGCCCATTCCCGCCTTGAGGATCTCAGGTACCTGCTCCACCGCACGGCCTCCTTGGATGCTCGAGGTATGTGCCTGTAATAGCAGCGTCGCGCTGTGGGTCTGATCCATTAGGTCACTGTTAGTTCTGCTTGGTGATAAGTTGCCCCTTTGCTATGCATTGCGTCCCTGAGAATTGCGCAGAGCTGGTCAAAAAAAAACCAAAGTTGTTGTGGGTGGCTGGGTGCAGGCGCTCTGCTCCTTAGGACCACGCTGGGCGGCCATTTTGACTCTGCCCTGGTGACCTGGTGCCCCTGTATGCCTTGCACCTGGCAGGTCTGCTCTTTGGTTTGATCGATTAGTCCAGTGGGGACCGGGATGTCCCCCACCGGTCCAGAGGGGGGGGGGGGAGTATGTGCTGAGGAAGAGTCACTTGAGGGCTGTTGTGCCGGGGAGAGCGGACGCCTCCAGCCCCAGTAGGCCCCATGTGGTTCTCAGCTCTCCCGGATCCGACGGGCCCCAGGGTGGTATCATTTGGTTCAGGGGGCATCCCCTTGGGCTGTATCGCCGTCGTTTTTGTCCTGGGTTCTGCCCGCCAGGCAGGAGCTCGTGCCAGGCATGTCCGCACGGCTTGGTGGTCAGGCTCCACCCCTCTGCTCACATTTTTTTACTTTACAAAGTTTTGTGTCATCTGCAAACACTGAAACATGACTTTCAATGCCTATTGCTAGTTCATTTATAACTGTTAAATAGAAGCCATCCCAAAACAGAACCATGAGGGACACCACTTACCACTTTTGTCCAGCCTGAAAATCTACCATTAATGACAACTCGTTTTACTCTATCCTTAAAGGGACACCGTAGGCACTGTATCTGATTCATCTCATTAAACTGGTTATAGTGTCTGGAGTCCCCTGGTACCATCATTTCTTTCAGCATTAAACAGTTTTTAATGTTGTAATGTTTTAATGCTAAATAAGAGTCCACGGCAGTCTATCCCCTCTGTGCTGCTTTCGCTAATAAGGAAGTATTACCCCGAGAGGCAATGGGCAGCTGTGATTGGCTGAGAGTGTCAGCTGACTGCTTTTAACCTGTCAGAGCTCCAACTGACGGTATGAATGGGTATGACAACAAGGAAGTGTGTAATCTCTGCCTTTGCTACACATACAGAAGGGGCCGGACTGTGGGTGGCCAGGGACTCTTATTTTGTAGCATACTGCACAAACATGGTGCAACACTGAATGGAGGGACAGTGCCAGGCCACTCCAGGCACTATAACCAATTCAAAGAGACAAAGTGGTTATAGTGACTACAGTGTCCCTTTAAGCCAATGTTCTACCCAAGAACAAGAATATTCATCTAGACCAATTTCTTTTAGTTTGAAGACTAACCTATTGTGAGGAACCATATCAAATGCCTTGGCAAAATCCAAGTAGATCACATCCACTGCAACACCCTGATCTATACTTCTACTTCTTTGTAGAATATAATTAGGTTAGTTTGACATGACCTATCTTTCATAAAACCATGCTGATTATTGCTAATAACAAATTTCTTTCCAATGAATTCCTGAATATTATCATTTATAGCCCTTCAAATATTTTCCCAGTCCCAGAAGTTAAGTTCACAGGTCTATAATTTCCAGGCAAGGATTTTGAACCTTTTTTAAATATAGGAACAACATCTGCATTCCTCCAATCCTCTGGTACAATGCCAGAAAAAAAAAGAATCTTGAAAGATTAAATACAGAGGTTCACTGATTTCCCCACCAGCTCCTTAAGTACTTGTGGTTGAATACTGTCAGGCCCAGGAGCTTTATTAACATTAATTCTCTTTAACTGCTGTAGCATCTTGTCTCGAGTCATCCAATCACAAGTTAGCTGCAAGTTTTTTTTTCAGCAACCATGTGCACATCTCTTGCCATAGGATCCTCATTGATATATACTGAAGAGAAATAGTTATTTCAAATTTCTGACTTTTCCTGGTCTTCATTAACTAATAGACCCATCTCTGTTTCCAGTGTACCTAAACTTTAATTTTATTTTTTTAAATTGATGTGCTTGAAAAGAAATTTTGGGGTTGGTTTTGCATTCTTTGACAATCAATTTTTCATTTTCTAATTTAGCCACTTGAATTGCCTTTTTGCAAGCATTATTGGCTTCCTTATATCTTATATAGGATGCCTCTGACTTGTCCAGTTTAAATGCGTTAAATGCCCTTTTCTTATTTTAAATTCTTGTTTTACTTCTCTACTAAGCCACATTGGTTTCAATTTGTTTCTTTTATATGTATTACTCAATGATACATACTGAGAAATGTACCTTTCTAATATTTGTTTGAATAGTTTTATTTATCCTAATTTTTGTCACTAAGGAGTTTATGTCAGTCCATATGTTGTAGAGCGGCCCTAATCTTATTGAAATTGGCTTTTTAAAAATTATAAGTTTTAGTATACCTCATGTGCTTTTGCTTTTTTTTTGTTTATTTCAAAGAATGCCATATTGTGATCACTATTTCCCAAATCTCCCCTACTTGAATGTTGGTCAAAAGATCAACATTGTTTGTTAAAACGAGATCCAGACAACCATCGATTCTAGTTGGTTCTTGTACCAGTTGTGACATAAAGGTGTCATTTTACACATTCAAAAACCTGATTCCCCTTGCTGAAGTACTAGTCACTCTATCCCAATGTATGTCCAGGTAATTCAAATCTCCAATAATTAACATGTTACCCCCTGATTTGCAGCTTTCCCAATTTGCTCTAACAGCTGTTCTTCCTCATTAATATTTACATTAGTTGGTTTCTAACATATCCCAACCAATAATTGATTTCCCTTTGTTTGCCACAAGCAAATATCTACCCATAAAGCTTCCACATTTTCGTCACACTCCACATGCCTAAGATTTGACTTTAACTCATGGTTGACATACAGACATACCCCACCACCCTTCTTGTTTTTCCTATCCTTCCTAAATAACGTGTACTCATTTAAGTTAACTGCCAATTCATGTGTCTCATCCCACCATGTTTCAGTTATGCCTATTATATCATATTGTTTAGTGCATGCTATTGCCTCTAGTTCCCCCATTTTGCTATATAGGCTCCTTCCATTAGTAAACATACATTTATTATTATGAGTACTTTTTGTGAATTTGTATCAATATTACATACCTTCTCTGTTCTGAGCTTTCCCCTCTCCATTCTCCACACCCCTTATACTGAGCTAAAGCCTATCTCCTTCCTATCCTATCTCCATCTTCTAGATTGCTTTGACCCTCCCCCCCACTACTAGTTTAAAATATCCTCCAACCTTCTAGCCATCCTATCCCCCAGCACAGCAGACCCTCTTCCATTTAGGTGCAATCCATCACGGCTATACAGGTTGAACTATAAGCGCAAAATCGTCCCAGTGCTCTAAAAAACAAAAACCCTCTTGCAAGGCATTCCAGGGAACAGGCTTATCATACAGTATATACCAGGTTGTTGTGTGGGATGTTGGCTATATGACTGTAACGGCACCCCCAGGCATAAAAGGGCTAAACCGCCGTTTAGTAGATCTTCCCTTCCAGAGACACAGGCACAGCTACTGCAGAACACCAAATTCCCGAACTGGATACAAGGGAATGCTCCATACTCCCGAACTGCATACAAGGGAATGCTCCAAACTCCCAAACTGCATACAAAGTAGCACTCCAAACTCCCGAACTGGAACCTCACGAATAGCTGCTAGCAGACGAACAGGAAAAGCACCCAAGCGGCTTACACTCCTGGCAATCAGTCTCTAACAGAATAAAGTAAATCTCCCCAAAGACGAGACAGAGCTCCGTGTTGAGGGTCAATCAGTGGTCTGGTTTATTGAGGGCTACCTGCCCAGTATTTATGCAGGTCTCCCAGCTGGTGGACACTCCCCTAGGGGACCAAATGGAAGACTGTGACAAAGGACAGACATGAACCAATGACAGACACACAGAAGTAAAACATTCCCACAATGCATCCTAATTTCCCTCCCTCTGTCCTGGAGATAATTGGGAAGTAATCCAATTATCTCCCAGGACAGAGGCAAAACTCCATTAACCACATGGCAGTAAAAGACAGTAAAAATGTATAAAGTTACAACTGTTGCACAAAACATATACATTCTACATATCCCCAGATAGCTTAGATCTGAGCGCACATTATTACCGGATGGTGCTCAGATCACATACGTACAGTTCAATCGCCACGGAGCCAAAGTCTTTCCCGTAGTCTTTCGTTACACGAATAGGCTCCATGGCATGGCTATCTGGGGTAATGCTGTTCATATGGTTAAACTACCGAATGAACAGGCATCCGGTTAAATGACGGAATGCAGATGCAAGGAAGCTGACGGCTCAGCGGTGTTCGCGCAAATAAGTGTCCGTTTCCAGTTCCATAGTTTGGGCGCTGAACACCGCTGGCCGTTCGGGACTTTAAAATGGCCGCCGCCACGTGTTCGGCAAACGAACAAAGGCCACCCAGCATTCGTCAATTAAGCTGCGGTTAACCGCAGCTTCTGGGAGGTAAATTGCCGACACACGCCCAATACAGGTGGTCCAGTCATTGGGTTGTTTGTTCGGTAGATTGAATCTACTGAACGCTGGGCAGAAAGGCACGAACAAGCCTTTTCTGCAAGGGAAAAGAAGGCTTTTTAACATGGGGCCATAATCCAGGGGATACAGGCGAGCAACCAGGCTTCTCCAATGCTTCGTGGCGAGGTTGGTTTTGCCACAATGACTATTTGTGTTCCCCCTATGTCTCCACAGCTCTGCTTTCCATTAGAGTAGGGTCCAGACATAGGCTGAATCTGCTGATAAGATCCAAGGAGTCCAGATTGTCATATACATTTGCGTTTTGTGAGCATGGTGAGCTCCGCTAAGAAAACAGAGCTTCTTCATGCGTTTAAACCATAGGGCCTCAGGAGGAGGAACCTTCTGCCTCCAGCACTGGGGAATCAGTGAGAATTTTTTTCTAGATCGAAGATTGGGATTTAGTGTGGTGTAAGAAGAACAGTGCTGGTTTCAGGGGTGGGTGGGGTTATCTGAAAATTTCTGTATAATTTTGTGGATAGTGGCCTATTAGTCGAATCAAGGGCAATCCCACCAGATGTGGATCAATGAACCAGTTCCCCGTCTACGTAGGTTTATTTTGAAACGTACAGTATATATATATAAAAAAAACAGCATCCCCCTCTACTAAACTACAGTCCCCCCCCATATACTATATCCCAGTCCTCCTCATATACTAAATCCGATCCCTCCCCCCACTAAATCCCAGCACCCCCCTCTAGCCAACAAGCAGACTCCACTCACATTGCCGCTGCCAGTATGCGACTCTGGCCTCTGCTATACCACAAATAGCGCCGTCCGCACCCTGTGCCAAAGCGGATCCTCCTGCTACTTCTTGAAACCTTGTGAAGGTGGAGCACTTTGACATCACTTCGGAATGTGACGTGGCGTTGCATGCCTCCATGCATCTCCAGGTACTCCACTGTCCATCCGCGGCCATCACAACACTGACCGACACACACACACTCACTGACAGACACACATTTACACATTCTTGCACACACTCACATCATTCCTGGGAGTCCAGTGGGGATCACTGCTCCCTCGCACGCAGTTTGTGATGCCGGAATATGACATCATATACCGACACCCGGCATCACTACAGACGGCGCGCGAGGGAGCAGGAAGACTGAGCTCCCTCGCTGCCGCCAGCGTCCTGCTTCCTCTCCGGTCGGGTACATTTTAGCAGAGTAGGCACTTGCAATGTGGAGAAAGCAGGTGCCTACTCTGCTTTAACACCAAGCATGTACTCACAGCTCGCCGGGCCGCAAAGATGTTCATTGTGGGCCGCATGCCAGGAGTTTTGACATGCTTGGCGTAAAAGAACTGAGGGGATTATGTAACAGTAGGCCTGCAACTTATATGCAGTTTTTTTTGTTTTCCGCTTTAAACCGCGCAATGGAGGGTTAGATTACAAATTTTCGACCATTGTGTGGGTATGAGTGATATCCTTAAGGCGACTTACCATTTCCCCATGAAGCTCAGGGGTGGCATCCTTCTCAGTTTCATAAGCATTTTGTATAACAACAAGATACCCTTCTCCAGTGGGTCCTGATCTATGCAGACCATTTCAAAGTCTGTGCTCTTCCTTGTTAAATATTTTTGAGGGATGGAAGTGAGTAACTGTGTGACTTGTCTACAGTGAAAGTGATGCATAAAGTTTGGCGTAGTTGAGGTTTGTAGGTTTTCTAGAGGTTTGATTGAAACACATAATGAATCCCTACACACACAATGCTTCCATAAAAATTCAAACACATGGAGAAATACATAATGCATGCCTAAAAAGACTGAATTTCATAGACACGTCTCTTCTCAGCCTATTTAAGTATGTAAATTTACAGACACACATAGAAGCACACAACACAAGTGTGTGTAATCAGGGATGGGTATTTTGGGTAGATTCTAGGGTTGGCCCTGGGAGCCCAGGCCTTGAGCTTTGTAAAGGGCCTCAATATGTATGATGGCAGGCCTTAAAAGAACACTTTAGTGTCCCTCTGCCTCTCCGTCCATTAAAAAGGTTAAAAACCCTTTCAGTCACATACCTGATTCCAGCACCAACATCAGCTGACATCAACAGAATCAATGCTTTCCTATAGGGATTTAAGAAGACGCTGGAGGTCCTCACACAAAGCTTGAGGACGTCCAGCGTCGTTTCACGTTCAAACTCCATGAAACAGCAGGAAGCGCCTCTGGTGGTTGTCTGGTAGATAACCAACAAAGGCAGTAAAAGCATTGCAGGGCTACGGGGAACATGGACACTGCAACGAGACAAAAAAATTGTTCTGGGTGCCTATAGTGTCCTTTTAATATTAAAATAATTTACTAAAAGAATCCCATGTTCATTTTTAAAGTAAAAGGTCAAAACAGCTTAAAGTAGAAAAATTCTCTTCAGTTAGCTATGCTTCACATTCTGACCATACTGAAATTAATTTTGTATTCTCACTTTAGATAATAACCCTGTCTGTGTAACATGACTACTAGAGCTCAGGCTGACTGTGGGCTGCTGGTGTGTCACACACCATGAGTCTGTATGTTACAGAGGTCAAATCAATGACAGCATTAAGATCACCCTGACAGAATAATAATTAGTTAGATTTTTCCAGCATATTACAGCCCTTTTCATACCCTGCCCCACCACATTGAATGGCTGAGTCTATGAACTCTAGGTATATCTATTAACGCCATGTGAGTGACCCCAGCTTGGCAGTGAATGACCAGACTAGCAAGCAGCTCCATAGTATCGCACTGCTTAGTACATAGGAGCAGGGGGCGGTATAGTGTTTATTGCGCACTCAGCCAGGCCTCTCCCCGGCCTATACCCCGCTCCCCGCCCGCCCGCCCGCCCCTCCGATATGTAAGAGCGGACACGGGTCCTGGCAGCTACTTCCACCGACTCCATTCTCGGCGCTGCCATCACTTCCCCAAACAGGCAGCCGGCTCCCTCCTCTTCCGCCCGGGCTCCCGCCTCTCCTATCGGACTGCCACCGGAGCCGGGCAGCGCTGCCATGCGCGACTACGACCAGGCTATAGCCTTCCTCGGGGAGTGGGGTCCGTTCCAGCTCACCATCTTCTTCCTGCTCAGTGCCAGCATCATCCCCAATGGCTTCACCGGGCTGTCTGCCGTCTTCCTATCCGCCACCCCCGACCATCACTGCCTGGTGCCCGACACCGCCAACCTGAGCCAGGCTTGGAGCAATGTGAGCATCCCCTGGGAGCTGCACAATGGGGAGCAGGTGCTGAGTAAATGCAGGAGGTACAGGCTGGACACCCTGAGTGAGTACTCGGCTCAGGGCTTGCTCCCTGGGAGGGATGTCAATGTGAGTGGCATAGAGCAGGAGAAGTGTCTAGATGGATGGACCTACAGCAAAGAGCTTTATCTCTCCACCATCATAACAGAGGTGAGTGCAGGCATTGTTAGGATCATTTAGTCTAAAATCTGCTCCTGTGACCTCAATTACCCTACCTGTACTGTACTGTATGGTCACCCAGTCCTGGAACAAGTTAGCCTGGCTGCTGGTGTGGCCACTCAATTACACTGAAGAAATAGAGTCCAATAATGCACAGTCTTTATTTAAAAAGAAAATTGTGTGTGTGTGTATATATATTCTCATATACTTGGTATTTTTCTTTTCTTGTTGTTGTTTCTCAAGCAGTAAAGACAATAAAAGCAATGTATGTGCATTGTGTCAAAATATGAATCTCATTGTTATTGTGTTTTTGTTTTGTGTCTTATTACAGCGTAGGCGTTAAGTAAAATGCTTCAGGCATAACTTAGAAACCGTTGTTCCAGAAATCACAAAGTCTGTCTGTTACATGAACTAGGCAGGTAGTGTCACATCCAGATCGTATCGCTCATAATTAAATACTCATTATGCATATTGGGGAGAGGAATGCTTTTTAATTGTAGTCTGTCATTTGCAGGAAAATTTGGGGAAATTCCCTTAAAACTCACAACAAATCGAACTACTAGGGATGCCATTAACTAAATTGTATTCACACAAAAATACCTGGCTTCTAACATTGTGCCCAAGTGCATGTTTAGATTAAACCCTCCCCCTTTTCACCTGCAATAAATTAAATAAATAAAAAAAATTTTTTTTTAGGTTTTATTCACCAGCGCCGAGACTCCCTCAGAGCTGCTTCCCACACTGTCTCCCGCTATGTCATTGTAGAGGTGTCACATCCTGACATCTTCTCCAATACAATGCTCCTCATAGAGAAGCATTGGGGACAAGGTGCGCTGCTGCATGCATGCATCCAGCCAAATGCTTCTTCTAGGAAAACCAATGGCTAGTGGTGAGTAGAGGTGTCGCGAACTGTCCGCCGAACTGTTAGCGAACTGTCCGCCGGCGAAGAATAGCGTGTTCGCGTTGGGTGAACATATCCGATTTCCGGTCCGCCCCCTATACGTCATCATTGAGTAAACTTTGACCCGGAACCTCACAGTCAGCAGACATTTCCTGGGAGGGAGGGTCTGCTGCTGATTGGGTGGAATGTGTCTGCTGGCTGTGAGGTTCCGGGTCAAAGTTTACTCAATGATGACGTATAGGGGGCGGACCGGAAATCAGATATGTTCGCCCAACGCGAACACGCTTTTGTTCGCCGGCGGACAGTTCGCAACATCTCTAGTGGTGAGTGGAAATTTTGAGTCCTTCTTTAGCTAATCTGGAGTTAAAGGAACACTCCCAAACACTATGACAACTTCTGCTTTTAGGAGTGGTCATGGTGATAAGAATCAGTATGTGCAGTGTTATTGCATGAACCACTGCACATACAGAGATTTATTAACTTTTGTGCCAGATGCTAGTTACACCCCCGGCACATGCAACTTAGCTCAAAACTGTGCTGCCTAATATCAGTTCTATGCAAAAATTGCACATTTTATCAATGTGCTAGTGACCGGTGTAATGAGCTTCACTTTTAAAGGCAGGGAAATTTGCTTTCCTTTCCCATCCCTCTCTCCATGCGCTCCCTCCTGCCTCCATCTATTGCTGTCCAATAGGTCCCCGTAAAAAAAAACAATTGCCTCTATACGTTTCCCCACCACCTTCTCTGTGAAGCATTTGATTTTACTGCTTGAGGCCCCTGGTGATGTCAGATGGAAGAGTGGAAAGCGCCGCCGCCGCCAGGCTTGGCCTTTGTGCTGGATTCCAGGTAAATGTATTTCAATTTTTCTGCTTTATAACAGAGACTTCGACATTGAAGTATAACAAGGAGATTTAACAGGAATATCAGTCACAAAATAGCAATATATATGGCCCGTACAAAATAAATGATAAAAAGAAAAAGGTGGTGCAGTTGAGATAAGGTATTGTCTTTAATGTCACAGGTGAAGAATAAAAGTTAGGGGTTGTGTTTTGAGTAGGGGTTCCCAACCCATCCCTCAAGTACTGCCTACCAGTCCTGGATTTATGGATACGCATGCTGACGGCAAATACCAAATATGAATAGTATTTACATTAAAGGGACACTATAGTCACCCAGACCAGTTCAGCTCAATGAAGTCGTCTGGGTGCCAGGTCCCTCAGGTTTTAACCCTTTACATGTAAACATAGCAGTTTCAGAGAAACTGCTATGTTTACATTTGGGGTTAATCCAGCCTAGTCTAGTCTTCCGGACAGCCACTAGAGGCGCATCTGCGATGCTGGAGGCGAATTTCGCCTCCGTCGCGTAGAGCGGCCATAGGAAAGCATATAGAAATGTGCATTCGGCTCCAGTGACGGCGGACGTGGGAGCTGACCTCGGACAGGGAGGAGCCCGGCGCTGGAATACGGTAAGCTGCTGAAGGGGTTTTAACCCCTACAGCGCCACAGGAGGGGGACCCTGAGGGTGGGGGCAACATCAGGGCACTATAGTGATCTTTTAACCTGCCTTCTACTCTCTATCCCAGCTAGAAAAGTGGTGCTGCTGGAGGGGTAATTACACATCGGGCAGAAAGCTGTTATATGTATGTATGTATGGCGCTGCACATACAGACTCCAAGTACCATGACCACTTCAGAGAACAGAAGTAGTCCTGATGCTTGGAGATACCCATTATGTCAAGTTAGGGGATTATAAACTGTAATGGCTGTATAGTGGTGATTAGATAGCTGTATGTTGGGAATTGCAGCATAGTTTTGTTGTAGTGTTTGTTTAGGGAAGAGTGGGAAGCCCACTTTTCAGTCCTGTATGGATTATTGATGCATGGCCTCATGATTACCACAAGGCAAGGAATAGAGACATTGGCAGTTTCCTGGCCAATAAGGGAAGATGCCATGGGCAGGGAGTTAGGTGTAAAAGCAGCATCAACTAAAGTTTTCTGCTAGTCTAATTAGCATAGGCCCAAAATAAGCTAGTCTACCCTGTACTAAGGTAGCGGTGCAAAGTGTACATAAGGGGGAATGTACACTTAATCCACTCATTTAAATAATTGTTTTACCCATATTTCTCAGTGAGCTGTGGTACCTTTGTGGTAATACCATATTTCTCTGAAAATGAGCCCTAGCTTATTTTCGGGGTATGCTCCTAATATAAGCCCTAGTTCTTTGCTAATCTATACACAATCCAAAAATACACAAGGAGGAGTATCTTGCATACAATTTTGGGAACTCTTAGTGGTTTGGATCCTAAAGGAGTATAATCCTATAATTGGGGGAAAAGATAAACAAACACTAGCGCAATATTGTCTGAATGAAAGAGTTAGTCCGTAAAAATATGTATTTAGGCTCACAAATAAAAAGCCAGTAAATTCTTGGCTCAAGCTAACAGCGTGGTGGAATTGTGTAGGGTCCCACTCCCTCTTCTGTATGTTGCAGTCACTTCAGCTTATTGATAGTAGTCACCAATTCAATAATTCAGTTAAGTGCTTTATTTTTCATAAAGTGCACAAAAGTAAAAACAATAAAATTAAGAATTAAACGCTCTTACAGTTAGAGTAGCAAGTCCTTGAAATGTGCAAAACGCTTTTCGCCCCTCTGGGAGGCTTACTCGGTTGCTATGGTTTAATCTACATTCTGTCCTTCTTTTAAATCGTTGAATTTTCCCCGAACATAAATTCACGGGATTCCACACGCGAGTAAGCTTATCTATGTTTTGGGGAAGTTTCCCGAACATAGATACGTAAGACTCCATTCGTGAGTAAGCTGATCTATGGTCGGGAAAGTTTCCCCGAACATAGATTTGCAGGATTCCATGCCTTCATGAACTGGTCTATGTTCGGAGGAATTCCATATAACATAAACCTGCTTTCTAGCACACGTTTTTCTCCAAAATAAGACCTCCCTTGAAAGTAAGCCTTAGGCTGGCCACAATAAAAGGCCACTCTAAAATGTGCCGTTTTATCACACAGCACAATGCCACAGATGTCGCGTGTTTTGAGGGAGCGTGCAATTGGCATGCTGACTGCAGGAATGTCTACCAGAGCCGTTGCCTGTGAATTGAATGTTCATTTCTCTACCATAAGCCGTCTCCAAAGGCGTTTCAGAGAATTTGGCAGTACATCCAACCAGCCTCACAAATGCAGACCACGTGTAATCACACCAGCCCAGGACCTCCACATCCAGCATCTTCACCTTCAAGATTGTCTGAGACCAGCCACCCGGACAACTGCTGCAATAATCGGTTTGCATAACCAAAGAATTTCTGCGCAAACTGTCAGAAACCGTCTCAGGTAAGCTCGTCGTCCTCATCGGGGTCTCGACCTGACTGCAGTTTATCGTAACCAACTTGAGTGGGCAAATGCTCACATTCGATGGCGTCTGGCACTTTGGAGAGATGTTCTCTTCACAGATGAATCCCGGTTTTCACTGTGCAGGGCAGATGGCAGACAGCATGTATGGCGTTGTGTGGGTGAGCGGTTTGCTGATACAGTAAATACAGTAAAACTGCACGTTTTAGAATGGCCTTTTATTATGGCTAGCTTAAGGCACACCTGTGCAATAATCATGCTGTCTAATCAGCATCTTGATATGCCACACCTGTGAGGTGGATGGATTATCTCGGCAAAGGAGAAGTGCTCACTAACACAGATTTAGACATATTTGTGAACAATATTTGAGAGAAATAGGCCTTTTGTGTACATAGAAAAGGTCTTAGATCTTTGAGCTCAGCTCATGAAAAATGGGGGCAAAAACAAGTGTTGCGTTTATAATTTTTTCAGTGTAAGACCTGGTCTTATTTTCGGAGAAAAACTGTAGTAGTAATAGTAGTAGTAGTAGTAGTAGTAGTGCCTTTGTGCAGCTAACAGAAACAGCGGAATACCACCTTGGCTGTCTGAGTGACAGTCAGGGAGGTATTTTTTTCCCCTCAATTATAAAAGTGCAGATTTTTATTGAAATCTGCACTTTTGTAAACTGTCACAAGTATGACTGAATTCAGACACAAAAAGCACTTCTGTGTTCTTTCCTCCTACCCCCTTCCCCTGTCCCATAGGGTTTTTCCCCCTTCCCCTGTCCCATAGGGTTTTTCCCCCTTCCCCTGTCCCATAGGGTTTTTCCCCCTTCCCCTGTCCCATAAGGTTTTTCCCCCTACCCCCTTCCCCTGTCCCATAGGGTTTTTCCCTCCTCCCTCCCCTGTCCCATAGGGTTCTTCCATCCCCTGTCCCATAGGGTTCTTTCCCTCCCCCGCCCCTCCCCTGTCCCATAGGGTTCTTTCCTCCCTTCCCTCTCCCAAAGTGTAACTTCCCCCTGTCTTGTCTCCCGTAGGACAGGAGATTGTCTCCTGTACTGACCGGAAGTGCTCTCTCAGTGAGCCGGGTACAGGAAACATAAGTTCCTGTACCGCGGTGCGCACTTCTCCGCTCGGTTACGCTTCACAGAGTGCCTGGCAGGAGGGAGCGCTGTGCGCCCACCTCCTGCCAGTCACTTCAATCTAGCGCCAGCCCACATCATTATCAGTATTATGGTACCGATACTTACAAAAAAACTGAATATCGGCAAACTGATAATCGGTCGATCCCTAGTCATTAATGTAGCTTCTTTCTAGATATAGCAGTCCATGGGCCTGTGTCTTGGTTTTCTTACATTACATCTCATATGACCTCCACTGAGCAGCGTACACTAATTTAGTTTTGGGCAATAGACATTTACTCCCTGTTGGGAATATTGTGTACAATGTTTTGTAGTGTCACATGTTTAACTCTGAACAGAAAGGAAGATCAAGAGAAAAAAAGAAAAATCATTGTTTAGTAGATATACCCCAAGCAAATGCATACATGCATTTTTAAATGCATGTATTCTTTGAGGGCACATCTTAAAAGAACTTGCAAAGACAATTGCAGCCTAAGCAAGCCCTCCCCTTTTTTCACTGGGAAATAATCAATCAATCAATCAATCAATCAATCAGGGGCTTCTTATTGGGAAGTGTCTGAATTGGTGCCCTGTTTGATGTCTGGAGGATCTGGGTGTGCTGATCTGCCGTCTGTGTGGAAGGAGGCCGGTTCGATCAAGTGTGCTTGCCACTTTAATTGGCTCAGGGGTTCTAAGATAAGGAAGCTGCAAACTTCCCTACTTGTTTGTTTGGCAGCAAGGGGTGTGCTCCATGGTTTATTGAGAAAAGTGCTGGTTTCTTCACTTTTATAAACTAGGGTTATAATAGGACACTGCTAAACCTAGCAAACTGAAGCGATTTTTGGAGTGTGGAGCGGTCATTTGATTATGCCTCTTTGTTCCTCCTCACGTCACATTTCACATCTGTTTTGACACCGAACAAAGTATGTCCTGACACGAACCATTGTTGCGTCAGTTCTGATCCCTTAACACTGTATTGTGCATTGCATTGACAAATTTTTCACTTTGCTGCACTTTAGGAATTATTATTTTATTTTTATTTTTTTAAAGGTATAGCGCACTCTTTTTATTTTTTTTTTATTTTTTTATCTTCAATTACCAGACAACCAGCCCTACACCATTTTGGTGACTAAGCACACACATGTTGTGGGCGCACAAGAATGACTGACTCGTGCCTACCTATACTTGCCAGACCTATATAAGCTTTCACAGAGTTCTGTTTCATTCCTGAGTTTCATACAGCATGTTCTTTGTTTAGTGTCTTTCCCCGGTATAAAGACTCTGCTTGTTTAACTATTCTGATCTCTGTATTACTAGGCCCATCCTTGTATATTTCTGAATCCCTAGACCTTGGTTTGTTTTTGACTCTGCAGTTTTCGCCTACTATAAGCACTGCATTAAGCCAAGCCATACTAAGCACCGTTAATACGCCGCATTTTTTTTTTATTTTTAACGATTAGGGTTGCATAGATTCAAGCTTTGTATGAAGTCCCAGATGAAGGTGCAGTAGTAGCGCTGAAACGCATGTCAATATCCTTTTTTTCCTCCTCTGAACTGAATCATGAGGTCTTTGGATAATTTTTTTTTTATTATTATTATTACAGTATATACTCGAGTATAAGTCTAGTTTTTCAGCACATTTTTAGTGCTTAAAAACCCCCACTCGACTTATACTCGAGTCACTGTCTGTATTATGGCAACTTAGAGAGCCGCGGCCGTCAGAGCCGTGGCAACAATCCGCGCGGCAACCAGACCGCGAGACTTACAGTGGAGCTGACCGGAACGGAGGAGAAGGGAGCTGACAGGAGCTGCAGGAAAGGTAAGTAAATGCTTCCTGCCGGCTCCCCACTTCACAGCCCATGCCACTGGACCACCAGGGATTAAGATAGCCCCCCTCCCTGACCGGTTAACAAGCAGGGAGGGGGGACAAAAAAAAATTAAATAATAAAAAAAATATTAAAATTAAAAAAAATTTAAATAATAAAAATGCCCTCCCCCCACCCAGTTCACACACACTACACAAACTCTTCATTATATACACACTCTGCATTATATACACAGTGTATAATGCAGTGTGTGTTTGTATGAGTGTGTGTATATATAATGCAGTGTGTGTGTATATATAATGCAGAGTGTGTGTTTGTATGAGTGTGTGTGTGTGTGTGTGTGTATATAATTATAAAAATCACAGAATTTCATAGCCCCAAGTTTTACCCTCGACTTATCCACGAGGCATAGCATATTTCACAATTGTTGGTCACAAAACTGCACTCGACTTATACATGAAATCGACTTATACACGAGTATATACGGTATTATTATTATTATTATTATTATTATTATTATTATTATGGTATTATTATTGTGGTTGATTCACATTTCAGATTGGATGTTGAAGTGGAGCGTTCTCTCTTAGTTTGTAATATATCGTTTGTGTTACATTGTTTCAAGAATTATTATTTAGAGACACTTTGTTAGCCCCTTAGTCCACAGGAAAACTTGTTGATGGTCACTAGAAAATTGATCCTCTTTATGAAATGGTTTTTATTTGTAACATATTTTTTTTTTTTTTTTTAAGATTAAACTCATTTTGACCAATTTAATCTTATTTATGTTATGATACTAAAGGTTTTGGCAGGTGTTTGGGAACAGCAAAATATGTTTGTACCTTACAATAAAATGAATAATGGAAAAAAAAATGGGGGTGGGGCATCTGTAGAGACAAAATCTACCAGGACATACTTGAAAACTAGATGAATCAAAATGTATCCTTCTGGGTAAAATATTTTATAAATAATTAGCGGTGATTATGTAAATAGAAATGATACATGTTGAACATAAACATGCATTGTATTTATGTAGCATAGATCGTTTAGTGTTTGACTGACGATGGTGTGATATGGACAGCTACCACTATACCTGAACTAAGATGAGCACTTGGATACATGGTGTGACGAAACGCCTTTTGTCACCGGATTTTCCCCTTGCTGTTGGAGGAGCCTGATTGCCAGCCTCTTGCCTCATGACTATGGCCCTGGGTTATTTGGCCCTTCAAGTACAATATTTGGGCATATTGGATTTGTATGGTGCTGCTGCTGGCCCTTTTAAAAACCATCCCTGGACATAATATGACTTTTAGGAACAATGTCCCTTTAAGACTGTGTAGCAGATTGCATTCAGGTGGTCTGCAATATTATATATGCTATTATGTGTTCGGTAAATTGGAAATGTGTAGGTTCTATGTGATAAATGTAACAGTATGTATTTTTATGTCTTTTGTTGTCCTTTGTCTGCCATGTGGCTAATGGAGTTTTGCCTCTGTCCTTGGAGATAATTGCATTACTTCTCAATTATCTCCAGAATAGAAGACTCTGAAACCAGTTTGGGCCAGATAGCCATGCTGCCAGTCAGGCCCCAAAAGATACTTGTGCTAACTTCTGAACCCCTGGTCTGATTCAGGCCATTTTTTAATATGTTGTTCCCCTGAATGGATTGATTGTGAATATGTAGTTTTATGTGAATGTGATGTATAGTTTTAGAGTTATGAAAGTTGGGTAAAAAGTGTGTTTTAAAATGTATGGATAATTGGGTTACCTCTCAGGCTAAGGGGAGGAGATGTGTGGGATGTAACCATTGTGTGATTGGTTGTACTTTGTCCCACCCAGTGGGATGTCCCCTTGCATGGGGACCTGCATAAAAGAAGGTTCTTTGTGTGCCAATAAACAGATCATCTTGTACCTTCATGAAGTTTCGGCTCATGTTTGGGGGATTGGAGAAACTACACTCTGGGGATTGCTATAATCACTATACTCCCCAGGGTATAATCACTAAGCTCTGCTAAGAGCTTGTTCCTGTTCCTGCTCTCTGGAATTCGGAGAGAGGTCGACCTGCTTGAAGCTGGACCCTGGTCCTGGGTCCAGAGTGGGTGAAGACGGCGAGATCCCAACCAAGCTGCGGCGGTTCGTGGGGTCTGCAGTGGTTATGGTGTCAGGCAGAGTGCTTGGAGTCCTTGGAAAGCACTAGGAGCATCCGTCGGCGGAAGGTACCCGGTCAGGGTGCCAGCGGTTCCGTTACACATGGCTTGGAGATGTGTTTTTGGTTTTTTGGGTTTTTTTTTTACTCCCTCACCCCCCCCCTTACCGTAAAAAATTGGCTGAATGGTACCCTTTAATCTTTTCTGGAATGTTTTTCAAATCTCTTTGCTTCCAAGTGATCTGTCTGGTGTTCCCATGCCTGCTGCTTGGCTTTGCAGGTGTTTTCTCCTTTGTGCAATCATATTTCTATTTATCTGTCACTTCAACTTTTGGAGTCTTCATCTGCCAGGAGATGTCAGTTCTGCACTTTTCTTCAAGAGTACAAAATGGGAGTTTGTGCAAGACCTGCGTATCCTCCATGGTTTTTCTCGCGCAGTCACAATAAGATTCCTGCTCCCATCAGCCTTCATGGGTTACCGCTAATGTAAAATGTCAGGAGAGGGGGACAGAAGGTCTGATCACTGCCACATTTTTTACTAGTTCATATGAAAATTAGTCTACTCATTGTCATTATCTTCTGAAAAAATGAAATCCCTACGCTATAAAATTTTTGTTAATCTGCTGATTGGAAATGAAGTTGAGTGGAAGCTACATAGCCTCTTACCTACTTTTCATGTAATCTATATTCCCAGGGCTAAAGTTCACATAAAGAATTACATCAAACCACCTTTTAAGTGGCGTGGTTTTCGCCAGTCCCATGGGTGATTATTTTTACAGAACTGTAAAATCTGACCTGAGCCAGGAGTACAGTTACTGATAGTGACTCATTACAAAAAGAAAAGACACCACCCTTAATAAATGGAGAATCACTTTATTATCATGCCACTTCATTTGGAACTCTTTGTTTAAAAAAAAAAAAAAAAAAGCCTTTCTAATTACCACAGGTTCATGGGCTATTAATTTAATCTGTACCTGCTATTCCTTATTGTGACCCACAGTGGTAGACACTTGTGGTTAGAATGTTCCATTGTGCCTTGGCCTGGCCTCTGTTAAATAAACTGTATGCAATTCCGATATTGAAACCAGCATATTACCATGCATTTAAAGAGAGATTCATTTTCCAGAGCTTTGCCCAAGGTACATTGGAAACATGCTCTGGCACTGTAGACCGCTCTTGTTTTGCAGCTGGTTGGCACAAACTAATTGTAACGGAACTCTCCGTACTCTGACCGAGTACCTTCCGTTGATGGACGCTTCCTAGCTTGCGCCGAGGACCACAAGCACCGCATCGGACACCACAACCGCCGTAGCTTAACTGGAGTCTCGCCGTCTTCCTTCCACCCCGGATCAGCTTCTGTCCTGCAGGACCGTGTGGGGAAGGCCTCTCCTCCAGGAGAGCGTATCAGGAACAAGCTCTTAAAAGAGCTAAGTGATTAGAGTTCAGGTGAGTATACCAAGTATAGCAATCCCCAGTGTGAATATAGCTGTTCCCTCCAATCACGAGACAAGACTACATGTTGAGGGTCTAGAAGAACTGAAGTTTTAATCAAACACTTTGCTTTTATGCCCATTTTACAAACATAGTACTGCCCACAGGGTTTTGAAGAACAACCAATCAAACCTGTATAATATAATAAAACACTCCCATTCATTCCCACAAAATCCTCCCCTCTGCCTGTGATATAATTACTGTACACAATGGGTTAAAGTAATTATCACAGGCAGGAAAAATACACTTTTTACACATATACTATAACTAAAAATATACATTCAAGTTACATATTAAAGGACCACTCTAGGCACCCAGACCACTTCGGCTTAATGAAGTGGTCTGGGTGCCAGGTCCAGCTAGGGTTAACCCATTTTTTAATAAACATAGCAGTTTCAGAGAAACTGCTATGTTTATTAATGGGTTAAGCCTTCCCCCTAATCCTCTAGTGGCTGTCTCATTGACAGCCACTAGAGGCGCTTGCTTTCCTATGCGACCGGCTGAATGTGCGCGCAGCCAGCCGACGGGGCGGAACGGAGGAGCATCGGAGGCAGAGAGCTCCCCGCCCAGCGCTGGAAAAATGTACGTTTAAACCCCTTTCCCCCTTCCAGAGCCAGGTGGGAGGGGGTCACTGAGGGTGGGGGCACCCTCAGGGCACTATAGTGCCAGGAAAACGAGTATGTTTTCCTGGCACTATAGTGGTCCTTTAATACTCAGTACACTTTAATTACACACATATCCAAAATTCAGCCAATTCCTTCCAGAGATTAAAAAGTTAGCTGGAAGTCCTTTATGACTGACTGCAAGCACATTTTCATGCCCAAAACAGTTCCATAGATTTGGACTGTGCGGTTGGTCAATTTCACACTGAAATATGACTAAGTCCCATCATTGAACAGGACTTAGTATCTGCGGCTGCAAACTCAGTGGAGGAGAAGGTAAGGGTCAGGTGTTTTGGCTACATGTGTAGCCGATTTCAGTTCCATGGATTTGGCTACACACACCGCTGACCGCATTCGGTAGAATAAAGATGGCCGCCGCCACGTGTTCATTTGTACGAACGGCGGCCACCCAGTTGTCGGCAATTTACGTACAACAGGCTCCCAGCCTGGGAGGTAAATTGCCTGCATGCTTCCACTTCTGGGTGGTCCGTCTGTGTAATACTTTGTTTAGTACGCTCCATTTACTGAACCAAGTGGGAGAAAGCCAGGAACACCGTATATTAAAGGTTTGTGGACACTGGGGACACCGTCTTAAAGGGGCATTGTCCCCAGCAAGTCTGGGGACACTGGGTACACAGTCTTAAAGGGGCATTGTTCCAATTTCCACCATGTCCCAAAAATGTACTTAAAGGGCCAGCACCAGTCCAATGAAAGTCCATAGGCCCCAATAATGTTTTTAAAGGGCCATACACTCCCGGGCCATAGTCGCAGAGCAGGAGGCTGGCAAGCAAGCCTCTCCAGGACCAAGTGATGAAGGGCACTTTGTCATACTAATCTTAAAGCAGACCTGTCATTTGACATTTGTACAAACCTTGGTAGCTGTAGCTAACTAAATGGTACCTATTGGTTGTTTGTTTAACCGTAAAAAAATTTAAAATTCTTATTTACAATGTAAGTTCGAATATCCTGGCTGGTATATTTCGAGCATGCAGTGCTGTACATGCGTGTTTTTTCGCACGTGTATGGCACTATGAAAGAAATACCTAACAATAAATCTGCTGGGATGACCGTTCTTAGTAGATGACCAAGCATTGTGTGATTGTGCCTGGAGCTTCTAGATATGATGTCATCCTGGACAGGGATGTGCTGTGGATCTAAGTACGTGCCTTGTAGAAGGAGTGTACAGAAGAAAGATTAACAATTGTCTACAGACAAAGGGTTAAGGAGAGTACAATTCCCTGCCCATGGTTTATTGTCTAACAAGATGGCCTTTGAGCTTTCTAATCTGAAGGAGGTAATGGGATTTATCATGAGACAAATGCTGCCAAGGGATAACTTCTAATTTAGTGGCTAGAGAAGTTGAGAGTCATCATAGCAAGCCAATTACCAATGAGAACAATTAATGAAACTTACAAATGACTTAGCATTAATCAAGGTTTCAGAGAAAATGAGAAGCCTAGTCTAATTAAAATTAAGCAAGGTTGTGTAGATTAGTGATTGTATTCATTTTTACTGCAAAAAATGAATACAAGACAAGGCTACGCTCCTCATACAAACACCACTACTCATATCATACACCTGATAAACACTTGTCCTCTCTCCCAACACCTACTGTGTGTGCCGACATGAATGTGGAGCGAACATTGGTAATTTGGCTTGAAAGAGAACAACATGTAGGCACAAACTGTTTCCAGCTGGCCAGCCTTCTCCGACCCATTAAATAAGGGCTCTTTTGCAGCTCTGAAGCGAGCCAGACAATCAATAATCTGTAACATATCTCTGGAACTTGAACATACCTTTCTCTTCTGTCCTGGTCAAACTGGCATGACTGGAGCCTGCATACATGTTCTAATGGCCCACATGCTATTGGTTTGAAACACTGATTTAAAAGGTTTTGTTTTGGTTTTTTTAAGCAAAATCACAGTAGGCAGAGTCTAAACTTTTTTTTTTTTTTTTTGGGAAGAGTTGGAATGGAATGGGGAGAGGCAACAAGAATTCAAATTGTAAGGGTTATGTATTAGGCTAACCAAATAGAAATGGATTTTTGCCAAGACAGATTTAATGTGTGCAAAATTATTTCCACACCCCTGAAATTAATGAAACAACTTTGGTGCTTTTGAGTGTATGCAACAGTGGAAGAAATGTTTGAGCAGACAAGCACTCATGCATATTTTGGCTATTCAATAATCATGCATGAGTGTCCCTGGAGCATCACTGGGTGAAAATGCTGTCCTCGACATGCAGAAATTGTGGAGATAAGTGCATCTAATTTTTACCACCACTGCATATCACCCCAATATATTCAAGTTCTGCCTGAAATTAAAAAATGTTTGCCCAGTACCCGTGTTTTACATTGTGCTTTGCAAATCTGTTCACCGGTAGGAGTCTTTTTTTTTTGGTAGGGGTGTTATATGAATTTAATGTAATAATTCCATAAATGCCAAAATGTGGGCAATTTCTTTCCTAGAATGTCTAGATTGTCTATCATTTTTTTGAACATTTGTTTATTCCTCCCCCTGTTTTTTTTGTTTTGTTTTTCTGTTCTTGTATTGTCTTTAAAAAAACCAATACACCTACCTTCGGGTTGTATACACCTACCTTTTCTGTACCCAGATGTATTCTTTATATGGAAACTCAATTTAAAAAAAAAAAAAAGTGATACCAGGTTCCATCTCATACCTTGTTTTGTTTTTTCCTTCTTCCTCTTCTTCTAGTGGGATCTGGTTTGTGAAAATGACTGGAAAGGGCCGTTAACTACCTCGATATTTTTTGTGGGAGTTCTCATTGGTTCCTTTGTTTCAGGACAGATCTCAGACAGGTAGTTTGTATATATCATAATTAACATGCAAGGATTCCATGAACAATTACTAATTAATTTTATATTTTTTGTGTAGTTGTCTGTTCTATAAAATGATTGAGATCTGTTTATCTCAATCATTCTGGGCTTGCTGCTGATTTTAAAATGGGAGTGGCATTATTAATATTGTATTTTGCTGCTAACTACCTCAATCTAAAAGTAATACAAGGATGAAACTAGACATTGTATCTTGGTAACTCTTGTTTGCTGGAATGTGTGGACATAATGAGAAAGTTTATATCCGCTACATCGTGTAATAACCAGAAATCTTTAAAGGGACGCTAAAACTTGGGTTACAGTGCCAGAGGTTGCCGCAGATGAAATGGCACACCAGATCAGTGGGCAGTGATTGGCTGAGTGTGTGTCAGCCAATCATTCGTCCAACTCCTGGAATGAATTGGTATGCCACAAAGCAGAGCATACCTCCACCTTTGCCATATCGTAATTGGGTTCTGGGCTGCAGGATACCAGGTACCAAGCAGCATCACCGCTAAAAGGTGAGTAAACTGCTAAAAACTGATGTTTTACCCAGCACGCATGAACCTCAGGCACCATAAACTCTTCAATCAGTTAAAATTGTTATGGTGCTATTGTTATTTTAATTACAGTTGCCTTGATTCTGTTAGTTGGGAAATATACTAGTGAAATTTATGCTTTACTTTAATGACGTCCTCCAGTTTAGGGACAAAAGGAAGAATATATTTCAAGTGGCCGCCCCTTCCATGGGATAATGGGTTTTACCCTGGACTGCACTAGTAGTTCAAACATTGTATCCATCTGGACTTCCAGACCATCCCATCTGTATGGCAAGCAGAGCAGCAAACATATGTAATAGAATATGACTGTGCAGGACTGTCACTTGCCACTGGTGCTTTTGTGGCAACTATTTATGCAGGAACATTCCATTGTGTTTGTGCTACACTTAAAACTTTGCTCCGGACGCAATACCCTGTCTGTTAAAACCTTGGGTTATGGTATCCATATCCATGATCTCTATAATGTTTGATCAGACCCCTGCGCCCATCAACCTACGCCAGAAGTCTTAATGTCCTTGCAGTGTTGTATTGTACAACAGATATTTGGAACTGATTTATAATTATGAGAATGATTGCTTCTTTCTGGTTTTAGAAATAAATTGGCAGTGTACAATGTATTAATTACTTTTATGCTGAGTATACTTCATCATTTCCAATAACACACAGTCAGATGGGCTACGGTTGTGGCATATGTTATGGGGCTCAATGGAATGCGCCACTAAGTAAGTAATTGATAATTAAATAACTCCCTAAATCTTTTAGATTTCAGCTAAGATAAAACTAATTTATTTATACATATATAAAACCACTTCAGTTTAAAGATCTGAAAATATTAACTCCGTTAATAGTTTCTATAATACTCACCAATTATTTCGTCCCATGTAAATACCAAAATGAGACATTTTAAATGATTATTAAAAAAGGCATGTGGAGTTGTCTCAGGTAATTACAACTTTTTACTTTCCTATGTGATCCACTCTACTTTTTGTGAGCACTGCACCTAAACCAGTGCCCAGGCAGCTTGTTAAATCTACATTCTCCTACCTTTAGTGTTTTTGCAGCCCCAACCTGCCAATTAAAAACTATGGCCCAGCAACCAGTTTTACCCTCTCCCTGATGCTGGTCTGCAACTCTGCATCAATTGCCTGTGGCATGTCATAACAGTTGGCATTTGGGAACTTGCTATTTTTTATTTTTATTTATTTACTTCTTTTTAATGGAGGATTTGTATATTTTCTTGATAATGGCTATTTACTGGCTAGTCGAAACAAAAAGGTTTATGGTCAAATGTCAATACCTCATTTGCACATTTTAAACTACAACTATAACCAGAAGCCTGCGTTGACTCATTCTTGTATAATACAGGATTCAAAACACATCTATGTAAATTAGAATCAGGATTACTGATTTAGTGCAGTGAAACCTTCATTATAATTAAAGGACCACTCTAGGCACCCAGACCACTTCATCTTAATGAAGTGGTCTGGGTGCCAAGTTCCTCTAGGATTAACTCTTTTTTTTAATAAACATAGTAGTTTAGGGTTAATCCAGCCTCCAAATCCTCTAGTGGCTGTCTCATTGACAGCCGCTAGAGGCGCTTGCGTGATTCTCATCGTGAAAATCACAGTGAGAACATGCAAGCGTCCATAGGAAAACATTATGAATGCTTTCCTATGAGACTGGCTGAATGCGAGCGCAGCTCTTGCCGCGCGTGCGCATTCAGCCGAAAGGGCGGAGAGGAGGAGGAGAGCTCCCCGCCCGGCGCTGGAATAAAGGTGAGTTTTTAACCCTTTCCTCTCCCCAAAGCCGGGCGGGCGTGGGACCCTGAGGGTGGGGGCAGACTTAAACATACACCTGGCGAAGCCCAGAATGAGCGGTAATGTGATATAATCTGCTAAATCTTACATCTACATTTAAAATAAAATTTAGCATCACACGAAACATACATTAATTCTTGGGATGAGAATATAATTTTGCCTCATTCTAAATCGCTGGTAAGACCACATCTTGAATATGCTGTGCAATTTTGGGCACCTGTTCTGAAGAAGGATATTATGGCACTAGAAAGAGAGCAGAGAAGGGCTACAAAAATAATAAACGTAATGGAACATTTTAGCTATGAAGAGAGGTTAACAAATTTAAACCTCTTTAGTTTAGAAAAACGTCGCCTCAGTGGGGATATGATAACATTATACAAATATATTAGTGGCCAATACAAACCATTATGTGGAAATCTATTCATAAACAGGACTTCTTTACACAGGACACAAGATCATACATTTAGACTGGAAGAAATATTTAATCTAAGGCAAAGGAAAAGGTTCTTTACCGTAAGAACAATAAGGATGTGGAATTCTGTGCCTGAAGAAGTGGTTTTATCAGAGTCCGTACAGATGTTTAAACAGCAACTAGATGCATACTTGCAAAAACAGAATATTCAAGGATATAATTTTTCAATGTAGGGTAAATGCTTCTTGATCCAGGGAGAAATCTGACCGCAAATCTGGAGTCAAGAGGGAATTTTTTTCCTTGTTTGTTGCAAAATTGGAAGGGCTTCAACCGTATTTTTTTATTTTTTTTTGCCTTCTTTTAGATCAACCGCAAAATACAAATATAAGGAAGGCTGAACTTGATGGACACGTGTGTTTTTTTTTTTTGGTTTTTTTTTTCAAACTATGTAACTATGTAACTTTTTGTTTTATTGAGTGGTGTGATTACAAAAAATTTTATGGATCCTCCTTTTTAAGGAACTTTATAGACCCATAAATCACTTCAGCTAGCTGAAGTGCTTTGTTTCTAGGTTCTGTAAATATATATTATATTTTTATATATGTATAAACTAAGATGCTTGCAGAGTATTTGCCCGGTGCTGGTCAGGCACAAGATACATGAAATGACAGCACTCCAAGGACTTGATGATAGTAAAAATAAAATAACTTTTATTCTATATCTTTAAAAAATATCGACTTTTCAGCCCCAATACATGGGCTTTCATCAGGATGGCAATAAAATACACAAATACATATAATATACTTATATAGAAAAACATAAAAGGATACTAACCAGCTTCATGTGTGAGAGAACCGAAATGGCGTTCAGACTGCACGTGGAACGGTCAAAGTGCCTCAACCGTAGTTGCTAGGCACTGCATTCCATTTGGTTGCTAGGTGATCAGTTAAACGCAATTTCACCCACCATTGCTATGCTGTTTGATTTGGTAAACACGATCGTGAAATCTTTCCCTCTGACTGCTACTTTCTTGCACTGTGCCTGGAATGCAACTGATACAAAGTATCAGTAAGTACCATACATCCATGTGCTGCTGCACTAACAGGATAGAGCCCTTGACAGGACTTAAGTCTGATATATATAAGTCTGATATATATATATATATATATATATATATATATATATATATATATATATATATATATATATATATATATATATATATATATATATATATATATATGTATGTATGTATGTAGAAAGGCTATTAGGCCTGAATTTGTGGGAGGAGTAAGTCCCCTACTTAAGCTCCCAGCCCCTACTCACCGCTGCCGCTCAGCTGATTGTCCTTAGCAACCAGCACTTCCGGTCCAGCTTCCCGCCAGAACTGTACCTGTTTCCAGCAGCCAGTCGCCCTGTGCAATCCTCCGTCCGTCCGAGGTCCTTCCACTCCGTTTCCCTCCGGTCGAGGTACCCGACTTCCGGTCACGAGACCGGCGCGTTCACGTAAGCAAGGCGTGGGAATTAGCGTTCGCTATTTCCCCGCCGTTCGGGCCTAAAAACGTAGGGGTAGGCTCCCTCTTTCGCATTTTCATGAATACACGCTTTTCGTTAATATCTCCATTCGCGCCAAAAAACGCACGAACGTTCGGCTCATTTCACTATCATTTAATGCATTTTCGTACGGAAACAACCGAATGAATATTTCATGTTTATGCTCATTATTATCTGTATTCACTTTTTCCGTTCGGTTATTTCAGCACTAACCTATTCGTATGGTTAAATTCACAAACACCATCTTACTAATTTACATTCGGTTATTTCTATTCTTTTAAACTAAGCATGCATAAGTTCTAATCACAGTCCTACTATTATTTATTCCTTCATATCAGTTTGCGGTTACATTATATGGTTAACTACCAGCCCTGTGTTTTCCTACCTTGTTAAACCATTTAAGTATTTTTCTGTAATAAACATAATGTTCACCACGGTTCTTAACTTCATACGTATCTAAATTCAAGCTATACCATTCTTTCCAAATAACACTCAGATAAGTCATTTAAACACTATTTACAAGTTATACCCTTTACACATAATCCGTACTATTCCTTGCACATAAATCACGCTGTCACATTTTTGGCTTTTACAGATTGCATCGGTCTCTTGCTTTTCTGCATTAAAGTTGTTATTTCAAGGTCCTTTTATTACAGGAACAGGTATGGTTTATTATCACCTTGATTTATCAGGTTTTATCAATTATCTTCACATCTATTGCTAAATAGGAAATTTGTCTTGGTTAAACCCTTAGATCCTGTACTAATCTAAGCTTCCACCGTTTCTACGCAGTTAACCTGCCACGATTAAACAATCTCTGTACTTTAAACAAAGGTATAGTTCACTCTCTTTTCAATACTAGACCTCACGCGGTCTCAACTCCATTACTACCTTCCCTCAGGCTTACGCCCAGGATACGTTATCTCTTTACTACTTGTCTACACAGACTTTCGGTCATACGGCCATCAGGCTTAGAAGACACCAAAAACCTGACCCGGTACTCAGCCATACCTTCAGGTACTTACATCCTTACTCAAGTACGTTCATTCGCTACCCCAAGGCCTCATTCTGCCTTCTCACTCATATCCAAAATCATCCCATTCCTACACCTAAACCTCCCAGATCCCTCAATGCAGGATCTCACGTGGTGCCCCTAACAAACCTTCTCCCTATACTATTCATACGACATCACGATACGTATAAACACATCAACATCTGTCTTAAACCCCCAGGATTCTTCCTCAAAGACAACATTTAAGACAAGACTCTCTACACTTACCAGGAGGCTCCAGATACCATTTGCGACCAGTCAAGGTTAGTATCCACACACCACTCCAGTCCTCTAACTTTACCCTTTAGCATACTATCGAACTGGCTATACGGCACAGGCTAATGCCTTAGCCCACCCTATCAGGAAATCTGATCCCGCGAGGCCTACCACCCCACCCCACCTCAACACGGAGGTACGGCCCCACGCCCAAATCATAGTTATAAGCCTCGCATGCCTTACTACAGGGCTCTAGTTAGGGCCTCACCTGTCACGGCCACACGTTTTGATTTCTCTTATCGTCACCGAGAGGCCAACATCCCGCCACCACGTCTGTGGCACCTACGTCATAAGCCAAATCATAGGTAGAGCCTCTCATCGCCACTTGGCATTAGCAGGGCCTCACCTATCCAGTCATTCAATAGTTAAGTTTTTCGCCTCGGCATCTAGCATTAAAGTCCAGTTCTTCAAGACACACCACTCCCCATACCCCCCCCTTCTTACCTCACTCCCCTTCTAATATATCTTTCACATAATCATTCCTTTTTAGAATGTCCCAAGAACCAATTCCAACCGAAGAACTGACAGAAGAAACACCATTCACGCCAATCAGACCCGTGTCTCCAGGCGAATCACTCACTCTTTCAACCCCCACGTCCTTGAGAGCATGGACTATTCCCAAAATCACAGCCGAGCTTAGGCTCAGGGGAATCCCCTTTCCGGCCACAGCTAGAAAGGCAGAACTTTACAGGCTGCTTACCCACCAAGTCCCCGAGCCTCGGCCGGGAACTAGCTCTCAAGGACAACCACCAAGTAACAGCACGGCCACCCAGGATACCCTGGCAGATATCTTGGCCAATCTACAGGCCCTCAATAGCAGGCTGTCTAAGGTGGAGAGCGCCATCTCCTCCTCAGGTACTAACACCGTAGTCCCAGTCTCTACCACGGCTGTACCTGCCATACCTTCATGTCCCTCTATACTCCCCCCTCCAGCACCTGGCACAGCCATCACACCTTTCGAGTCACCAGCACACTCCGTCCCAGATTCTATCAGGAAAGATATCCTTGACGGGAAGGATGTGTGTCTGGTGTCTTTACTCATAGCCTCTCAGGATGTACTCGAGAACAAGGCATACAATTATGGTGACATTTCTGTTGTGCTTAAAACGAGGGATCCCAGGCTTAATAAAAAATTGTCTATCCCACAGTTTGTGATAGCTTTTGGGATATACCGCGACGTCATTTGCACGGTGTATCCCCATAGGAGAGAAGAGCTAGATCTCTATCTCCACAAGGTAGTGGATCTAGGCATCAAGTACGGGGGCTCTTCCTTCTATGACTACCACAAGTCAGTCTCAGCGAAGGCGGCGACCCATCTCAAGCAGTTCAACATTAGAATGAACTGGGGTCAGATGGACACTGAACTTTTCTGTCGCCACTTCGCTGGACTCAGGCCCCCGGCTTGTGCCATCTGTAATTCTACATCCCACATGGCGGACTTATGTCCCGTCGAACCAGATCCCACCACCTCCACTCACACCTCACTCCTCTTTCACCCCTCACAACAAGCCAGCGGGTGGTCTCCGGGATAAGCTGGGTAGGCCCATCTCCTTTTTAGGTAAAGCACAGGTGTGCAATAATTTCAACGCAGGCTCCTGCAGTTTCAGCGCCTGTAGATTATTGCACATCTGCTCCATATGTTTCAGGGCACATACCAAGACCATGTGTCCAGCCAGGTTGTCACCAAACAAATGACTAACCGACATAAATATCGACAACCTGGTTTTTTATCTAAGGTCTCACCCCAGCAGGCACTTAGTGGATTTTCTCACCACAGGTTTCTCACAAGGGTTTCACACAGGCATAATAGCCATTCCCCCAGGTACACTAGAATGTCCTAATCTCCAGTCTGCACGTTTAGACCCAGTCGCTGTAGACACTCTCATTTCCGCAGAAACCACAAACGGTTTCATGATCGGTCCTTTCACCTCTTCACCGTTTTCCTCCTGGCGCACTAACCCTATTGGTATTGCTATTCACAAATATTCTAATAAAAAACGTCTCATTATCGATTTATCGGCACCGCACTCCTCTTTTGTTCCAAGCATAAACGCACTCATTCCAGCAGACGAATTCTCTCTGCAGTACGTCACCATCGACGACGCCATACAGTCCATCATGACATCTGGTAATCGACCCTGGCTCAGCAAAACAGACATCACTAACGCCTTTAAATTACTGCCCATACACCCCTCACTCTGGCACTTACACGGTGTTAAATGGCGAGGGTATTATTACTTCTCAACACGACTCACTTTTGGTTCTCGAAGCAGCCCCAAACTTTTCGACATTTTCGCAGAGTCACTATGCTGGCTGCTTCTGAACGTCATCAGGTGTCACTCCGTTATTCACTATCTAGATGACTTTCTACTGATAGAGCCAGGGTCATCAACACCCACAGCAATCAATAGTACTACCGCACTTTTTTCCACACTTGGAGTCCCTTTGTCCCCAGCCAAAACTATAGGACCCACAACAAAGTTGACCTTTTTAGGCATAGAGCTCGATTCTGTCAAACTCAGAGCTAGCCTTCCACACGACAAACTTTCACGATTGAGAGGGGAGATAGACACGTTCCTGCGGAGTGACGTTTGCACCAGAAGAGAACTTCAGTCCCTTCTTGGATCTCTGAACTTCGCCATGCGCATCATTCCGCAGGGAAGGTCTTTTATTTCCAGACTTCTTTGCCTGCTCCATGGAGTCCCGGACTCCGGCACAGTTTCTTTGGACCCCCACGCCAAGGCTGACTTAGCTATGTGGGGGAAGTTTTTGAAAGACTGGAATGGTATCTCCATGTTTATCCCCCCTCTCTCCACCTCTTCACCCATCATCCACACAGACGCAGCAGCCAACACCGGTTTCGCAGCCATTTTCGGGAACCACTGGTTTAGGGGCCACTGGCCCACTGAGACGGATGCCTTGCCAGGATTCAGGGAGACCTCAACCCTATTTGAAATTTACCCCATTGTGGCGGCCGCACACACCTGGGGTCATCTCTGGTCCGGCAAGGCAGTAAAATGCTACTCAGATAACTCGGCAGCTTGCGATATCATTAACAAAGGGCGCTCATCATCCCTGACCATCATGCGGCTGATTCGCAAGTTGACCTGGCTGGCAGCATCCAATCAGTTTCACTTAGTATGTTCTCACATCCCGGGTATTCACAACACCGCCGCTGACGCTCTTTCTCGTTCTCGATTCCAGGCATTTTCTCAGGCACTCCCAGCAGCTCACCAACAGCCATCCAGGACACCACGGTTTCACGAACTAATATTGGATTAAGCACACTCTTGCTTCACGCTAGATCACTCACTCACCAAGCATGATCACCCAACACTGCTATCACTTACAATAGGGCACTTAACATATTTAACAAATTCACTGCAGAATTCGGGCTACAAGGTGACTTTTCTATCCAAACCATGGTGTCTTTTGCCTCTTTCTGCCACCTACACCTTAATCTGTCACACAACACCATTAAACTTTACCTCACCGGGGTTCAGCACCACAGCCTCACCAATTTTCCTAACAGCACCCCCTTTTTGTCTTCATACCCCATAAAAAAGGTCTTGAAAGGTATATCAAAGGTTTCACCACCACTCGCAAGCACTAGATTACCCATAGACGGGCCTATCTTCAGGTCACTTAGCAATCTCCTTGACACAGCCCCATTTGATAGCCACACCAATACAGTGATAAAATCTGCCATATATCTCGCTTTCTACGGTTTTCTCAGACCTAGAGAATTCACAGTGATTTGTCAAGGAGATATCGCACGATGCCTTAAAACTTCACACCTCACCAAGGTAGAGGATCACTACCTCCTTTCTATCCCTACCACTAAAACCAACCGGTCAATACATCCTACAATAATTCCTCTCTTCCCTACTGATAATGCCTGGTGTCCGGTGAAAGTTCTCGACCAACTACGGTCAACTCTTCACACTCACCTGCCAGACTCTCCGCTTTTAACATTACAAGGGCACCCGCTTACCACGGCAAAATTGATGTCTCATGTCACAACTCTGTTATCTAAGCTCGGACACAACCCGGCTGCATTCTCCGGGCACTCCTTCCGCATAGGAGCCGCCTCAGCAGCCTCAAGCACAAACGCACCGGTCCACATCATCAAAAGGCTCGGGCGATGGAAATCCTCCATATATAACGCATATATTCCGCAACCAGAGAAAGAGCTTCGCCAAGCTTTCAGAAACTTGGTCTTGTAAAATGCAATAAAGTGTGTATTTTCTCGAATTTATCTTTTTGCCCTCTTTTATTTACAGGCCCACTCGTACGTTGGTTTCGGCACACCACAACCAACTTTGCTCACAGTTACTATCCATCACGTATTTAAATTCCGAGCACAAATATATATATATATATATATATATATATATATAATCGCCAACAAATTCCGCATATACATTTAATTCTATAAAAATGCGTATTTCAATATAAATTGGCACTTTTGTAACTTGCTACTGAATGCCTCCTCGGTTGTCATTCAGACAGCCGGTGAGCTTGCGTTTGTTCATTTAGCTCTATGGAGTTAATGGATGTGGCAAATGCACTGGGCTAAAGTGGACCTTTGACCGGTTCAATTTTACTACATATGGCCCCTTAAACAGTAAATATACTATTTATTATAGACAAAAACAATTTTAATTACTGTCTCATCAAGCTGCCACTTGCATTCTATTCAGGCCCCGACGGTGCTTCCATTTTGCATGGTCTATAATTGTTACAATCCACAAGTGTAAAAACCTGAACATTTATATGGTAGCTGTTTAGGTCCAATAATACCATCATGAGTTCGTTGATGCCTTCTCAATAAAACCAGCACATAGAGTAAGATAATGTTTCCACTGCGTAAGGTTCTTCTGCTCTCTCATTTCACTTATTTGTAGGAGTGACATTTTATGCCAATAGTTGACAGGTGACCGGAGGGGCCATATGATAACGTTTTAGGATAAATATATACACTTTCCAGCAGTTTTGTTAGCTCATTGCACACTTGATTGGCACCAATAATAGAGCCATGGCTACCTGGGATTTTGTGCAAATAAAGGAGTAGGTTGTAATGAACCGTGCCATTCATCAGAGAGATTTAAGAACTTTTGCAAGGAGGTGTCTTCTTTGGATGTGTCAGGCATTTATGTAGACTTAATTTAGAAAAGAATGAATGGCTGCTGATTGGGAAGGTCTCTTCCAGGTCTAGGACGTGTAGCAGGAACCTTGGAGGGACACTCAAAGCATAATCCATCCCCGGAGCTTTTCTCCTGTCGTTGCCCTCCATATGATACTGTAGTACACCAGAGGGAATGGGCTGCTGGGACACTTGTTTAGTATTACACTTAAGCAGTTTTTAACACTGAATGGAAGGACTACACTAGGGGACTCCTGACACTAAAACCAGTTAAGTGAGCTGAAACGGATCCAGTGTCCCCCTAAGAATGTGCTTCTGCTTTTATTGCTGTCATTCATATAACCGATATTCTAGTGGAACAATGGTGCAGTGCACTGACCTGTACTAATTCCCATGTCTTTATATACCTCACACAGTAGACTTGGGCATTCGTGTTTAGATGAATTTCGGCTATATGTCGATTCGTCAAAAAAACAAATGAACGAATACAAATTACAACAAATGAAACAAACAAATTGCTTTTTCGATTTAAAATTTCATTTGTGCAATTTGTTTTATATTACTGGCTTTATATTTGTTTGTTTTATATTACTGGCTCATGGCTCCCTCCTTGTTGTATATAAAAATAGAAGCACAGCTTCTACTCCACTTCCTAAATCCTCCATGACTCCACCATTGTCCTATGGGGTCAATATGACCTATTGGTATTAGGGAGGTTAAATACTCTTCTGCCGCTACCCACCATGTTGTGAGTAGAGGCATATCTACTAAGCCGTGAGGGGCTGCTCGCTTTTATATTAAAACAAAAAAAGGCAATCGCCATTGCTGCCCAGTCACTAAACCAATAAAGGAGAGATCATGTCCCCCATGGTAGGGCACGTAATAAAACAATTACTTGGTCGTAGTGTGTGTCTTCCCACCTCCCTCCCCCGTGAATGTGGGCCTTTAAACTAAACAGGGAACATCCTGTGCTCCCCTCAAGCCCCACTCATTTGTGTCAGTTGGGGACCCTAAATAATAAGGGAGTAGACCTATTGTACCACCTCTCTAGCCCCATCCACTGATGGCGGGTGGGGGCCTTAAATAATAATGGATAACTCCAAAACGGGAAATAAGAACCACACCTACTAACCACACAAGGGTGCAAGGAATCCAATCCTCCCAAACCAGTGTATATTCAGGAAAATATTTAAAAAAAAATTGTATTAACCTCTTGTCCCCCACCCATTGGCTGCAGGTGGGAGCTAATAATAAAACACCCCAAGGCCCTTCCCCACCCCCTAATAATAGCTGGGGGGCCAGACTGTAAGCTTGTTTGAGCAGGGCACCCAACACACTGGGCAAAAAGACAAGTTGTACACACAGGAACAAATACTTCTCTGTTCGATCACCTATTGTACAATGCAGTGGGATTTGTTGGTGCTTTATAAATTATAATAAACTAAATACTTGTAAAAATATAAAATGAATACTTTCCATTAGATTTAAATGTTTTAATTTTTTTTTTTAGCCCCAAAAAAGGCTAGTGGCGGCAAACTATTAACATTTAAAAAAGATTACAAAACCATAATCCACCTTGAATTGGTGAGGGCTCCGCGCAGACTAAGCTTGCAGGGCAGTACAAAGTCTTATAATGCTTTTCCAGTCCATGTAGTTTGACTCTGTATAGTGCACTCTGGTTATCTTTAGGTAAATTTGGAGATACGTGTTTATTAAATAGCTACCACACAGGGCTGAAGGGGGACACTAGGTTTCCCCCCCTTTTTAGTTTAATAGCCCCACTCGCAGTAAACTGTTGGGGGGGGCATGGGGGATACACTATACCCCCCAGTTAATTGTTTTATGAATGAAATTCCTAAATGAATGAAAACAAATATAATGTGCAAAAAAGAATGAACTAACAATGTTTTTTAAAACCAAATGTATTTGGACGAAATGAAAATTACAGCGGCACCCAAGTCTTATAGACAGACAGTGTGTCCAATGACTTATGGGAGATAATTACATAACCCTGAAACCAACATAATGTTTTGCACATTGAAGCTAAAGCTGCAAAACAGCCCTTAGCTTAATAGTTATATGGTGCCAGAATTTACAGCTTGCAATTCAAGAGTTTGAAGGCAGCAAGGAAAGTGGTTTTGGAACTGGCTAAGGTTATCTACACTTTTTTGCTTCTTAATGGGTAACTGCCATTTCCATGGATATTATTCCATTCAATAAACCATAAAAATCACTGATAACGTTTATCCTTTTTATACTGTTTTCATTTAAATTTCTGTTAAAGACTTGATTAACGGTATCACAAACCAGTTCAGTCAAGGGATAGTCAGGGCACACGTTGCAAATGAAGGAGGGAAATAGAAACTTGTTTAACTTCTCCTTTTCTGCCTGTGCTTTCTCTATGTTGACTGCAAGGTACAAAGACAAATCTTAGAACATACACTGGTCAGCCACAACATTAAAACCACTTGCCTAGTATCATGTAACTCCCCTCATGCTGCCACAACAGCTCTCATGTGTCGCGGCATGAACCCCACAACACTTCTGAACATGTCTTGTGGGGTCTGGCACCAAGGCATTGACAGCAGATCCTTTTAAGTCATGCATGGATCGGATTTGTTGTTCCAACACATTCCACAGATGCTTAATCTAATTGAGATCTGGGAAATTTGGTTGCCAAGGCAACACCTTGAACTCTGTCATGTTCCTCAAACCACTTCTGAACAATTCTAGCAGTGTGACCGGGTGCATTATTCTGATGAAAGACTCCACTACTATCAGGGAACACCATTGCCATGAAGGTATGTACATGGTCTCGAACAATCTCTAGGTAAGTTTGTGTCAGTAACATCCACGTTAATCCTAGAATCCAAGGTTTCCCAGCAGTACATTGCCCAGAGCATATCACTGCCTCCGCTGGTCTTCGTTTTCTCATAGTACATCCTGATGCCATCTCTTCATCAGGTAAATGAGGCACACAAACTCGTCCATCCACCTGTTTTACAAGAAAACGTAATTCATCAGACAAGGCAACCTTATTCATTTGCTCCATAATCCAGTTCTGACAATCATATCCTCATTGAAGGAACTTTTGACGGTGGACAAGGGTCGTCATGCTATGTAACAGACTGAAATACACTGTGTGTTCTGACACCTTTCTATCATGGCCAGCATTATGTTGTTTTCAGCAGTTTGAACTACAGTAGCTCTTCTGTTTGATCGGACTAGTTTTTGCTCCTCACATGCATCAATGAGTCTTGGGTGCCCATGACCCTGACACCAGTTCACAGGTTGTCCTTCCTTGCACCACTTTTGGTCATTACTAGCACTGCTTATCAGGAACACCATATAACACTTGTCATTGTGGATATCCCATTCCTCTAGCCATCACTATTTGGCACTTGTCTGATCACTCAGATCTTTTCACTTGCCCATTTTTCCTGATTTCATTGCATGAAATTCAAGAATTGAAGGTTCACTTGCTGCCTACTATATCCCACCCCTTGACAGGTGTCATTGTAATGATCTAAACCATGGAAAAAACAGTGAACAATTATTCACTTTACCTGTCAGTTGTTTTAATGTTGCGTCTGATCGGTGTAGATTGACAGGGAGCTAAGATGGAGATGGTCAATTACATAATATATTTGCATTTTTCTTCTGCAAACCCCACAAATACTTTTCAAATGTATGAAATAGGTTTTCTGATGTCATGGGAGAACTCCTTTAACCCCTTAAGGACCAAACTTCTGGAATAAAAGGGAATCATGACATGTCACACATGTCATGTGTCCTTAAGGGGTTAATTGGATGTGTGAAATCGCCACTGCAACTTTATAATCTAGATCAGGGGTTCCCAATTAATATTTCCCGTGAAACCCTTTGACAGAGTGTATCAACATCGTGGTGCAGACCTTGAGACACACATACACTGACACAGATACACACACCTTGACACAGTGTGTATGTATCTGTGTGTAACTATGTTTCAAAATGTGTATCTGTGTGTGTGTGTGTGTGTGTGTGTGTGTGTATATATGTATCTGACACACACAGATGCACACTAACACACACATCTTGATTCACAAATACAGACACACAGTGACATGTATACACACATATATATATACACACACACACACTTAGATACACAGTGACCCATACACAAATATAGAAACACATACTCTTTGACAGACACACATACACTCACTGACAAACACGCATACTCTTTTACAGACACACATACAAACACATATATACACTCCCACTAACAAGAACAGATCCATTCTCACTGACAAACACACATACACTCCCACACACTCAACAACAAGCACCTATTCACACTCACTGACAAACACAATTTTTTTTTACTTTTACTCCACACAGCCCCCCTACCTTTAGGAGTGCTGGCATGGAGTCCTTGGGTTCCAGTGGGGCTGCTGAGCGGCTGGCGTGCGGGCGGCGAGGGAGCAGTGATCTCCCTGCTCGGCTCCCTCGCCGAGATCACTGCTCCCTTGCCGCCCGCGGCCATTTTTTTTACTTTTGGCGGAACTCCAATTGGTGCTGGGGTTCCACGGTGCACTAATTGGGAAATGCTGATCTAGATATCTGTTGCACAAGATAAATGACGGTAACTGGTTCTCTGCGTGGTTGAAGATACAGCAATAATATAGAACATCATTGTTTTTTAGAGACTGGGGGCACTTTGTAGGGCTGAAGAGTGGGGATCAGCTATTGAATGGAAATAACCAATGTTTTGATTGTTCAGCTATGTTAAGATAGGTCTTGTGACTTTGGAACTTGTATATTTTTTTCTTTTTTATTCCATTAAGATTCGGAAGGAAGAAAGTCCTGTTTGCTACCATGGCTGTACAGACTGGCTTCAGCATTGTGCAAGTCTTTTCCATAAACTGGGAAATGTTCACGGTTTTATTCCTCATTGTTGGTATGGGACAGATCTCCAATTACGTGGCTGCTTTCATACTTGGTAAGATCTTTAAAAAAAAGTCCTTTTTTTTTTGTTGTGTGTTTTTTATTTATTTATTTTTTTTATTTTTTTTTAGCATTTGCTGTTTCTAGTTTAAGAGACGATGATAAGATTGTATTTATTACTTTAATGGACCTTTTGTATTGTATTAAAAGGCTATATTTGCCAACAGATAAATAATTTTCACACAAGGTGATCATTACCTGGGGACAGCTGATGGAGGTGCAGTTTGTTACAACATTTGCGTTCAAAGCTCATCACCCTCTCTCTGAAGCAGGAAGTTCAGCAGGACTGTCATAAATTCTGTATATTGTGAAATCTTTGAGGTCTCACAGCCAAGATGAGCTTGTGTTCCATTTGAATCAGGCTCTTAAGGCTGCTTTAGAACATACGTCGATGAGTGCCCCTTATCACAGGACTTATTTGGGACATTAAAGGAATGCTTCCACCTCCAAAACAACCAAAGTTATTTTAAAGGTACACTATAGATACCAGAACCACTACAGCTTAATACAGGGCTCGACAAATCCCAGGCACCATGGCGACTAGGATTTTAGACCTGGCGCCTGAGATTTGTTGGCCCATTCAGCCCCTGAGGTAGGCCAGTAGTTGTCTGAGTGAAGGTGGCCGGCCAACTAAAGAGCATGGGCATGCGGTTGGTTGGCTGGCCGCCCGGCTAAGAGAAGCGCATTTGCAGCCATTCTGCCGGCCGGCTGTGCGCACAGTCGGGAGGCTCCTGGAAGATTGAGGCATAAGGGCAAACGTCCGAGGGAGCTATAACATCCCTCCCTACTCTTTCGCGTCCTCCAGTGATGGAGGGAGCTGGAATATGATGTCATTCCGACCCCGGCATCACTAAACAGTGCTCTATGGAGCAGGGCAGGGAGATGACTGAATTCCCACTGGACCCCAGGGAAAGCAGAACCACTCCAGCTTCAGGTAGGGATGCTGAGTGGTCACCTTAATGTGTGTTATTGCAGTGACAGTGAATGTGAGTGAGTGTGTGTCAGTAAGTGTGTCGGTTAGTAAACGTGTGTTTAGATGACCGGTCCCCCTCCAATCACATGGGTAAAGGGTTTTTACTCCCTCACCTTTTTCCCCCCATGCTGTGCTGGTCTCGCCCCAGCTGTCCTTGCCTCCATGACTGTGATCATCAATCTTGATGAAAAGCATTAGGAGGCTATTGCGCATGTGTGGCAAAATGCCATGCTGCGCCAATCGGCATCTCCTCATATAGATGAATTGATTTAATGCATCTTTATGGGAAACATCCATTGCCTCCATGCAGAGCGTGAAGACGCTAAACGTAGGTGCTGCGTACTATGCAGCACTGACCCAGTGTGCACTCTAGCGGTCATCTGAGTGACTTTCACTAGAAGTGTTACTAGGCTACAATGTAAATACCGCCTTTTTCTCTGAAAAGGCAGGGTTTGCATTGAAAAGTGTGGAGGGACCGGTTATAGACACGATAACAACTACATTGAGCTGTAGTGGTTCTGGTGACTATAGTGTCCCTTGAAGAATTTTATTTTTCCTAACTTTTTTTTTTTTTGCTGACTCCTAGATTCGAATTTGTCAAGCCCTGGCTTAAAGGGACACTATAGTCACCTGAACAACTACAGCTTAATGTAGTTGTTCAGGTGAGATCTATAGCTCCATGCAGGCAATCTAATGTAAACACTGTATTTTCAGAGAAAATACAGTGTTTACATTGATAGGAATACCTCCAGTAGCCGTCACTCAGGGCTGCCTGGAGTGTCCCTTTAATATAATGGCTCTGTCTGGGGCAAAGTGCCAATCCCTGCAGGCTGAGCAGTGTGATTGCTGTCTTTACTGAGAAAATACAGTATTTACACTGCTACTTAAGACGGCCACTAGAGGCACTTCCTGGGTTCGGTCCTGCCAATATTGCAGAACCAACTTTCTGTAACTCAAGTTTCTGCAAGGAGATGCTGGAGTCGATGCATCTCTACTAGGAGAGGAGATAGGTAGACATTGAATTGGCTGAAAACATCAGGATTGATGATTTCTGGGAGTCTGGGCAGCAGCACGGAGAAAAGTTTGCTAGGGGATATAAGGTAACTACAACTGTGTTTTGTTTTGGTTTTTGTTTGGATAGTTTGTTTGCAGATAGTTGGGCTGATATTTAAAATAGCTGGTAATAGATTGAAATTGTCATCTAAAGTTCTCATCCTTTCACTGAGTCCAGTGAGTGAAATAGTACGACGTCCATTCCAGTGAGAGAAATAAACGTATAGCAGCCATATACCATTTTATGATCCTGGCCGTGAGCTGCTGACTGCGCATGTTCCCAGTTGAACTTTGTGTCCAATGATAAAAACAACACTTTGGAATGTCTAATTGTTGCTGTCATAAGCCACATAGAAAGGAAAGTGTAACGGAGCTCCCTGTACTCCGACCGAGTACCCTCCGTTGATGGATGCTCCTAGCGCTTCCTGAGGACTCCAAACACTGCAGCAGACACCACAACCACCGCAGACTCCACAACCGCCGTAGCTTAACTGGAGTCTCGCCGTCTTCCTTCCACCCTGGATCAGCTTCTGTCCTCCAGGACCGTGTGGGGAAGACCTCTCCTCCAGGAGAGCGTAACAGGAACAGCTCTTAAAAGAGCTAAGTGATTAAAAGCTCAGGGGAGTATGCAGAGCATAGCAATCCCCAGTGTGATATAGCAGTTCCCTCCAATAATGAGACAAGGCTACGTATTGAGGGTCAAGAAGATCTGTTTACTTGGCACCAAAGGGCCTTCTTTTATGCAGGTTTCCCTGAGATAGGACCACCCACAGGGTTTTACACAACAACCAATGATAAACGTACATTACAGAAACACTCCCAGCAATTACACACAAAAATCCTCCCCTCTGCCTGTGATCTAATTATGGTACACAATGGGTTAACATAATTAAACACAGGCAGTAAAAATACAGTTTTTACCCATACCCTGTAACTTTAAAACCATACATCCAATCTTCATACAAATTACATATTTAGAATCAATCCATTCAGGGGAGCAACATATTAAAAAATGGCACAAATGAGACAAGGGGTTCAAAAGTTAGCAAAAGTATCTTTTGGGGCCTGGCTGGCAGCATGGTTATCTGGCCCAAACCGGTTTTACAGAGCCCTCTATCCAGGAGACAATGGGGAAAATAATCCACTTATATCCAGGGATAGAGGCAGACTGCATTAACCACATTTTAGCAAAAGACACAAATACCTAACTCCTATCATACTGAACAGAACCCCCACATTCAACCTATCCCCAGATGGCTTGGATCTGAGCGCTCAATATATCCAAGCAGCGCTCAGATCCCACAAATACAGTCAAATCGCCATACCCACTAGTTCCATAGTCATGGGGCAGAAGGATGGCAATTAGGCTTCTCCATAACACAGGGAAGCAGGGCAATTTGTCAAATAAAATAAGTTACAAATGGCAGTCTGTAACAGAAAGGTACTCACTGCACCATAAACTATGCAGTAATGCAAAGTGGTTATGCTGCCTAGAGCAACAGAAATCAATGCTTGCAAAATGTATTTTGTCTTCCATTAACCTGTTAACGCCATTAGGACGCTCTATGCCATCCCCATTATAATGGGCTTTAAAGAACGCCCTAACGGATTTGAGCCCCAGCGCCCTGCAAGCACTCGCCTCCACTGCGATCCACTTCTGGGGGACTGCCTCACAGCCCCGGCAGTCCCCCCTCGGCCATTTAGACACCCGAGGGCCATGTGATCGCTTGTGTAGCTTAATAAAACCGTAGCAGGAATTAATAAAACGTAACTTTTTTATTGTCTCAATCAATATAAAATAAACCAAGTATAATAAGGAAAACGAATAAAATCGAGAATCGAATGTTCAGTCCTTCCTGTAAATGCGGTGCTGAGTAATATAGCATTATTAGGCCCTAACACCAAAACCGCTGGTTACACAACATTTGAACATCTTCAAGAGAAATCTAGTGTCACAACTGGAAATAAATTGACTACAGAAGAAATTAACCATACACCATGAGAAGGAAGAAATTCCCATACCCACATTCTTACCTGCAGAGAATTGTTAACCTAAATCCATACCCCAAGATGGCATAACATATATGAGGGAAATGACCCTAGAAAAACTAGTCCTTAACCTACGGACAAGACTACCAAAGATCACTGGAGAGCAACCACCAGGCCGCATGCTAGCTGCAGTTAATGAAGCATTGTCCACAATCCCATCCTGCACCATCACAGAAACGAACAGGCTCATATATGCCACAGCATTAGTAACTTGACTACAAGATCAATGAACATCAAATGTGGCATATACCAAGGTGATGCGCTGTTCTGCATAGGCCTCAACCCCCTTAGCCAGATCATCAAGAAGTGTGGATACGGCTACAAGTTCAAGAGTGGAGCTACCATCAGCCACCTACTCTACATGGATGACATCAAGCTGTATGCCAAGAATGAGCGGGGCATTGACTCACTGATCCACCTAACTAGGATATACAGCAAGGACATCAGAATGTCATTCGAACTAGAGAAGTGCGGGTGGATGATAGCAAAAAGAGGGAAAATGATCAGGACAGAAGGAGTTGAAGTTCCAGAAGGCCAAATAGAAGATGTAGAGAACAGCTACAAGTACCTGGGGGTACCACAAACACATGGCAACCATGAGGAAGAGGCAAGTAGATGGCAAAAAGTACCTTCAGAGAGTCAGACAGGTCCTGAAGTCCCAGCTCAATGGCAAGAACAAGATCCAAGCCATCAACACATATGCCCTACCGGCTATCACGTACCCAGCTGGAATAATAACCTGGCCAAGAGAAGAACTGGCCACCATGGATGTCAAGACCAGGAAACTACTCCCTATGAATGGAGGATTTCACCCGAAATCCAGCACCCAATGACTGTATACCTGCCGGAAGAAAGGAGGTTGGGGCCTGCTGAGTGTCAAGGCCACAGTCCTGGATGAAACACAGAGCATCCACAAGTACATCATGAAGATGGCTCCCAAAGATGAACTACTAAGGGAATGCCTGAAACTTCCACAGATCAAGGATGCAGGAAAAGAGGAGGTTCCTTGGCAAGACAAACCTCTCCATGTGGTGTACCACCAGCAGATCGTGGATGTGGCTCACATGATAAAATCCTACCAGTGGTTGGAAAAGGCAGGACTGAAAGATTGCACTGAGGCACTAATCCGAGCAGCACAGGAGCAGGCACTCAGCACCAGATCAATAAAAGCTGGAGTCTACCACAGAGACAGTCCATCACCTAGTAGCTGGATGCAAGATGTTAGCAGGAACAGCATACATGGAGACACACAACCAAGTTGCTGGGATTGTGTACCGAAACATCTGCACAGAATATGGATTGGACCTGCCTAAGTCCAGATGGGAGATACCACAAAGGGTAGTTGAGAATGACAGGGCTAAGATCCTGTGGGACTTCAAGATCCAGACAAGCAAGTGCTGGCCAACCAACCAGACATCGTGGTGATAGACAAGGAATGAAAGACTGCAGCCGTGGTGGATGTGGCAATACTCGGTGACTATAACATCAGGAAAAAGGAACATGAGAAGTTGGACAAATACCAAGGACTGAAAGAAGAACTAGAACGTATGTGAAAAGTGAAGGCAGTAGTAGTCCTAGTTGTGATAGGAGCACTTGGGGCTGTGACTCCCAAGTTGGGGGAGTGGCTACAGCAGATTCCAGGTGAGACATCTGAGATTGCTGTCCAGAAGAGTGCAGTTCAAGGAACAACTAAGATACTGCGCAGAACATTTAAACTCCCAGGCCTCTGGTAGAGGACCCAAGAATGAGGAATAAACATACCACCCAGGATGGGTGAGAAAATAAATGTGTGTGTGTGTGTGTGTGTGTGTGTGTGTGAGAGAGAGAGAATTAGATACATATACACGTAGGATTTAAATACATGTATGTTTAAATTATATGCGTATATTTATGTAATCTTTTTACATAATTAAGTCATTTTATTAAGTATAATTTGAGGGACCAGCCTGACAACCCAGGCAGCAAGTCCAGAGATTTAATTTGCAAGTCCTATGTTTAACCCTGTAACTTTTCAAAACACCATAAAACCTGGACATGGTGGGTAGTATTGTACTTGGGAGACTTCACTGAACACAAATACAAGTGTTTCGAAACAGTAAAACTTTTCACGACAATATCACCAGTAAAAGTGCAGGTTTTGTGTGTAAAAATAAAAATACAAAAAACAAATGTGAATGCTAACTTTGGCTAGCGTATGTAACTAAGTGACAAAACTTGTACAATTGGCTCCGTCCTTAAGGGGTTAAAAACATAAAATGTAATCTGCCATAGTGTATTCCTATTAAATTCTGTACTAAATCCTAGTACAGGATTTAATTACTTACTGGGCTCAATTACCAAATATAAGGTCTTATCGATCCCTGGTGAGATGGCTTTTCATCATATTTAGTTATAACCTGGTCTCTTTAACCTAACTTTTTGGCCACCTGGTGTACTGTTCCTCATTTGTATCTGGACAATGTTTAGCTGGGAGTCCCGACCCTCCAAAGGATCACTGCATAGAAGATCACCTCCTGTATTGATAGACATTAGAACACACTATAAATATGTCACTATTCAGGCATTCTGTTCTACTGTGTAATATTTATTAAAAGCCTAGTTTAAAATTGCGAACATACTCCATGTGCTTCTGAATTGAAAAATAAAGTATTTTTGTTAATGTTTGGTGATTTTTATTTCACCTTTTTTTTTTTTTTTTTTTTAAATGTAATGCTTTTTCCAATCCAGATTACAATGTTCTGTAATCACCATAGTGAACCTTTCTCTGTAACTGATATGGAGGCTAAAAGTAAACATTATTTCTGTGCACTGTGTAGTACTGCACTGTCAAAAGCCGGCCTGTTGATTTGTCTCTTGTACAGTGGTTACAGAAATCTTAGCCTTTATTATTGACGTAGAGCTGCTTTGCATTTGTACATAGGAGTTGTTGCTACTGTCACTCAGGATTAGATTTTTGCCTTCTAAATTATTACAAATAATGCAAGAAAAGGCTACTTGGGATTCATTGGAAGCAACATTTGCATTGTATTATATTTTGCCAATAAATCATTTTTTTTATTTTATTTTTTTCACAAGAAGCAATGTTTAAATATGGTTAACTGTTTGTGGGATAGGGGTCCCAAAGCCCATCGTTGAAACTGTAAAAATATGATTACTAATGGAAAATTTATGAACTTAGAAAAAGATGTTACTTAAATGAATATGAGAATTTACGATTATGGATCACATCTTACCCCTTTTTTAAACTCCATGCAGCCACTTCTTGTAGTTAAGTCATCACGGTTGATGACATGTGACCCAATCAGATACTTTACATAGAAAAGCATTGAGGACCTTCTGCCAATCCCATGCGTCTCTATGAGAAGCTTTTAAATGCTGGACTTCTTGTAAACAAACATTGGAAACACACAGAGTAAGGCACTGATGTACTATTTATGCTGATTCCAGATGTCAACTGTATTAAATCTATTTCAGCTGCCAGTTTCAAATGTAATCCATGTATACTCTTATTTAAAAAAAAAATTCCACATAGCTCTGACACATTTTTACTCAAAGGGACACTATAATCACCAGAACAACTACAGCTTATTGTACTTGTCCTCGTGAGTATAGTCAGTCCCTGCAGGCTTTTTGCACTAAACACTGTTTTGTTTTTTTGTTTTTTATAATGTTTACATTATAGCCTAAGGACTCCTCAGATGGCTACTAGAGGTGCTTCCTGGGACAGTGCTGCATAGTGTGCAGCACTGACGTTAAGTGTCTACACGTTGTGCATGGAGAAGCCGAACGTTTCTCATAGAGATGCATTCAATTAATGCATCTCTATGAGGAGATGCTAGTTGGCCAGGGCGGCGTTTGCTGAGATCATCTGAATTGACTATCTCAGCCAATCCAATGCTTTCCTATGGAAAAGCATTGTGATTGGCGGAGATCATAAATTCACATAATGTCAGCCAAGGAGGCGGATTGGGGGGTGAGACCGCACTGTGGACCCGCCTAGTGCTGGAAATAAGGTAAGCTTTTACTAGCTTTAAAGTAGGAAAGGAGAGACCGGAGTGTGTGGGGCTAAATAGTTTAACACCGTAGGGTCAGATATACACATTTTTCTTCCTTTAAGCAGATGCAACTAATCAATTCAATTAAATTCTGGAGAAACTATGAAGATTGTTTTATCAAGTACAAAATGATTTCTACATATTTGCACATAGATGCAAAAAAATCATATCTAAATATATCTCTCTAAAATTAATTTGCCGTTTACATCTTGGTGACGTTAAAATTAGATTGTACTATTTCTTTCATATAAGTCCCTTTAAAATTGCCTGTCCCATAGATAAAAAGCAGTACAATATGAGGATTTTCCCAGACATCGATTTCACATGCAGTTCTGCTTTTTTTATAAACCATGTGATGTCTAATTTAGTGATCAAACATGGTTCATAGTCCAATACTTGGTAATGAGTCATTCCAGAAATGCAGAATTTACCTATTCTTAAATGGACACACCAAGAGCCTGCTATAACAAACTGATATTGGTGCCCTGAAACAGATTAGCCATTCAGCTCACCCTTCCTGCTGGCAGGTGCAGAAATATACCACTGAAAATGGGAAGACTAGAGCTGAATGACAGTGTTTGATTGGAGAAGGACTCCTGCTCTGAGGCAGCAGCTGCAAATCTTGCTGAATTGCAACAATTGCAAGAACCTAAAGTGAATATTTTCATACATATAAATTATCTATCCTGTGGAAAAGTTAGAGCTCATTTAAAAAAAAATAAAAAAAAAATTGCCATGTCCACTTTTTTGGTGAATGATAGAGGCCACCAATATCAGTCTTTAAACTACACTTGCTCCTGGTCACACATTTGAATTGTTTTAAAAAAAAAAAAAAAAATATATATATATATATATATATATATATATATAAGTAAAGTAACTAATTTTGGCAAAAACAATAGTTTGTCTTGTTTTAGTTTACACATTTGTTGCTTCATTGTTTGTGTTTTTTGGGGGTCGTTTTGTATTTTTTATTTTTTTTTTAAATGTATTGTGCCCTCAAAACAATTGACACATTGTGAGAGTAAAACCAATTATGAACTGTGTATATGTACACCAAGACTAAAAGAGCGTGTGAGAGTTTATGCTTTCTAAATAATATAAAAATGAAAAAATTTAAGTGGTTCAATCCACAAATTACGAGTCATGTCTTTCCAAGAGGACATAAGAGGCCAATGTGCATATAAAACCTATTTTAGGGATTATAGGCACAATGGCCATCCTTGCCGATTTTTAAGCCCATTTATAAAACGCGGCGTTACTGCAGTAGGCTGCTGCACCAGTGTCCGAACACTCAGGGTAAAGCTTGGCTAGAGATAATTCTATATCCCTGGGAATCTGTCGGTTGGAGAGGCAGAACTAGTCTTCTTCATAGTTGGCCACACGCTTCAGATATGGTTTTAGTTGTTTAACACACTTTTGTATTTAAAACCATGCAGATTATCATTTGTTAAAGCTGAGCTATGGACTTCTATGTAGCTCCCTGTCTGTATGAAACATTTATTTATATTTTTTTGAACGCTTTGCTTTTCATGAAACACAAGGAAATTTGTAACTAGGTAACATTTTACAATTGGCAGAGGTTAATCAAGGTCCATATTTCATTTGCAGATCAGATTTACCCACAAGCCTCAGTTAACTCAGTCCCACAGAAGGCCAACCATCATAGACCGAGGAAAACCTGTTAGTCTTGCCCAGATATTGAGATCTGGAACTAGGCAAAAATATTAAGATGATAAATCAATCTAAAATAAAGGCAAAAGGAAAGGGGGAAAAAAAACAATATACAGCGGATTGCTTTAACCCCTTCATGTTGCTAGGACATTTCATGTCATCCTCCACAGAGTGGGCTTTAACACATAATAGCATTGAATGTCCTTTAGTTTTTGTATAGGCAGGGTTAAATCCCTGCTCACACCAGAGACACCCAGGTACCAATCGATACCTGGAATTCCACTCTTAGCTGGGGCCATGTTTAGTGAGAGATGAGCTGTATGCAGTTCTCAAAGTGAGCATTGCATATAGCCCTTTAAATAACCATTGTTGAGTTATCCCATTCAGTCATGGTGATTCTCTGCTTGCCCACATTTTGAGGTAGACGCCCAGGGTCTGAGATGACCTTGAGAGGTTCTCCCTGCAAACTTGATATGCACTTTGCTTTGCGTGCTGCCCAGCATGGATCACTGTGTTCTGCAAGAACGGCATTGATGAGCTGCAGTGTGAGAGAAAGATCTCCCTCTCATGCTGCAATCATACAGTAGAGGACGCTCGGGAAGCATGAAGCTATTTTGAGTTCTTTTTCTTAAGTTCTGTTTGATGAGTAAAAATGTATTGTAAGCCAAACCTTGAAATATGTGCTTTCCATTGTATCCCCTCCTTTTTTTTTTTTTAAATGTGTTAGGTATACATACAGGATATTAAAAGAAGGCCATTTATATTCTTTATAAAACTATATAGCCTCTGAGTGCAATTGAAGAGAAACACCTAAATTATGGTGGCCTAAATTCTAGGTTTTGTTGTGGTTCAGAAGTTTGACAATTGCTTCTGTCCTTAAAGGGTTAAGCATTGAAACATGCTCTGTAATTTATTTCAATAAATGAACGCTCTGAATCAATGCTTTCCTCTGGGGAAGGCCTAAGGTGTGCACATGGTGCATGCCCATTGGGTGCCCTCAGATTGCCGATGTCGGTGGAGCACTCTGGTACATTGGAGCTTGAATCAGGTAAGTGTTTAAAGTTTTTTTTGTTTTTAACCCTTTAATTGGCAGGGAGGGGGGATCATTTTAGTGCATAGGATCACTATATCTTTAGGAATACACTTATACACTCTTCATTTAACTCCTAAATGGCAGAGAATTGAGCAGTGAGACTTCAGAGGCATGATCTATACACTCAAACTGCTTCTAAGCTAAAGTTGTTTTGGTGAATATGGTGTCCCTTTAATTTTTAAATGCCAATGTTCTTTATTTTGTTTTTTATTTTTCTTTATGAAGGGGCTGAAATCCTTGGCAAGTCGGTTCGGATTATATTCTCTACACTTGGTGTCTGCATATTCTATGCTATCGGCTACATGCTGCTGCCTCTAATTGCTTTCTTCATCAGAGACTGGCGGATGTTACTGTTGGCCCTAACAATCCCAGGGCTGTTCTGCATTCCTTTGTGGTGGTGAGTTTCATGGTACATCCGGTTTAAATACTAACTGGCCACATCTCCGTGGAACCTCTGTATTGTCTTACCTGCCAAATCATGGGGGCATGTGGGGGAATCTACCACCAGCAGGGTGAAATCAATTTGTGGTACATTGAAATCCAGTCGATTTAGATGCCACATATATATATTTTTGAAGCTAACTTTCCTGTTTACTGTTTAATCCAAAACTAAAACGTACCGTAACTGCATATCACGTGAGAGAGAGTGTTTGTCTGTCTCTCTGTCAAGGTCAGGTCACCAGATGACTGAGGAAGCTTATTTTTAAGCGAAACGTGTTTTTGCAACAGGACCGGCACTTATTGGACTATTCCCAACATTTGTTTTTAAATTGGTTTATTTGTTTTCATACATATATTTTTATTAATAAATCACTGTTGGATTAATCTCGTGTCCAGTCCTGCCCTTGTGACTTCTGCACTTCAATAGGGGAAGTGTCACCCCATAACTTGACACCTTGCTTTTCCACCTCAGAGCCAGGCTTATCAGGCTCTGAACAAGGTGAGCTTAACATCCTTATATATTAGGGAACGACCGATTATCGGTCTGGCCGATATTCTGTATTTTCAGCTAACTGCCAATAATGCAGACCATGGCGGTCCTGGGGGATCCAGCAAGCTCTCGCTAGTTAGGGGAGCTGCCAGGAAGGTAAGTAAGCGCTTGCTGGGCCCCCCAGGGAATGCCATATCCCCCCCCCTCCCTGGCCAGGTAAGAAGCCGGGAGGGGGGACTAAAAGCTCCTGCCTCACCCATGGATATAAGTTAAAAAAATTAAAATGCCCCCTCCCCTCGTTTTAAACACTTAACATACCTACACACACACACACACTACATTCATTATATATACACACTATGCAAACACACTGCATTCATATAAAATAAACTATTTTTACACAAATCTACTGTTAACAGGACATGTTTATTTTTTATTTATTTCAAATCTATTTTATTTTTTTTATTACGATAAATGCACAACATTATACATACCAGTCAGAATTTTTTTATGTTTTCAAGAATATATGTGTGTGTAGTGGATGCAGTGAGAGTATTTGATTAGTGAATGCAGTGTGTGTGTGTGTGTGTGTGTGTGTTTTTGTAGTGGATGCAGAGTGTGTGTTTGTGTAGTGTGTGTGTGTGTGTATAGCGAATGCAGTGTGTTTTGTGTAGTGTGCTTATAGTGAATGCAGTGTGTACTGTGTGTGTATAGCGAATGTGGTGTGTGTGTGTGTGTGTGTAGCGAAGGCAGTGTGTTTTATGTAGTGTGTGTGTATAGAAGGCAGTGTGTTTGTGTAGTGTGTGTAATGTGTATGTAGTGAATGCAGTTTGTGTAGTGTGTGTGTGTGTATAGTGAGTGCTTGTGTAGGTATATTAAGTGTGTAAAATGGGGGGGAAAGGGAGGGATTTGTATTTTTAACGTTAAAAAAATAAAATAATATGTATTTATTTTTTAAATAGTTTTAGTTCCCACTCCCTGCTTCTTACCTGGCCAAGGACAGGGGGATATGGCAAGCCCTGGGGGGCCCAGTGCACTCATACTTCCCTTCCCAGCAGCTCCCCTGTCTAACTCTTGTGGCAAGTGTGCCGCGGTAACCCGTGGCTCTGACTGCCGCAGATTTAGACCGGGAAGTTGCTGGGAAGGTAATTAAGTGTGCTGGGCCCTCCAGGACCTTGATGGGGGCCCTGGCCTGTATTATCGGCAATATCAATATCTTTATTGGCCGATACTGATATTGCTGAAAATACAGAATATCAGCCGATAATCTGTATACCATCTGCACCATATTCTCTGTGTTTTTATTTCATATATTTCGTCTGACGCCACTTTTACTCCTACATACATTGAGGGGTGAGTATGATCATTTATGCGTGGTTCACTTTCCACCTAGCACTCCACTCTAATATAGATATAGGATCTATATACTTCTTATTTACAGGATATGTAACACAGTATCGCGGTATTGCTAAGTATGTTTTGTGCTCTAGTATAGAATATGCTCGGTGTGTCAAATGTAGAGAGGATAGGTAAAGATACGTATGCATTTTTACATTATTTGCCTTGGTAATAATTTACATCCAAACCAGTAATGTACTTAAAATTATTCTCATGGTTGCAGACTTGCTGTCTAATAATAATTTATTGCATACTGTAAAGAGAACGTAAATTATTTTTCTACAAGTTTCAAAGCAGTGACTCTTACATGCAGCTTTACATAGGACACTGGGAAAGGATATGTAGCTCTTAAACCTAATATTCATATGGACGGAGGCTGAGAATACACCATGATTTGATTGAGCTCGATATGGTGCGCCCAGCATTTACAAAATATGGCCTCCTTGCACTTTCTGTTGTATCATTTTCTTCTATTTGCAGAGGATGGCTCTCTTATAAAACAAATCCAATAGGCAGCAGTCATGAGAGGGAACACATTAATGTAGATGCCAGAGGAGAATGATCAATCTGGTGGACCTCTCAAATTTCCATTCTAAATAGAGATGTAACCATATCTCAGTGTGCAATTCATTGATCTTTAGTTATGAAGAAATAATTGCAAACTTTCACTACTGATGACATGATACAAAAATGTTAGTAGAAACAGCCCACTGGCGATCGGATAAGAAATATCTCTATATAAATGAGAAGAGGTCAGCAACTGAGACTTGAAGGAAGATTATACCCTCGTAGAGGGAAGAGCTATTCCTTAAGCAAGATCAGTCTAAAGTGGACAGGTGATAATCAAACTTAGACCTTGGCAGATATATAGAATATGCCTGCCAATCTCTTCCATGATATGCAGAAGATAGTTGGTCATATGTCACATTAGTTAATGCATCAATTCTGCCTTGTGTTGATGGTTTAGTTCACTGATTCGTTGAGTAATAACGAAATAAATATTTTCTTGCAAATATTTGGCAATCAATAAATAAACTTGGCCTTTAATTGTGATATAAAAATGAGCTTATAGGGTCATAACAAAGTTACAGATAAATGCTATATGACAGACTTGAGTTGCGAGAGAGTCAAAATTTGGAATTTGCAGATAGTGCGTACGTGTATGTTGAGGTGTCCGGGCAGCTTAGCATTGTCGGTGACTGATTCTACTACAAATGACTGCTTTTATGTGTCGGCCATCTTTCCTGTCACAGCCGTTTTGATTTACAAACACGAGCACATCTCTAATATCTTCAGCACTAACATGTTAGCGTTGTTGAGTAAAGTAAATCCCATAACCAGTCCAAGTCTGTGTATAAATTAGACAGTATCCATTGTTGAAGCTGTATAAAAGTTTGTTTTTTTACATATTCCTGAATGACCATAAAAGGCTCTTCTAACCAAAGCAATCAATGGTTTATTCATGTCTAAATCCAAAAGTTACTACCTCTAATTATTCTTGACCTTTGTAATACTCCTCACATTCTGGTCTTTCTTCTCTCTCTGCCTTTCCTTTCCAACTGCTCATGTGTTTTTTTTTTTGTTTTTTTTTGATACATCGTGCATCTCATATGCAGCATTACTTCTTTTCCACCTTCGTAGCAACAGCACTCGAATAAAAGCACTAATTAGACCTGCGCTCACACTCCGATCACTTTTGGATAACTTCATGGACTATAGAATTCACCTTGAATGTAGAATCTACCGTATATACTAGAGTATAAGTCGACCCGAATATAAGACCCCTAATTTTACCCCCAAAAACTGTGAAAACTTATTGACTTGAGTATAAGACTAGGGTGGGAAATACAGCAGCTACTGGTAAGTTTCTAAATAAAATTAAATCCCAATAAAATTACATTAATTGAATATTTATTTTGTGTGTGTTTATATAATGCAGTGTGTGTGTGTGTGAATGCAGTGTGTATCTGATGCAGAGTGTGTAACCTTGGTGGGGGGTGGGCATTTTTTTTTAAAATTATTTTAATATTAATATTTTTATTTTAATATTCCATTTTTGTATTTTATATTTTATTAATATTTTTTTTGTCCCCCCCCTGCTTTAACATTCCCTGGTGGTCCAGTGGCATGGGCTGCGCAGGAGAAACTTACCTTTCCTGCAGCTCCTGTCAGCTCCCTTCTCCTCTGTGCCGGTCAGCTCCCTTCTCCTCCACTGTAAGTCTTGCGGTCTGAGTGCTGCGCGGCTCTCGTGAGCCTTACAGTGGGAGCTGACTGGCACGGAGGAGAAGGGAGCTGACAGGAGCTGCAGGAAAGGTAAGTTACAGCTCGCTGCCAGCCCCCAACAGGACCGCTGGACTTGTAATGAGCCCGGCGGTCTAGGTCTGTATTTTATTGCAATGTAAGTTGCCATAATACAGACATTGACTCGAGTATAAGAAGAGTGGGGGTTTTTCAGCACAAAAAATGTGCTGAAAAACTCATCTTATACTTGAGTATATACGGTAAATGAAACCGCACTGTCCCAAACCCCAGTGTACACTTTGAAATAAGTCTAGCCAGTTAGAATAGTTTTTTTTCCCGGTTACACTGACTTCTTTCAGGTAAAAGACAAAAAAGGGCACTCCTTTACTGTACTGTACAGGTGGTTATGGTGCTTGGATTGCTTCTTTATATACTCTAGGGAGCACATGGGGTCATGAAATTTAACTTCATCTATCTGTTCTTATATCTCTCCTGATCTTGTAAAATCCTATAATTAATGTTTTTGTTGCTAGCTTGACAACTACACATTTCCTGAATCATAATCCATCCCAAAATATCTAATTTTTTTTCTTCTTCAAATATTTGGCAGAGTCTATTTTGTTCACTTGTGCAACGGTCATCCCAACCCCTCAATGAGTAATTGAACTTTTTCTTCCTTTTGCTGATCACATCCGATAAATTTCTATGTGCTTATACATCCTCATAATATTGGTTATATTTGCCCAATTTCCAAGGTAAAATACAATCTTTGTTCTTGTTCTCTTTAGTTCCTGCCTTCACACACTTAAAACCCTTATGCTTGCTGAAGTGATTTATGTATGAATTGTGTGTCCTTTTTTTTCCAAATTGCAAATAGTGCAGGTTTCAATAGAAATTCCACCTATTAACAGTGTTACTCCCCCCTGGCTGTCAATCATGCAACCAGTCCTTTTCCTTCCTGATTTGGTTAGCTCAGCTAAACGTAAAAGGCAGCAATTGCTAAGAGCCCCTGCCTTGCAAAAACTTCTCATTGACCTGCATTGGGAAGTCTGTGATTGGATAGCCACAGAAAGTCTGAGCAGGGTTGGAGTGGGACGGTTTGCATAGGCTGCAGTCAAGAGAACAGTTTTTAGACATATCGCAAGAAAACATGCATAACTAAATGCATGCATGTTTTCATTGGGGTATTGTGACAAACTCCCCTTTTTCAGTGAGTTTGCCACGAATTCCTGGAGGAGCCTGCTTGCCAGCCTCCTGCCCACAGACAATGGACCCTGTGAAAAATAATGTTAAGTCTCTGTTTGTGCCATTTGGACTTGTATGGCTACACTTCGAAACTTTCAAAGCAGCACTTCAAATTACAGAACAACCGCACGAACCAGAGACCACCCTGGAGCTTGTTAACACCTATTAACAACTTGGAACGTTTCTCACCACGGTGTTCTAATTGTTCGTCTGGGTGGCCGCAATTCCTATGGACAACCACAAGGTGGCGGCCTTGTTTGCATGAACACAGGCAGCGGTGTTTAGGCATGAATCTCATGGAACTAGAATTGGATACAGAAACTCCCAAACACCGCTGGACTGCCATCAGTCTTAGAAGGGCACTGTTCGGTGAGGTCTTTCGTCTGGATGCGGGGATCAATCTCCAGGGTAAGACTATTGACTCTGTTCGGTAGTTTGTTGGTTTTCAAACTACCGAACTAGACCAACCGCATTCCCGGATTCTCTGGAACTGTTTTGGGCATGGGACCATGCCTGCGGTCGGTCAAATATGTGACTTCCAGGAAATTCCTGCACACCTGAACTGATCTGGGTGATTTTTGCATATGTGGGTCACCCAGATCAGGGCTATCAGGAGATGTGACATTTGTGGAGATATTATGTGTTTTGGGGTACTTTTGGGACTTTATAGAAAGGTGTGTTTTTTTTCTGCCTGGAGATAATTAAGTTAATACAATATCTGACTCCATTATCTTCCAGGCAGAGGGGAGGGATTGTATATGGGAGTGTCATGTATTTAAACACCTTTTGTCATTGGTCTGGGACTTTGTGCTGTAGTCCCCCACAAGGTCCAGGATTGAGTGCCCCTTGCATGGGGACATGCATATAAGGCCAGTTGTGGCTGCCATTAAAGCATTCCAGCTTACACTCCAAAACTGTGTGTGGTCCTGTTATTGGAGGGAAGGAAGATTAACTCCTGTTTCTGCTGTTCCAGCTTGCAGGGGATTCAACAGGGAAAGTCCTTGTAAGGACTAGAGCTCCCAGGACTGAGTGTTGTCCAGAGCCTGGGGGTGTCTAGAGCTAATTCCCCATTTGGCTCCAGGAGGGAGCGGTTCCAGGACCCCAGTCAAGCCACGGCGACTGAGGGAAAGAGTGCTGAGGTTTTGTCCCCTGTTCCAGCTAGGAAGCAGTCCTTGGCGGAGGTACCCAGTTAGGGGTCCAGTGAGCTCTTTTACAGGTATATCTACTAAAGTGATTTGTATTTATTTTAATTTGGACAGTGGAGTATCCCTTTTAAAGTTAGACATTTGAAACCTGAAACACACTAGTTGAATATTAAAATTTTTTTTGTAGTTCCTGATTTTTTTCACTTTGACACTTAGTCTATTTCAAGGGAAACTATAGTTCCAGGAAAACAAACTAATTTTCCTAACACTACAGCTTCCCCTTCTGTCAAGGCCCCCTCCCGCGGCACTGAAGGAGTTAATAACCCCTTCAGTCACTTACCTGACTCCACCGTCGATGTCCCTCGATTAACACGAGGGTTTACAGCTCCTGAAAATTGTATTTTTAATAAATATTTCACTGAACATACAATTGTAATGCTGCAATATTGTATTGTCTGATTATCTGCTGGAGACCATAGGAAAATAGATCAAGAGAGAGTTCTTCCAGAGTGGATGTTATGAATGCTGGTATATCACCGATCTCAGCCTCCTCCAGCTGGAGGTCCTCATGCAGAGCGGGAGGATGTCCAGCGTCTGATAACGAACCAAAAATCCATTTGGATTCCGGAAGTCCCTCTAGTGTCTGTCTGGTAGATAGCCACTAGAGAAGGAGTTAACCCTCAGAGGTAATTATTGCAGTTTATAAAAACTGCAATAATTACCACTGCAGAGTTAAGGGTGATGATAGTTTGCACCCAGACCACTTAAGTGAGCTGAAGTGGTCTGGGTGCCTACAGTGTCGCTTTAAATATGTCACACTACTTCAGACAGTTGGCTTGTTTTCCTATATAGGCTGTGTGCAGTGTAATTTCCTTTGCAGCAGTGACCTCTACTGGTCATTATTATAACCTATTTTATTACATATGATAAATTGATTAGTATTATCTCAAAATTCTATACTCTTTATTATTGTATCCTGCAATGCTCCATGGAGCTCTGCAGATAGAGATCAGAGAAATTAGAAGCCTAGAAATAATTTAATTGCAATTCTTTGGAATAAACCAGATGTCCTTCAACTGGATTCTGTTTTCCTGCAACATAGAAAGGCATTAATTGTTTCACTTTTTAAAATTTCTTAAAGCATTTCACTGTAGGTTCTATCTACAGAATTAATTAACCAATAATCAGTCTCCATAATAATGTGTGTACATGGTGCATTTAAACCTCCAGCATGTGTGTGCTCAATGTTGATTGTGCCCGCCCACCAGCATATGACCCCCAGGTACAGTTGCTTGCAGGTGTCCATGGTCCATGCACATTGGAATCGTGGAACAGGGCAGTTTCCCTGGCTTCAGGTAGACTCTACAGAATATACAGAGGCTTTCTTAAGGGACTTTTGCCTGGGTACCTCTGTCACACACAGGGGTTGGTACCTGGTTTGGGATCCAGAACTGTATCTCCCATAGAACCACAGAAGTCGTACAAAATAAATCCTCATATTCCCCACAAACACCAGCTAGATGTTGATGAAGTGAAGAAATATAACATTTTATTGGTAAAACACAGGACATGTAAACACAAGTTTGTTTGAACAGTTAAAAGAAGATTTCATTGTGTACTAATTGCACCGTTGGATATACTTATTGTCTCCAAAATTGGACGTCATGCCATTCTCCTTAAAGGATCACTATAGTGTCAGGAAAACAAACTCTTTTTTTCCTGACACCATATCATCCTTCGGATCCCCCCACCATCGGGTCCCCCTTTCTTGGCACTGGAGGGGTTAAAACCCCTTCAGTAACTTACTTTAATCCATCGTCTGGCTCACTCGGCGCTGGTGACCTCTACTCCCCTGCCAACTTCAGCTCCCGAGTGCAGCGGAATGAGCATGCACGGCAAGAGGCGTGCGCACATTCAAACAGTCCATAGGAAAGCATTTCTCAATGCTTTCCTATGGATGTTCTGCACACTGGATGCGAATTTCGCATCCAGCTTCGCAGGAGCGCCTCTAGCGGCTGTCAGGAAGACAGCCACTAGAGGTTGGATTAACCCTGCAATGTAAACATAGCAGTTTCTCTGAAACTGCTATGTTTACATCTGAAGGGTTAAAACCTGGGTGACCTGGCACCCAGTCCACTTCATTGAGCTGAAGTAGTCTGGGTGACTATAGTGTCCCTTTAATGTTTGTGTGGCTATTTTCATGAAACTCCAGTTTCCCATGGGGAGCTTTCTTAAAGGAACACTATAGTCACCTAAATTACTTTAGCTAAATAAAGCAGTTTTAGTGTATAGATCATTCCCCTGCAATTTCACTTCTCAATTCACTGTCATTTATGAGTTAAATCACTTTGCTTCTGTTTATGCAGCCCTAGCCACACCTCCCCTGGCTATGATTGACAGAGCCTGCATGAAAAAAAAAACTGGTTTCACTTTCAAACAGATGTAATTTACCTTAAATAATTGTATCCCAATCTCTAAATTGAACTTTAATCACATACAGGAGGTTCTTGCAGGGTCTAGCAAGCTATTAACATAGCAGGGGATAAGAAAATCTTAATTACAACTTGCAATAAAGAAAGCCTAAATAGGGCTCTCTTTACAGGAAGTGTTTTATGGAAGGCTGTGCAAGTCACATGCAGGGAGGTGTGACTAGGTTCATAAACAAAGGGATTTAACTCCTAAATGGCAGAGGATTGAGCAGTGAGGCTACAGGGGCATGTTCTATACACCAAAACTGCTTCAATAAGCTAAAGTTTTTCAGGTGACTATAGTGTCCCTTTAATCACCATGCATCACCATTGAGAGTTTTGGTCACAGATTGAAGAACCGCATCTCATTCTTTTTATTATTTTAATTCCTGTGGCCTTTCGACATTGCTAGCAGTGGTAGACTGCTTGTTACGCAACCTCTATGAGGCAATATGTTGGAAGATCCAAGGGACTGAACTAACATGTGTAACATTGCCATGATAAACTGCAGTGTTTACATTTGGCCGAACAGTGCCTTTAGTGTCCCTACTAGGTTCTTTTTTTTTTTTTTTTTTTAAATGGACACCCTAATCAGCAGAACTACTGCTTCCTAATGTAGCCATCTTACTGCATAGGCCAAGTCCCTGTAGTCTGAAAAATTTAAATAATGAAGTTTTGTGAGAGATGGCAATGTTCACATTTGTAATTAAAGGACCACTATAGTGCCATGAAAACATACCCTTTTTCTGGCACTATAGTGCCCTGAGCTCCCCACCCAGTGCTGGAAAAAGGGAAGTTTTTACCCCTTTTTCTGGCACTATAGTGCCCTGAGCTCCCCACCCAGTGCTGGAAAAAGGGAAGTTTTTACCCCTTTCCCCCACCCTCAGGGTCCCACTCCCGCCCGGCTCTGGAAGGGGGAAAGGGGTAAAAACTTCCCTTTTTCCAGCACTGGGTGGGGAGCTCTCCTCCTCCGATCCTCCCTGTCTGATGAATGCGCACACGCAGCAGAAGCTGCGCGCGCATTCAGCCGGTCGCATAGGAAAGCATTATCAATGCTTTCCTATGGACGCTTGCGTGCTCTCACTGTGATTTTCACAGTGAGAATCACGCAAGCGCCTCTAGCGGCTGTCAATGAGACAGCCGCTAGAGGCTTTGGGGGAAGGCTTAACCCATTCATAAACATAGCAGTTTCTCTGAAACTACTATGTTTATTAAAGAATGGGTTAAGCCTAGCTGGACCTGGCACCCAGACCACTTCATTAAGCTGAAGTGGTCTGGGTGCCTAGAGTGGTCTTTTAAGGATGCCTCTATTAGCCATGAATCATATAGCAAATATGCTGTCACATATTGTCATCACTCCCAACATAATCACTAACTCTGCTAAAACTCGCCGTAGAGAAGTATTCGGGTAATTCTGCTTGTGTGGAGAATCTGACTGGTTCTGTTAATTTATTTATTTGTATGGCCTTTAGTCACACAGTGGTTTTCTGATAATCTCAGAGGAGGCGGAGCTGCCTTTTTAAAAAAACATTTTTGGTAGGTTTATTTATAACATTAAAATTTCCTTGGAAGACTTTTTGATATTTTGAAGAGTCTTTATGTTTGGCATTATCACACACATCAGTATGACACCAAGCGTAGCTAATGCTTCCTATAAAGAAGAGTTGCTTCCCATAGTTCCCTGTGTGACACATTAGGTTGGGGCATTGCAGTGATTGCCATGCTTGCACTGTAGGACTGCAATGCTAGAAATCTGTTACTTCCAATAGAGTTTACGGACCTATGTAATGTATATTTCAACTGGCACATATTGCACCTTGGTGCTTTAAACATCCAGGTGTTTAATGTTTAGGGGATTTTACTATATTCACACGTGTTACAAACATTGAAATATTCTATATTTATTTCATTAACAATGTTTATTAGAGATTCATTCTTTTACTTGTCTTATAAAGTGTGCTGTTGGATAAAGTTGAAGCAAGGTAATCTTCTCCCATTGTTGAAAAGCACTGACCTTTTTTTGTAAATTGGTTGCAGGATAATCCCAGAATCTCCCAGGTGGTTAATCTCTCAGGCCAGATTTGGGGAAGCAGAAGATATTATACGGAAAGCAGCCAAGAAAAATGGCATCACACCGCCAGAAACCATATTTAATTTAACAGAGGTAATTTCATATTTTTTTCATGATTAACCCTTAAATGTACAATCTAACCACAATAACCAATACAGAGCACTTTAGTGATTCTGGTGGTAAGAGCCCTTCTTTTTGAACAGTACGACATTTATCGGAGTCTTATGGCTGATGCACTCAGCCAACAAATAATATCCAAATATGGACAAATTTGATAACCGCTAACGCCTTGGTCAGATTTTATCACAATGCCACCACGGCTTAAAGGACCACTCTAGGCACCCAGACCACTTCAGCTTAATGAAGTGGTTTGGGTGCCAGGTCCAGCTAGGGTTAACCCATTTTTTTTTTTTTTATAAACATAGCAATTTCAGAGAAACTGCTATGTTTATAAATGGGTTAATCCAGCCCTCAAATCCTCTAGTGGCTGTCTCACTGACAGCCGCTAGAGGCGCTTGCGTGATTCTCACAGTGAAAATCACAGTGAGAACACGCAAGCGTCCACGCAAGCGACCGGCTGCGCGTGCGCAGTGAGCCGGAAGGGAAGGGATGAGAGGAGGAGGAGGATCGGAGGCGGAGAGCTCCCCGCCCGGCGCTGGAGAAAGGTAAGTTTTAACCCCTTTCCTCTCCCCAGAGCCCGGCGGGAGGGGGTTCCTGAGGGTGGGGGCACCCTCAGTGCACTAAAGTGCCAGGAAAAAGAGTATGTTTTCCTGGCACTATAGTGGTCCTTTAAGGGAGGTCAGCCCCAGGCACGTTGCTAGTGGCTCTGTAGCCACTGGAGCATAAACGTCCCCAGTATTAATGTTTTATCTTTCTCTGATTTGGATATCAGTCAGGTTCACTAGTCAGTCTTTTGATACCAACAGATTTCCAAAAGCAATGCATGCAAAACACGGTACAATTTTAGCTATTCACAACTGTGTCTTCATGGGTTAGTATGTATGTGTCAGCATGGGTGTGTGTGTATAAAATACAGATTAAGGTACAGGGCACACTAAATATAAATATACGCAGAATATAAAAATTACCATGACACACATGCATAAATCTGGCTCTGGCTAAAGCGGAATGGGAACTTTTGCTGTAGCAATATTATAAAAGATGGGAAGGACATCTAAGCATCTGGATGACCTTGGTAAGGGTCAAATCCTCTAAGAATGGTTTTACTATTTACTGTGGGATGGCATCAGTGGACTTCAGGCATCTAGCATGGTAACTGCTGAAGTGGTCTGTTTTACTTATGGTGCTTAGTCTACCCTTTAAATATTGTAAAATAAAAAAGTTATCTTTTATTTGTTTTTTGTTTTTTAGAGGTGCATTTATAAAACTAAAAGATCAAAATCATGAGATTTTCAGCTTTTGTCTTTGGGGATTTGGCATGGAGCTACCAGTATTCGAGATATGTTACATAGCTGAAAAGAGACTTGCGTCCATCAAGTTCAGCCTTCCTCACATTTGTTTTTTGCTGTTGATCCAAAAGAAGGCAAAACAAAACAGTTTGAAGCACAATTTTGCAACAAGCTAGGAAAAAAAATCCTTCTTGACCCCAGAATGGCAGTCAGATTTATCCTTGGATCAAGCAGTTATTACCCTACATTGAAAGATTATATCCTTGAATATTCTGTTTTTGCAAGTATGCATCTAGTAGCTGTTTGAACATCTGTATGGACTCTGATAAAACCACATGTGTATATGTAAACCGTGTGTGTGTGTGTGTATATATTAACTGAAAGTTTTAGACAAGTGATCCTATAGAAACATTAATTTTGTAAAACGCATACCTAGTCTCATTCAATATTTATATTGTATTCTGTCTATCTTTTTAATACCATAATTGATCTTTTTAGGTATGAAATTGACTTTTAAAATAAATTATAGCTGTTAAAAATTCATAACTGTTACTTTTTATTTTTTTAAAGAAATAAAATAAGTAACCCCAGCCCTTTAAGTCTGCCCTCCATGTAATGTAAGCATTATTATTACAACCTGCATACCTACATTTATTGTGCATTAACAAAACTCCCCAAAGTGTGCTGTATTTGTTATTGTGCTTTGCGTATTTTAGGAGCTTTAGGTTTGTGTCCTTTATAATACTTGTGATATGTGGATAATGTGGCTAAAATCCTTATCAGGCTCAATCAATCATTAGATGAGGTTGATTACTTATATCCCACATAAGCCGTTAAACAAGTGTTTGCCTCACTGTCACATGACATCCATTTTAATACCCACCAGCTTCAGCCAAACAGTAACTGAGCATAATAGGAACTAAAATCCAGCAGAGGCATGCAATTTCTTACTCATTTTATTGGAACCTAAATACCCAACAGAATATACTGGTGTAATAGAAATAGTATCCGCACAAAAAACCTGAGCAGACTAAAAAAAAAAAATTAAAAAACAATCACTATACCCGTGGTGTTCTCACCCCCCCCGTCCCATAGTGTTCTCCCTCCCCTTTCCCGTCGTGTTCTCCCTCCCCTTTCCCGTCGTGTTCTCCCTCCCCTTTCCCGTCGTGTTCTCCCTCCCCTTTCCCGTGTGTTCTCCCTCCCCTTTCCCGTCGTGTTCTCCCCCTTTTCCATTAGTATTCTCCCTCCCCTTTCCGTCGGTATTCTCCCTCTCCCTTTGATCGTGTTCTCCCTCCCCCTTTTTCCGGTAGACTCTCCCTCCCCTTTTCCGTCGTGTTCTCCCCTTTTCCGTCGTGTTCTCCCTCCTTTCCCGTGCGTGCCTCCCCTCCCCTTTCCGTCGTGTTCTCACCCTCCCCTTTCCGTCGTGTTCTCCCCCCACCTCCCCTTTTCCGTGGTGTTCTCCCCCCCACCCTCCCTTTCCGTCGTGTTCTCCTCCCCCACCTCCCCTTTCCGTCGTGTTCTCCTCCCCCACCCTCCCCCCGGTCGTGTTCTCCCCCCCCACCCTCCCCTTTCCCTTTCCGTGGTGTTCTTCCCCCCCACCCTCCCCTTTCCGTGGTGTTCTTCCCCCCACCCTCCCCTTTCCCGATGGTGTTTCTTCCCCCCACCCTCCCGCTCCAGTCGTGTTCTTTCCCCATTGTGTTTTCCCCCCCCACCCTCCCTTTCAGTGGGTGTTCTCCCCACCCTCCCCTTTCCGTGGTGTTCTCCCCACCCTCCCCTTTCCGTCGTGTTCTCCCCTCACCCTCCCCTTTTCCCGTGCGTGTTCTCCCCCCGCCCTCCCTTTTCCCTGTTCTTTACCTCCCTTTCCGTCGTGTTCTTCCCCCCCCACCTCCCCATTCCATGTTGTGGTTTTCCCCCACCCTCCCCCATTTCCGTGCGTGTTTTCCCCCTCCCACCCTCCCATTCCCGTCGTGTTCTCCACACCACCCCGTCTCTAGTGCAGTATTCTTGACTTTTAATGTTATTATTACTATCTTTCATTGTGATATATAATCATCTGAATTGTCAATGCAAGCATGTCTGTTAAAATATGCACTACAAAAAAAAAATATATGCAAATTTGACCCGTTTTCCGCCGAAATGGGATAGGCCCGTTTCCACCGAAAATTTCAGCAGCCGATATTTCGGTGCATTCCTACCGCATTCAAACACATCCCTGCATTTATACTCCAACACTGCATACAAATGCACGCCTGCATTTAAATGCTGACCGTACATACAAACTTCCACATTCATACACACATACTCCGTACAAAAAAATGCTTACGTACAAGGAACTCTCTACATCGGTTCTGCCACGGAGAGTGACACATTCAGTAAAAAAAAATGTAAAGCTATTTTCTGTATTAATGTACATCATTGTGTACATCTGCATGGCACAGTGCTCTATGTGAAGTGTACTCCAGCTGTTGCCTATGGTAACAGTTAAATGCATGACTGGATGAACCTTATAGTGGACCCAGTCCGTAACTGCTGAAATCGTTGTTGTGGAACATATAATCGGAAGAATAGTTTGTCACTAACTAATCTGCTCGTTGATCGACTTTGTACTCTTCCCCCCTTCTGCCCCCCCACTCACACCCTGAAGAAACATGTTTGTTTGTAATGCTGTGCATTATACCATTAAACTGTAATGCATTGATTTTCTTTTAATATATAGTCAGACAAAGTTCATTGATGGGCTACACAAATGATAAAAGTAATGGAGCGACCTATTTAAATCTCTCCAGTTTAGAATAATTGTGCATCTGTTGGGATATGATCGCATTATACAAATCTGTTCCGGGCCAATACAAACCATTGTCTGTAAATCTGTTGATAAACTGAACTATACATAGGACAGGAGGTCATGCATTTAGACTGGAAGAAAGGAGATTTAGTCTAAGGCAAAGGGTTTTTTACAGTCAGAAGAATAAGGATATGGAATTATCTGCTTGAAAATGTTTTTTTTTTAATTTATTTTTTTTAGTCTATACAGATGTTTAAACAGCGATTGGATAAATACTTGCAAAAACATAATATTTAGGAATATATTTTTTAATTGGTGGGATAATAGCTTCTTGATTCAAGGAGATATCTGACTGCCATTCTGGGGTTAAGAGGGATTTTTGTCCTAGTTTGTTGCAAAATCTGATGCTCTTCAGACAGTTTTTTTTTTTTCTTTCTTCTGGATCAACAGGAAAAACAAATGTGAGAGAGCTGAACTTAATGGACGCATGTTGTGACGGAGCTCCTTGTACACTGGATGGGTACCTCCATCAAGCTTGCTTACTAGCAGCCACAGGGCAACACCTGGAACACTTCTGCCCCAGTTGCCGCAGCTTGTCTGGGGTCTTTCGGGAGCTTTTCCACCCTTGATCAGATAGTGATTAGGCTCTCTTGCAGAGTGTATAGCAGTCTCACCCAAATACTAGCCAAATTTTGGGCCCTCGATTTGTTTATTGTGCCAATTACCTTCTATTTAGTTTATTATCTCCTGGCTTTTTATATTTTGATATTTGTCTACTTCAAAGAAATCCTAGGTGGGGATTATTCCACCAACGCTTTATTCAAAGTGCAGTTAGCCTGCTCTACCTTTGTCGGTGTGTGTGCGCCTCTCAGTGAGTGAATGTGTGTGTGTCAGTGTTTTGTCAGTGAACGTGCATGTTGGTTAAATTACTGTGCATGTGTTGGTGAGTGTATATCAATGCATACATCAGTGAGGTGTGTCTGTCAGTCAAAGTGAAACAAACATGAAGGGGTGGGGTGATTTTTAGATTAGGGGGGTGCCCGAGTTTTGTCATGCCTAGGGCAGCCCAAATGTAAAATACACCACTGCATTACACAGAAGAGAAATGGCGAACAGGTGCTTTGAAAAGTACCCACACGTCTTTAGAAGGCATAGCATTCTGACTTAGGGAACTAGATGGTTGCCAGTGGTCTATACATTCGTTCGTAATTGTGCAAGCACAAGCTTTACATGATAAAAGCACTTTTCATTATAAGCTATTCATCCTTTATGTATAAATATAAAGTTTTATGTACTCTGTACTGATAAGATGGTTATTTGGAAACCTGTGCAGAATACCTAATTAAGTGCCTTACCTACAATTTCTAATTCTTATGTTTTAGTTGGAGTATCTGAAGGAGCAGGCTCCCAAGGGCCACACGTTTCTTGACCTGTTGAAGACTAGGAATATTCGCCTAATAACCTTTTTATCTATTATGCTTTGGTAAGTAATAGCAATACAAGGGAGGAAAAGTGGTAAACAATAAAACAGTGTCTCACAAGCTGGGTTACAATTTAGGAGTTTAAAAATGCTTCACATCTATAGTTCTGTGGTAAGTATGCTACTTAATGTAGTAACAATTTATTGGGGTTTGGGTGAGGAGGCCATTTCTTTGCTGCCTACATTGACTGCCCAAGTATTTAACATTAAAGGATCACTATAGTGTCAGAAAAAAAAAATTCTTTTTCCTGACACTATATAATCCTTAGGGCCCTCCTCCCGCTGGGCTGCGATTTTTGCATTGATCGCCGGGAAAGCGCCTCTAGCAGCTGTCAGGAAGACTGCCACTAGAGGCTGGATTAACCCTGCAATGTAAACATAACAGTTTCTGTGAAACTGCTATGTTTACATCTGAAGGGTTAAAACCTGGGGGACCTGGCACCCAGACCACTTCATTGAGCTGAAGTGGTCTGGGTGAATATAGTGGTCCTTTAACATTTCTTATCGATCACCTTTAAAATAAACTGTATGGCAAATTATTATTTTACAATAATCCCATCTGACTGTGTGCTTTTATTTAATTTTGTATACTTGTTACAGTTAGTCACAATATTTTTTTTTTCCTACTTCTTCAGGATGATCATATCAGTTGGATACTTTGGTTTGTCTCTCAATACACCCAATTTGCATGGGGACCCTTATGTTAACTGCTTTCTGTCAGCCATTATTGAAGTTCCTGCATACATAATAGCATGGCTGCTGCTCCGAAGCTTCCCTCGCAGATACTCCACATCAAGTACACTGTTTTTGGGTGGTGTTGTTCTTCTGTTTCAGCAATTGGTGCCTCCAGGTTTGATATTTTCAGATTTCATTCAGATATTTAAATGTACTCTATGAAGGATGCTTCAATAAGCCTTTAATTTTGTTTTCATAATCTCAAGTGCTACAAATAATTTCTATTACTTTCCTCTGAGTAACCGCATTTTAAAGCCATACTTATCAGTGACCTTTTTATACAAAGAATTAAAGGAACATTATAGCATTAGGAATTTGTATTCCCAACACTATAGTGCCCTAGTCGCCGTTTAGGAAACACCGAAAAGTAAATCAGAATGAAGCATGGAAAGAGTTTTCCATGTAAAATCTGATAAATGTGTTGTCAGAGTAGACCATTTTCATTGAAAAGGTTATGAAATCTAGCATATATACAAGTGTATACCAAGGAAATGTAAATGGACTGGATTCTATCCAGTGTGATCCTTGTTTGCAGTTAGCACGCTCCTTCCTCTAGGGTAAACAACATGTGCAATCTTTTGGTTTTAACATAATCCAGGCACTTTATTGGTAAATCCGCTCAGAAGGCAGCAATACAACTAAACAATAATGTAACAGGTTTCCCTTTAAACAAAATCCTAGCTCGTCTGAGCACTGACTGACTTTTCATTCCCTATCTGTCAAGGGTTTAAACTAACCAAACACACAGGTTTCACCAACCTTATCTTGTCTCCTTTTTTTCTGCACTCCATTGTTTAGTGGCAAAAAACAAACAATCTGTTGCTTCCAACCTCCCCAAGAGAAACAAAAATCTCTCCTTACCTGCCTAGCAGAGAGGGATCTATTCCCACTGCTGCAGCTGATTACCTGGACTTTATTTCTCTCAGTTGTTTAAAAACTGAGGAGTGGAGCTCCAGCCCGCCCTACTCTCCAAATACTCCACCCCAGGGGCCCATAAATAAACATTAAGTTGTGTTGCATACAACACATACAATGTGTTACAATTGCCTCTCTGAGGAAATTAGCAGAAATATAAACATCATCACATACCACACCATTCACTTTATCACACCGGTTAGGAAGGACTAACTTTTTACAGAGTGACAATAGTCTAGAGCAGTGGTTCCTAAACCAGTCCTGAAGGCACGCCTACCAGTGCAGGATTTAGGGATTACCCAGCATTGTCAAGGTGTGTGGTGTGTGTTTTTTTTTTTGTTTGTTTGTTTGTTTGTTTTTTCTAAATTACCTTAGGCCCAGAGGGTAGTGCTCTTTCACCTCTTGGAATTTGACTTGTTCCACTTCTGTTGAAATATGAAAGACAGCCCATGCAGAAGTAAGACATAATTTGAGTTCTAAAACCTTTTCACTGCCGCATGATCACATTTAAGAGCAAGAACTATCTGAAGTGAATGTAATGTTAATCCTTTAATATTGGCAAAAAATGAGCTCTGTGCAATAATTTAAGGACACCTCTACGGAGGAAGAGGAAAGTAAATATTTTTTGTGAAAGGGACAACTGATATTAAAGTATGCATTTCAAATTGAGAAATTCTGCCCAGGCCCCTATTAATTGGAACACTCAAGCTGAAAACAGCAGGTAATCTCATTTAAAGATGCTGTAGAGCAGAGATAGGCAACCTTTGGTGATCCAAGTGATTGGTGACTACACCTCTGTGATGCTTTGCCAGCATTAGGACTGTAAAACCATTATGGGAGATGTAGTCCACATCATCTGGAGTGCCAAAAGTGCCTATCCCTCCTGAAGAGAATGATGATCCATCTTATTCATAAAGTCAGAAGGGGGTAATTGAGTAAAACATCATTAGAGAATGTCCTAAAGTAAAACATCCATTCTATAAACTGTCATGGGTGACAAATGGAGACACAGTCTGAAAATTCCCCATATGTTATAGGACAAGGGAGGTCTAAGTGTAAAAAGTTAAGTAATTTCGTAAGGCTTTCTTTAGGCTTTGAGTTTTACAGGAGGATTGGCAGCCTGGAAGACATTTTACAATGCAATGGAGACATGCAGTTGGAGTCCTGTTCATATTTTATTGCATCCCACATAATCCACATCGCATGTGAATCCTAAATAAATAATATTCATTTATGCGTCACAAGTAGTATGGATTACATTGCCATGACTGTAATACAATTCTGATACTCTGTATAAAAGCATGATGGCTAACTTTTTGTACTCCAACTTTTGCAAGCAATTCTTTCTAACATTTTCAAGCAGTCATCCTTGTGGCTAAGCTTCATATGAAACATATTACATATCTACTACACTATATAGAGTGAAATAACAGTATTGACTTATGTGCAGACTAATAGGATCACTCACCTGGTTTATGATTCTTCACAGAGCTTGGGATCCTGTCCATTGTGCTGGTCATGCTGGGGAAGTTTGGCGTCACGTCTGCTTTCTCCATGGTCTATGTCTACACTGCCGAGCTCTACCCAACCGTAGTGAGAAACATGGGTGTTGGCGCCAGCTCGATGGCTTCCCGTTTGGGCAGCATCATATCGCCTTATTTTGTTTACCTTGGTGAGTCACCATTTTTCAAATTCTGTATATTTACACATTTTATATTTATTTTTGTTGTTCAACCTTCACAGAAATATTTGGTGAATTTAAAGCTTTAAATATAATGTGCAGTATTTCAAAAAGGTTTTTACATATATGTATAAAAGTAAAAATGCAGGGTACTTTTTCTTCTATACAAAGGTGTGACTAAAATGGATAAATATGCTCAAACACCCTCCTTAATGAGACCGTATTACTGGATACAGTTGCAAGAAAAAGTATGTGAACCCTTTGGAATGATATGGAAATCTGCACAAATTGGTCATAAAATGTGATCTGATCATCATCTAAGTCACAACAATAGACAATCACAGTCTGCTTAAACTAATAACACACAAAGAATGAAATGTTGCCATGTTTTATTGAACACACCATGTAAACATTCACAGTGCAGGTGGAAAAAGTATGTGAACCCTTGGATTTAATAACTGGTTGAACCTCCTTTGGCAGCAATAACTTCAACCAAACGTTTCCTGTAGTTGCAGATCAGACGTGCACAACGGTCAGGAGTAATTCTTGACAATTCCTCTTAACAGAACTGTTTCAGTTCGGCAATATTCTTGGGATGTCTGGTGTGACTCGCTTTCTTGAGGTCATGCCACAGCATCTCAATCGGGTTGAGGTCAAGCCTGGGCCACTTCAGAAGGCATATTTTCTTCTGTTTGAGCCATTCTGTTGTTGATTTACTTCTATGCTTTGGGTCATTGTTCTGTTGCAACACCCGTCTTCTGTTGAGCTTCAGCTGGTAGACAGATGGCCTTAAGTTCTCCTGCAAAATGTCTTGATATTGTCATTTTTCCTTCGATGATAGCAATCCGCCCAGGCCCTGACGCAGCAAAGCAGCCCCAAACCATGATGCCGCCGCCACCACCACACTTCACAGTTGGGATGAGGTTTTGATGTTGGTGTACTGTGCCTTTTTTTTGCCACACATCTTCCAAACAACTCAACTTTGGTTTCATCTGTCCACAGAATATTTTGCCAGTACTGCTGTGGAACATCCAGGTGTTGTTGTGCAAAATGTAAACGTACAGCAGTGGCTTCCTCTGTGGTATCCTCCCATGAAATCCATTCTTGTTTAGTGTTTTACGTATTGTAGATTCGATAACAGGGATGTTAGCATTTGCCAGTGACTTTTGTAAGTCTTTAGCTGACACTCTAGAATTCTTCTTCACCTCATTGAGCAGTCTGCGCTGTACTCTTGCAGTCATCTTTACAGGACGGCCACTCCTAGGGAGAGTAGCAGCAGTGCTGAACTTCCTCCATTTATAGACCATTTGTCTTACTGTGGACTGATGAACAGCAAGGCTTTTGGAGATACTTTTATAACCCTTTCCAGCTTCATGCAAGTCAACAATTATCTACAAAAATCGTAGGTCTTCTGAGATCTCTTTTGTGCGAGGCATCATTCACATCAGGCAATGCTTCTTGTGAAAAGCAAACCCAGACCTGGTGTGTGTTTGTTTTTTGGTTTTTGTTTTTTTTTATTATAGGGCAGGGCAGCTGTAACCAACACCTCCAATCTCATCTCATTGATTGGACTCCAGTTGGCTGACATCTCACTCCAATTACCTCTTGGAGATGTCATTAGTCTAGGGATTCACATACTTTTTCCACCTGTACTGTGAATGTTTACATGGTGTGTTCAATAAAAACATGGCAACATTTCATTCTTTGTGTGTTATTAGTTTAAGCAGACTGTGATTGTCTATTGTTGTGACTTAGATGATGATCAGATCACATTTTATGACCAATTTGTGCAGAAATCCATATCATTCCAAAGGGTTCACATACTTTTTCTTGCAACTGTAAATCATGCCTCTGCAATCTCACTGCTCAGTTCTCTGCCACTTAGGAGTTAAATCACTTTTGTTTCTGTTTATGGAGCCCTAGCCACACTTCCACAGCCTGCTTAAAAATTGGTTTCATTTTCAATCAGATATTAACTTGCTTTAGAAGTTAATCACACACAGGCGGCTCCTGTGTGATCTAGCAAGCTATAAACAGACAGAAAATAAGAATTTTTAAATTAAACAGAATGTGCAGTAAAGGAAGTTTAAACAGTACATCTCTTTACAGGATGTGTTTAGGAAAGCTGAATAAGTAATATGCAGGGTAGTGTGACTAGGGCTGCATAAACAAATTGATTAAACTCCTAAATGGAGGAGAAGTGGGTTTTTTGTGTTTTTATAATACACAAATTGCACTGCATGTGTTAAAGGCAATTGTAAGACTTGGTTTCCATGGTGATTGTTTGACCTTTAGAACTGTTGATGTGATGTGTTTGGTTTTTGGGATTTTTTTATTTTTTTTGTCCATTTTAAAGGACTACTATCGACGCCCAGACCACTTCAGCTCAATGAAGTGGTCTGGGTGCCAGGTCCCTCTAGTTTTAACCCTGCAGCTGTAAACATAGCAGTTTCAGAGAAACTTCTATAATTACATTGAGGGTTAATCCAGCCTCTAGTGGCTGTCTCACTGACAGCCACTAGAGGCCCCCTCCACGATTCTCAATGCGAAAATTGTATGTGGATGTCCATAGGAAAGCATTGAGTAATGCTTTCCTATGAGCGGTTTGAATGCACACGCAGCTCTTGCTGTGCATGCGCATTCGGAGCCGACTTCGGCAAGGCGAGGAGAGGTCAGCAGCGCCAAGGAAGCCCAGCACTGGATTAAGGCAAGGGACTGAAGGGGTTTTAACCCCTTCAGCCCAGCGTGAGGGGGGCCATGTGGGTGGGGGGGACCTAATAACCCTATAGTGCCAAGAAAACAAGTTTGTTTTACTGGCATTATAGTGCTCGTTTAATAACCACATGCCACAGTTACCTTTTTTACCACTTATAAATAACCACTAAGTATTTCCATGGGTTACACTAGATTGTTGATGTCATATTTGGAGTTTTATGAACTTTACATATATCTTACCAGTATTTTACTTTTTTCTTTCCAGGTGCCTATGACCCACATCTGCCTTTCATCCTTATGGGAAGCCTCACAGTCCTTATTGGTATATTTACATTGTTTCTCCCAGAAAGCTATGGTATGCCTTTGCCAGATACCATTGAAGAGATGCTCAGAGTAAAAGGGTGAGTACAGATTTCTCATTTCCCTTTAATTCTTTGTTGTAGAGCTTTAAGTTCCATCTCTCCATTTTGCTAGCCAAAAAGCATGTACCTGTAGGTCACATCCGAAAAAACAATTATGAACAAATAGATGAATTTCCCCCTGTTTAAGCACTCATTTCTGGTGCTCCTGTTGAGAGGTTCACACAGGGTCATTCACTAGACTTTTCCTAATTAAATCCAAATGTAAAACATTAGGCTGAAGTAGCTGATTTTCATTGAAGTCACAGCTTTGGTATTTTAGCCTTCATTTTGCACATTGCCTTTTAATAGAACACTCTGGACACCATATGAACTTCATCTCAATTAAGTTGTTACGGCGCAAGGAGGTCATGGGCACCATCTCCACTTAAGAAGTTATACAATTTTTATTTCCAAAATTGAAAAGATGTGCCCGTCTCTACTACCTCTCTTTCCTGTGATCCAAGGCTTCAGTGAGAAAGGTACCTTTCTCACCCAGTTTCGTGAATGGAAGTGACAGGCTGGGAGTGTCCGCTAACTCTTTCAGCCTATCTGCGGCATCCAGGACGAGGCTTCCTCACTGAAACCTCAAACCATCCCTGGAAGGAGAGGAGTAGAAAGGACAAGCGCAGTCTTAGCAAGGTATGAAGGCGCAGATAACTTCCTGGCACCATTGACAAGAAGTTATGGCGCCCAGAGTGTTCCTTTCATTTGATAAAATCTGATTTTAGTGAATAACTTGGACAGCTGCTTAGGTCTTCAGGTAAACCTAACTTTTACTTTATACACTTAGCTGTCATTTTCATGGCACATTCTATGAATACTTGAAGTTGACTTTGGTCAGGTGTCTTGTTGATGATAAAGCACTTAAAGGGCATTGCGGCATGCATTAGATCACCAAAATAGTCACTTTGCAAGTCTCCTCCTATTTATATGTACACATGTGTACATTTATATTATTGTAGAAATGCTTTATATTGATTTTTATTATTTTTATATGAATTATTTTTAGAATTTTATCATGGATTGATTTTCTGTCACTGAAACTGTGACACCATTTACAAATGGGCTGCTTCAACAGCAAATGATTTATTTATGTTGCTATAAGGTGCTGTTGATAATGAATGACTAAGCAAAAAAATTAAATGCCCATTTTTCTCTTAATCGATTAGTTTGTTGTGTTCTTTTGTGTACAAAGTGTATAGATTTTCATGGTGTTCTACAGTGCAGTGGAGTCATTATCGTGAGGTGTAAGTCGGAGGAATTATTGTGGTACTGGAGTCAAAATCGGTAAAAAATGTATTTCACAAAATGTACTGTAAATGCGTGTATGTCTCCTCCCCAAAAAATAGAAATGTAATATCTGGTCTATTTCCCAGATACGTTGACCCTCAAAATAATGTGCCTGCATATACATAGTTAAATAGTAAACTATTTTGAAAAAAGGATTGAAGTCCACAAAGTAATACCTGGAAAACACATTCTTTTATGCTGATTTAAAATAAGGCAAAAACCTAAATTGTAGCAATTTTTAATAATGTTACAAAAGGGGGTCTGGGAGGAGAGGGGTAAACTCCTTGTTAAAGGGACACTGTAGGCACCCAGACCACTATACCTAATTGAAGTGGTTGGGGTGCTGTGCCCCTTTTGCACCTAGTGCTGCAATGTAAAACATTGCCGTTCCAGAGAAAGGCAATGTTTACATTGCAGCTCTAAGTCTGCCTTTTGTGGCTATCAGACAGCTACAAGAGGGCTTCCGGAATCCAAACAGACTTTTGGTCCGTTATCTGACGCTCTGCATGAGGACCTCCAGCGTCAGATTTTACCCATAGGAAAGCACTGATGCTTGCCTATGGGGGGGGTCTAATGCGCGTGCAGCATTGCAGCGCATGCGCATTAGACCCTGCTGTTTGCGGGACGGAAGAGGGGGTGGAGCTTCAACCCAGCGCAGAGCGTCACCGGCACTGGGATCAGGTAAGTAAATAAAGTGTTTTAAACCCTTTATTTACTGGGGTGGGGGGTGGGTGCGAGGGAAGGAGGAGGCAGAGGGATCGGTAGTGCCAGGAATACAACTTTGTATTCCTATCACCACAGTATCCCTTTAACTGCACAATGTCAATCTGATATCTCAACGACCCATTTTAGTAAAAAACAAACAAAAAAAACACCATGGCCCTATCTATAGAATCTGATGATTAGGTAGAGAGTTTCACAACTTTATTGTTCTTACTGTACAGAACCTTTTCGCTACTTTAACCCCTTAAGGACACATGACGTGTGACATGTCATGATTCCCTTTTATTCCAGAAGTTTGGTCCTTAAGGGGTTAAGCAAAATGCATTTCTTCCATATCTGTTGTAAAGTCTTGGGGGGGAAAAGAAAGTGGTATCTTTAGATTCTATGGTTTTACATATCAGGACATTATAACAATCATCTATTCCTTAGGTTGTTACATGAATTAACAGCCTAGGATGAACAACACATGACCTATTACACCATGTCATGATTTATTTAACAAAAATAAGGTTTAAATTCGCTACTTAAATAGCTTGCATTATCTATAGATACGGCCAGGGTGTAGTCAAGGATATAATTAAAATGTGTGTTAACGCATTCTTGAGAAACAGGATTGCCATTATGCAGTTAAGTTATTTTTGTTAAATATATCATGACATAGTATAATATGTCATGTGTTGTTCATCTGATGTTGTATTTACCTAATTTTAAGCCCTTCTAAGGAACAGATTATTGATTATGTCCGGTTATGTAAAACTATAGAATTAAAGAAAGAGAGTACTTTCTTTTCCCCATGACTGTTGTAACGGACCGTTTTGCACACAAGAGGTTAAAAACCGTTTAGGCGATATTCCACTTTCAGATGCACAGACAGCTACTGCAATCACCAATCTCCCGAACTGCAAACTACACGAATTCTCCAACTCCCGAACAGGAAACTCACGAATACTGGAAACAGCTGAACAGGAAAAACCATACGAAAGGTTTACACTCCTGGCAGTCAGCATACAATCCAATTCCCCCAATAACGAGACGACACTTTGTTTGAGGGTTAAGCAGAATCTGGTTTACTGGGGCTAACTGCCCGGCTTTTATGCAGGTCTCCCACCTGGTGGACACTCCCCTAGGGGACCAGATGGGAGACTGGGACACAAAGGGTACAAGCACCAATCACAGACTTACACATTTCTTTTTTCAATTGACAATTTTTATTGTTTTTTTTCGCAGTTATCAGTGGGGTACAGAAGAGAAATGGGGAAGGGGGAATACCAACAGGTGTTGAAGACATGGTATAATCATTACATTGTATTGTGCTCCTTCTTAGCAATGCTATGGTATAGTGTTCCATTCACAAATAAACTCAAAATTCTACCTCGTCTAACATTACTTCCTTGCGCCCTCCTTTGTGATTCGTGGGTTGGTGGAGGGGAGGGGGGGGGTAAACCTATGTACACGTGTGGGATTTCGTTGTCTATGTATTTTCCTACTTTATCCTTCTACATGTGTGTAAGCTCGTGGTGGGAGCTCTTAATGTAAGCTCTTTACGTGAGCTCTGTTGTGGGCTCTCGATGTGAGCTCTCTCCCTAATATTCTTTTCCTCCGTATCTCACTGGCCGGTCCTCAGCGCTCTTACAGGACCTATTGGTGTGCAGCTTCGGCTGCCTGAGGTTTTACCGTGTTCCAATATGTGTCCCAGATGCGACCTGCCTCTGTAGTGGCACCCTTCTTGTCTAGCTGGCGGGCCGCCATGTATTCGTATTCCCAGTTCAGTTGGATTTGTGCTAACAGACTGGCTTTTGTGGGGGCTGAATTAGATTTCCATTGTTTCGCTATGAGATTACAAGCTGGCATTATCGTGTGGAATAGAAGTTTGGCATGTACCTTGGATATGTCCTCTGGCCACATGTACAATAGGCACATTGCCGGCGTCAAGGTTACTTTTATAGGTAATAGCTGATCTATGATGTCGTTCACTACCTTCCAGTAGGGCCGAATATCCCTGCACTCCCACCATATGTGTAGCATTGATCCCCTGTCCATTCCACATCGCCAACATTGGGCCGAGGTGCCTGGGAATATATGTGCTAGCCTCGTTGGGACCAGGTACCACCTATATTGTAGTTTCCTTATTTGTTCAAGGTGCGTGACGCATGTGGTCTTGCCTTTGTGGATAGTGAAGGCTCCCGACCATTGATGCTCTGAGAAAGTGCATCCTAGGTCTTTGTGCCATGCCTGTTTGAAGTTGTCGGTAGAATTATGTGTACCAGTTAGTAACGTTCCATAGACTCTTGAAAAGGTTCGTTTGTGTGGTTCCCTTGAGGCAACATGCCTCGTAGTCGGACACCGCGGGTGTCCCAGGTGAGGGAGTGTGGTGTTGTAGCATCGATTTGATCTGTAGGTATGAAAAGATTGCTCTATTTGGTATTTTGTACTGTGCTTGTATGTCCGGGAACTGTTTAAGAGAGGATCCTGTGTACAGATCGTGTATGTGCCTGCACCCTGCCTTTGTCCACGCCCTATAGTCAAATATTGGGTTTCTCAGGTATATGCTATACATCGTTGAGGCAAGTGATAGGTCTCCTGTACCGCTGAGGTGCGCTCTACTTGTATCCCATGTGTGCAGCAGTAGTTTTGTGGTTTCCAGCATATGGGGTGGTGCTGGTCTCAGGTGTTTTGGTACCCAGAATAGATTGTGCATCCCAGCTCTGCACGACTCATGGGTTTCAATAGCTACCCATTGTGGTGGGTTGTCTACCCTGTGTGCCACGGCCACCGTGGATAGAAGCGCCGCCTTATAGTATAGTCTGATATCTGGGAAACCCATGCCCCCTTTCTCTATTGGCTTTTTGATCGTGGAGAGTGCTACTCTAGGAGTTTTATTTGCCCATGTGAATCGTGTGATGGTTTTTTGTAACTTGGTCATGTAGTGCCTAGGGATGGGGATCTGTAGTGAGCGGAATAGGTACTGTAGTTTAGGTAACAGCGACATTTTAAAAGCCGCTATACGCCCGTGCCACGAGTGGAAGTCACTATTCCACTTATCGAGCGTCTGAGTTATTTCGTGTGATAGTTTCTCATAGTTATATTTATACATTTGGTGGGTCGTCCTGGCTAAATTGATCCCTAAAAACTTTATGTAATCGTCCCTCCAGTCAAAGTTAAAAGATTCCGTCAAGGTGTGGAGAGTCTGTCCCGGGAGATGGATTCCCATTGCCTGTGTTTTTGTCAGGTTAAGTTTGTAATACGATACTTTGTTATAGTCTTGTATGCACTGAAGGAGGTTGGGTATGGATATTTGCGGTTGTGTCAGAGTTAGGAGTATGTCGTCCGCAAAGAGGCTGAGGGTGTACTCTCTGTCTCCCACTCGGACTCCGTGTATCGCCGGATGGGCCCTAATCGTGGCAGCCAGAGGCTCTAGTGCCAGCACGTATAACAGAGGGGACAACGGACACCCTTGTCTCGTCCCATTTGTGATTTCTATTTGTTCTGATACGAATCCTGAGTTTAAGACCTGGGCCCTTGGCGCTGAGTAAAGCGCCCTCACCACTGAGATGAAGCTCCCCGGGATCCCATATCTCTTTAGGGCCGCCTCCAGAAAGCTCCATCCCAGCCGGTCAAAGGCCTTTTCTGCGTCTAATGATATCAGGACCCCCCCTGCCCGTGTTGTCTCCAGGCTCTGCATAAGGTTTAGAACTTTTCTGGTGTTATCTGCCCCCTGGCGCCCTGTTACAAACCCCACTTGGTCATTGTGTATAATATGTGGCAGTATAGGCCCTAATCTTAATGCGTAGAGTTTGGCTAGAACTTTAGTGTCCGTGTTAAGAAGGGATATAGGGCGGAAGTTTTGCGGCTGTGTCGGAGGCTTACCCGGCTTAGGTAGGGTAATAATATGGGCCAATTGCATTTCTCCCGGGAGGGTCTCTGTGCGTACTGCTTCATTAAATACTTCTGCTAGATAGGGTGCTAAGATATCTTTAAATGTCTTGTAGTACGAATTTGCGAATCCGTCAGGGCCTGGGGCCTTTCCTTTCGGTAATGACCGTATCGTATCGCAAACCTCCTCTGGGGTAACTTGCCTAGATAGTGTTTCTTGTTGCTGAGACGTTAAGGTCGGGAGAGTTGCTTTGTCTAAGTACTCCGTTATGTTTGTATCTGTTGGGGGGTGTATAGTGGGGTCTCGTCGTAGGTTGTATAAGTCCCCATAGTAGCGTGCAAATTCGTTACTAATTGTGAGAGGTGTCATCGCCTTCCCCCCCGCTTTGAAGTGCAAAAACGCTATTTTCTGCGTCTGCTGTCGTTTTTTCAACCTTGAAGCCAGCAATTTACCCGCTCTATTCCCTTGTGAGTAATGTGTGGCTTTTAACTTCCTTAAGGTGTATCCTACTCTGTCAAGCGCCTTTTGTCGGAGTTGTTGGCGCACCTCCGATATTTGTTCTTTCAATTGGATCGAGGGGTGGGCTTGGTTCTGTAATGTCAGGTTGTATAAGTCTTTCTGCCATTGTAATGTCTGCGATTTCCTTTTCAGGTATGCTGCTCTTCGTATAAGGAGTCCCCGGGTTACCGCTTTATGGGCCTGCCATATCGTGTGGTGTTGTAAATCGGGATTGATGTTATCTGTAAAGTAATGGCGTAGTGAGTCAGAAACGCTCTCCGAGAAGGACTTGTCCAACAGGAGAGTTTCATTGAGACGCCATGGACCCCTATGTTTAAAATCATATGTATCCCTTAGTGTCAGTTCCATGGGAGCGTGGTCAGACCATACCATCTGCCCCACTCTGCAGTCCACTATCTGCTCAAGTGCCCCTCCCTCTACCAGTATCGCGTCTATTCTCGAGTAGGTGTTATGGACCTGTGAGTGATGGGTGAATTCCTTATCTTCTGTGTGTGTGACGCGCCATGCATTGTAGTAGTGGTGTAGGGCCAATAATTTCGCCAGGGTTGCGCTTTGCCGCTTGAGTGGTTTGTATCTCTGGCTATTTGGAGAGAGTGTAGTGTCCAGGGCTGGGTTGAGAACACGATTTAGGTCCCCACATATGATTGTCGTACCTTTGATATTGGATATTCTGGAGATGATTTTGTGTATGAAGTTCCTCTGATTGGTATTGGGGGCATACACGTTAGCTATTGTGTATAAGGCATTATTTATTTTTCCAACCACGATAACATATCTGCCTTCCCTATCTGTATCTTCAGTTATTAGTTCAAAAGCCACCTTTGCACTTATTAGTATAGAGACTCCTTTTGATTTGGTGTCAGACGTGGAGTGGAACTGGTGAGGGTGTGTCTTGGTTAAAATGCTGGGGTGGGTATTGCCCCTGAAATGTGTTTTCTGGAGACACACTATATCAGCATCTAGTTTCCCTATGTCCCTACTCAAGAGGTGCCTTTGTACTGGGAGGTTGAGTCCTCTCACATTATGGCTGTATAACTTTATGGTGGTATGTATGGGAAGGTGTTGCTCTTGCTTAGTTTGTATTGATCTATCATGAGTCTCTGCCTTCCCCAGCTATTTCGAGCCAGGCAGATCTCTATTGCTATGAACTTCAGGGTGAGTGTAGGACCTGTCATCCCAGGGTCCTTCCCCAGTAGTAGGCGCTCACGCCTTGCTGAGGTGTAGGAGTTAAGTAGCGTATCTTGGCCGCCCACTAGGCCTTGAGGTGAGGGGGTTGGATTGAGGGGGGGGGATCGAACAATACAATTGGGGGTTATTGAATCCTCTGTCTTGCAGAGTTCTAACATATGTACAATTTTGAACAAAATTGCCAAGTTTATGGCAAGGTTCCCATAAGGGGAACCGTGGGGGTCGGAGCGTATCGCTTCGATCCTGGTTAGGGTGCTGCCGCGAGGGCGGCCCTCATGATGTGTATCATAGCGTTCGTTTGCTGGATTAACCCGTGCCCGGTATAGCGTCTGCACATTGTGAACTGCATAAGTGGTGAGCCAGCCGGCTTTAGTATTAAGCGGCCTTCGGGTCATGGTTGGGTATTATGCTCAGGTTTGCCCCTCCATATCGCACTCGTTGGGGCTTTTATATTTTGTAAGTTATTATAATTTTTTTATTTTTAAAAAAAAATTTTTTCCTTACTGTTAGGTGGCAGTACAGTGTGGAAGGGATCATGTACAGGCTGTGATGGGGGTCTGCACGTCCCTTGGGTAAGAATTCCCAGTGTGTATGATACATCAGAACCCCCACCCTTGACCCTGACCTTGTGTAGCTAGTCCGGTAGCTATATTTACAAACTTTGTAGTACGGCATGGGCTAAGTGTGCAATGTGAACGTTAGGATTGCATGAAGATGGTATACTTGCGGGCAATAGTAAAGTTCATAGGAGTGTCGCTTCCAGATGCCTATTTTCGTGCCTTCTTCCAGGCTGAGGGTTGTTGCCCGGTGGGTGCCGGTCTTGGTCTCTCGGCTGGTGGAGTGATGCCCCATTCCTGCAGCTTTTGGAGGCCTTCCTCCGGTGACATGATGGTAGTGAGAGTGCCGTTGCGTTGAATGAGAAGTTTGGTCGGATATCCCCATCGATATGCTATGTTGGTGCTGCGTAGGGCTTCTGTGATGGTGCTGAAGGACTTCCTTTTTCGTAGCGTCATGGCCGAGATGTCAGCAAAGATCCCAATCTTCTGATATTCCGATGGTATGTCTTTTCGGACTCTGCTCGCCTTGAGAACTGCCTCCTTTGCGTGATAGTAGTGCATTTTCAATATTATGTCCCGCGGTATGTCTGCAGGTAAGTATGAGGGTTTCGCTACCCTATGTATGCGGTCCAGCAACAGGACATCTTGCGGTAGATCTGGTACCAGCATGTGAAAGAGCCCCGTGGCGTATGCGGGCAAGTCCGCTGGGCCTATATTTTCAGGCACGTTCCGCAGCCTCAAGTTGCTGCGACGCGCGCGGTCTTCCATGTCCGCGATCTTGGCCTCATATTCATTCAGCCGGTCCCATGCTTCTTCCACTTTGGTGGTTAGGCGGGTATGCGCCTCCATTTGTGCCTCCATCTGGTTTTCCAGATCCGAGGTGCGAGAGTCCAATTTGTGTATATCCGTGCGGAGGTCGGTAAACGAGCGCTGCAGCGTGCCCTGTAGCTTTGCCGCCATATCATCGAACATCGCTTGCAGACTCTCCGTGGTAAGTATAAGGTTGGCGGTCTCATTTTGCGGACCTTGTGAGCTCTCCAGGTCGGCGCCATCTTGCTGCTCCTCCGGTATAGTAACTCCTCGTGTGTGCCCTTGTTTGGCACCAAAAAAGAGCATTTTGTCGTGTTTATCGGATGCCCGTTTACTTTTGTTGTGGGACATAGTGATGGTGTGTCCCTGTAATACTTATTTTGTAATATTTCTTTAATTGGAACTCAACTGCAGCATTTCTTGGTTGCAACAACAATAAGGTTCACCTCCTTTTATATTGGTATGAAACTATGGTCACTGTACCTTTAAATATCCATGTAGGTAAAATTAGGCTTTGTAGCAATCCTTATGAGTAAGAGGAATAATTAGACAAAGTGACACTTTAGTGAGTTTTAGATACTGTGTAATATAAATAATAGTAATTGACTTGTTTGGTAAAAGTATTACTTAACTTAAAGGCAGTTCTGGCACTGGAAGGGTTAATTCACCCAATGAAGGAGAAATTAGAAGTCCGTTTCAACAAGCTGAGAACTAGGAGTGGAGAGTGGGGAAGTCCGTTTTAACAAGCCGAGGTCTGGGAGTGGAGAAGGTAGAATTCAGAGTTACAAGCCGAGGTCTAGGAGTGGAGAAGGTAGAAATCCGTTTACAAGCCGAGGTCGAGAAGTGGAGAAGGTAGAAATCCGTTTACTAGCCGAGGTATAGAAGTGGAGCAGGTAGGATCAGAAGTAGAGCAGCTGATCTTCATGCAGCACCTGTGCGAATAATCCAGCCCTTTGAATCTGGCGCGGTCCTCCTAAGTATCGTGGAGGGACCGCGTCAGAGAAAGGGGCGGGGCTGAGCGCCGTGAACCCGGAAGTGGGTTCCGGCGATGAATTACATGCCATGCTATACCTGACAGTACCCCCTTCCCATGGGGCATCCTCTGGGTGCACTATTTCGGTTTGGAGGGATAGCGTTTGTGAAAGGCAGTAACTAACCTCCTAGCATGTACATTAGATGAATCTTCCCAAGTGTCTTCATCAACTCCATAACCTTTCCATCTGATAAGGTATTGTAAGGAGCCACGGTGGACACGAGAATCCAAAATTTTGTGAATTTCATATTCTTCTTCACCTTGGACAATGATAGGTTCAGGAGTTGTTACTATTTCCCTATAAAAAGGATCAGGGATGTGTGGTTTAAGTAAGGAGACATGGAATACTGGATGAAGTTTAAAACTTGGAGGAAGTTTTAGTTTAACAACGTTATCATTAATGATAGTAATTACTTGAAAGGGACCAAGAAAAAGAGAGCTCAATTTCTTTGAAGGACGGCTTGTGGTAATATTCCTTGAAGAGAGCCAGACAAGATCCCCTACCTTGTAAGGAGGGGGAATTCTTCTATTATTGTCAAAAAACTTTTTCTGGTTATTTTGGGCGAGTTGAAGATTCTCCCGTAATTTGAAAAATAGAGAAGACATAAATTCATTTTTTGATGTAACAGTAGGATTGGATGAAGTAATGGTTTGGATGGGGAATGAAGACGGATGAAAACCATAGTTGGAGAAGAAAGGAGTCATTTTCGTACTAGAATGAATGGTATTATTGTAAGAAAATTCGGCCATAGGTAACCATGTGGTCCAGTCATCTTGGAGGTATGAACAATAACATCGAAGATATTGTTCCAAACATTGGTTAACCCTTTCTGTTTGCCCATTAGTTTGGGGATGATAAGCGGAAGAGAGTTTGCGTTGAATTTGAAGGGAGAGACACATCTCTTTCCAGAATTTGGAGGTAAATTGTGTCCCCCTATCAGAAATAATTTCTTCAGGAAGACCATGAAGTTTCACAATATTGTCAATAAAGACCTTAGACAATTCTACAGAGGAGGGTAATTTTTTAAAGAAATGAAATGGGACATTTTTGTGAAGCGATCCACAACGACAAGAATAGTGGTGAAATGTTGAGAAGGTGGAAGATCAACGATAAAATCCATAGAAATGGATTGCCAAGGTTTTTCTGGAATAGGTAAGTTAAGTAGTAATCCAAAAGGTTGATTATGTTCTGGTTTAGACCTTTGACAGATAGGACATGTTTTGACATATAATGCAATGGTTCTATCCTGGCGAGGCCACCAATAATATCGTGAAGTTAGTTCAAGTGTTTTCTTTATTCCAGGATGTCCAGCTAGGGGGGAATCATGAACCATCTTAAGTAATTTATTCCTAAGAATGGGAGGAATATAAATTCTATTTTTAAAATAAAATAGACCATCCTTTTTTGTTAGTATAGGTGTTTTGGGAAGTTCAAGATCCTTCTGATTCAAATTCTTTATGTCATCATGAAGAGAAGAGAGGATTCCTATTATTTTGGTAGAAGGATAATCATCAGTAGTAGTTTTAGAAGGAATTCGAGAAAGAGCGTCAGCCTTTTATTTCTATTTCCAGGTCTGTATATTAATTGGAAGTTAAATCGGTTAAAGAATAGGTTCCATCTAACTTGTCTAGCTGTAAGGGTTTTGTTAGTATAGAGATATTCAAGATTTTTATGGTCAGTATAAACTATTATAGGTTGTTTTGTATCTTCCAGAAGATGACGCCAATTTTCGAAGGCAGCTTTAACACTTAATAATTCTTTTTCACCAATAGGATAATTTTTTTCAGCAGAGCTCAAGGATCTTGAAAAAAAGGCAACTGGATGAAGTGGATCTTGTGGAGTCTTTTGTTGAGAAAGAACTGCTCCGATGGCTGCATCTGATGCATCAACTTCAAGAACATATAGGAATGTTGGATTAGGTAGTTGTAGAATAGGTGCAGTTGTAAATCTTTTTTTTAATTCGTCGAAGGCTGTTTGAGCATCTTTATTCCAATTAAAAGGACGTTTACTACTGTTGAGGAGGTTAAGAGGATGTGATACATCCGAATAGTTTCTAATAAATTTTCTATAGAAGTTTGCAAATCCAAGAAAACGTTGTAATTCTTTTGTAGTAGTAGGAGCAGGCCAATCAATAATACATTTGATTTTGGAATTATCCATCTTCAAAGAATGAGGTGAAATAATGTATCCTAGAAAAGAGAATTCAGTAACCTCAAAAAGGCATTTTTCTGGTTTAGCGTATAATTTATGAGTTCTCAGTCTAGATAGAACCCATCTAACATGTTTCCTATGTTCATCCAAATTGTTAGAATATATTAAGATATCATCTAAGTAGATAATAACACATACATCCAGAAGATCTCTAAAGATATCATTGATAAAATGTTGAAACGTTGCAGGGGCATTACAGAGCCCGAAAGGCATCACTAGATATTCGTAGAGACCATATCTTGTCCGGAAGGCGGTTTTCCATTCATCATCCTGTTTTATTCTAATGAGGTTATATGCGCCTCGAAGGTCGAGTTTAGTGAATATAGTTGCAGTTCTTAACCTTTCAATTAATTCATTTATTAGTGGAAGAGGATAACGATTTTTAATAGTTATTTTATTTAAGGCTCTGTAATCTATAATAGGACGGATGGTTTGGTCTTTATTCTTCACAAAGAAAATACTAGAAGCAGCAGGAGAGGTCGAGGGTCTGATGAACCCTTTGCGTAAATTTTCATTAAGATATTCTTTTAAAATTTCTAACTCCTTTTCAGAGAGTGGATAAATATGACCATAAGGAATAGGAGCTCCGGGTATGAGATCTATTGGGCAATCATATAGCCGATGAGGAGGAAGTGTTTCCGCTTCTTTTTTACAAAAGACATCTGCAAAATCGGAGTAGAATGGAGGTATAACTGGTTCTACAGTAGTTTGGAGAATAGGAATGTGTTGTAAGCACGTTTTTTTACAGAAATCAGAAGCAAAGGAGATGGAGAAGGGAGACCACTTAATTAAAGGATCATGGTTTTTTAACCAATTAATTCCTAGAATGACGGGATGAAGTGGAGATTTAATAATATCAAATGTAATGAATTCGAAATGTACGTTGTTGGTAATCATTCTTAGAGGGATTGTTTCATCTTTGATGGGTCCTGAGGATATAAATGAACCGTCAATAACTCTGATTGGAATAAAATTGGTTTTTTGAACACAAGGAATTTTATTTTTTGAAACAAAAGAAAAATCAAGAAAAGTTCCATTAGCACCAGAATCAATGATGGCCTCAGTCACGATTCTTTTTGTATCCCACTGTAATATGAGAGATATAGAAAAATAAGTAGATGCTTTTCTTTTTTGAAAAACGTTCAATATAGAGGTAGATGAATGAAGCTTACCACCTTTTGAATGTTTCAGTAGAGGACATTCGGAAATTAGATGTTCGTTCGAAGCACAATACATACATAAGTTTAGTTGTCTCCTTCTTATTCTTTCTTCAGAAGTAAGAGGACTTTTTATTATACCTACTTCCATAGGTTCAGTTTGTGGAGGAATTTTTTCAGGTAGTTTTAGAGTAGTGAAAGGTTTTCTCCAGGTAGAATTAGTAAGAACCCTTTCAGCTTTTCTTTCTCTTAGACGTCTATCAATACTGATAGACAGTTGAATCAATGCATTTAAGGTAGGAGGAAGTTCTGTACGAGAGAGTTCATCTTTCACAGCTTCAGATAATCCGAGACGGAATTGATTGCGTAAAGTAATGTCATTCCATTGGGTTTCTGTAGCCCATCTTTTGAATTCTGCAATATAATCTTCAACAGGTCTATTCTTTTGGTGTAATGTTCTGATGGTTAAATCAGCAGTAGTTTGTTTAAAAGGATCTTCATATAATAAAGACATAGCTTCAAAGAACTCATCCAATGAATCCAATATGGGATCATCATTTTCCAAAAAGGAATGGGCCCATGCCATAGGTTCACCTCTTAAAAAAGAGATCACTGAACAGACTTTGGATCTTTCGGTGGGATAAGATCTAGGTTTTAAAGCAATTAGTAGTTTGCAAGAATTCAAAAACTCTCTGTACTTTGTTCTATCTCCATGAAATTTTTCTGGATTACAGACAGCAGGATCACCAGCCGATTGAAGAGCGGCATGAGGAAGATGACCTTGAATGTCTCTAACATAGGTTAATATTCTCTCATTTGTAATTTGCAGTTCCTGTAACCCTTGAGCAATCGTATCCACTCTATTGGTTAGGGCAGAAACTTGAGAGTTAATATCTGCTGGTTCCATTGAATTTGCTGGATTATTCTGTAATACTTATTTTGTAATATTTCTTTAATTGGAACTCAACTGCAGCATTTCTTGGTTGCAACAACAATAAGGTTCACCTCCTTTTATATTGGTATGAAACTATGGTCACTGTACCTTTAAATATCCATGTAGGTAAAATTAGGCTTTGTAGCAATCCCTTATGAGTAAGAGGAATAATTAGACAAAGTGACACTTTAGTGAGTTTTAGATACTGTGTAATATAAATAATAGTAATTGACTTGTTTGGTAAAAGTATTACTTAACTTAAAGGCAGTTCTGGCACTGGAAGGGTTAATTCACCCAATGAAGGAGAAATTAGAAGTCCGTTTCAACAAGCTGAGAACTAGGAGTGGAGAGTGGGGAAGTCCGTTTTAACAAGCCGAGGTCTGGGAGTGGAGAAGGTAGAATTCAGAGTTACAAGCCGAGGTCTAGGAGTGGAGAAGGTAGAAATCCGTTTACAAGCCGAGGTCGAGAAGTGGAGAAGGTAGAAATCCGTTTACTAGCCGAGGTATAGAAGTGGAGCAGGTAGGATCAGAAGTAGAGCAGCTGATCTTCATGCAGCACCTGTGCGAATAATCCAGCCCTTTGAATCTGGCGCGGTCCTCCTAAGTATCGTGGAGGGACCGCGTCAGAGAAAGGGGCGGGGCTGAGCGCCGTGAACCCGGAAGTGGGTTCCGGCGATAAATTACATGCCATGCTATACCTGACAGTCCCGATGTGCAGTTCACTGTGGTTTCGGGTCGTCAATGCTGCATGAGGGCATTAATTTTCGCGGAGCTAGATGAGCATGCGACCGCTCTCGTTCACGTCCAGGCCACGCCCCCGACTTACACATTTCAACCATCCCACAATGCATCACAATCCCTCCTCTCTGTCCTGGAGATAATTGGGAAGTAATCCAATTATCTCCAAGGACAGAGGCAAAACTCCATTACACACATTTTCAGTAAAAGACATAAAATTACACAGTCACATTTATGACATAAAACATATACATTCTACATATCCCCAGATAGCTTAGATCTGAGCGCACATTACTACCGAATGGCGCTCAGATCACATACATACATTTCAATCGCCATGGAGCCAAAGTCTTTCACATAGTCTTTCGTTACACGAATAGGCTCCATGGCTTAGCTATCTGGAGTGATGCTGTTCATTCGGTTCTGCTACCAAATGAGAAGGTAAGGAGGCTGGCGGCTCAGCGGTGTTCGCACCAACAAGTGTCCGTTTTCAGTTTCATAGTTTTGGCACTGAACACCGCTGGCTGTTCGGGAGGAAAAATGGCCGCTGCCACCCAGCGTTCATCAATTAAGCTGCGGTTAACCGCAGCTTCTTGGCGGTCAATTGATGGCACACTCCAGTTCCCAGGTGGTCCATCGTTCGGTAGTTTGTTCGGTAGATTCCATCTACCGAACACCCCGGCAGAAAGGCATGAATAAACCTTTCAGCAGGGAAAATAACACGTCTGAACTGCAGGGCCATAGTCTAAAGGGAGCAGGCGAGCAACCAGGCTTCTCCAGTGCATAGTGGCGAGGTTGGTTCCGCCACAATTGTATATTCCTGCTAACGAACAATAGCACATAGCAGTTTGTACTGACCCTCTATGCATTTGTATAGCTCTATTATATCCCCTTTGACACGTTTTTTTTCTGAAGAAAACCGTTTTTCTAGCCTTTCTTAATAGCTTATGTTTTTTATTTGATCCCCCATATTTTTTTTTTTTCTAATTCTACACTATCCTTCTTTAAAACTGTTGCCCAAAACTGCACAGCATATTCAAGGTGGGCTATTTATATTGATTTACAAAGAGTCATAATTATATTTTGGTGTCATTAATCAAAATCTTTTTATACATGGCAGCACCTTACTGGCAGGCTGGCATTGCATACTGATGCGTAGTTTTAATCTATAATGGTTCCCAAGCCTTTTTTTTTTTTTTTTTAATGTAACTAGACCACATTAAATGTATAAGTGGCTCCTGTATCCTTTCCATACTGCATGACTTTGCATTTATCTGCATTGAATCCCACCTGCCATTTGCCTGCTCGGTCCTCCAATGTATCCTACCTCTATAGAGAATTTGTCATATTCAGATAGTATTGTCTTACCTAGTGTGGTGCCATTTCCAAACACCGACAAATGACTTTCAAATTCTACTTGAAGGTCATTTATTAACATATTAAAGAGAAGTGGACAAGTGCATTTTCCATTTACAACTACTCTGTGCACTCTATCTTTAAGCCAGTGTAATATCCAAGATCCAATTTCTTTTTTTTTTTTTTGTCTAAACCAACTGGTTTCGGTTTTACTAGTAACCTTTTGTTTGGAACTGTATCAAATAGGGATCGACCGATATTGATTTAAAAAAAAATAATAATTTTTTTTTTTTTTTTAGAGCAGGTATCTATAATCTGAACTTTCAGGCCGATAGCTGATAACTTACCGATATTCTGTACATTTACCATTTTAAAAAAATAAACAATTTCTACACAAATCTACTGTTAACTGAACATGTTTATTATGTATTTATTTTTTGCAGATCTTTTTTTTTATTAAGGTAAATGCACAAAATGTACATGCCAGTCAGAATTTTTCATGTTTTCAAGAATATGTGTGTGTGTGTATAATATATGCAGTAAGAGTGTTTGATTAGTGAATACAGTGTGTGTGTGTTTTGTGTAGTGGATGCAGTGTATGTTTGTGTAGTGTGTGTATAGTGAATACAGTGTATGTCTGTGTAGCTTGTGCAGGGACGTATTAGCCGCGAGCCAAACAAGGCATTTGCCTTGGGCAGCATTTTCCGGGGCGGCAAAAAAAGCTGCCCCCAAATGTCTTATTAACCTGGCGGCTAACTAAAAATCCTGTTGGGCGGCCCTGGCGAGGGAGCACTGATTAGTGAGCTCTCTGCTCAGCTCCCTCACGCGCCGCAGAGTGATGCCGGGAGCTGGAATATGACGTCATATTCCGGCTCCCGGCATCACTCTGCGGTGCGCGAGGGAGCTGAGCAGAGAGCTCACTACTCAGTGCTCCCTCGCCAGCGCTGCCTGCCTGACCGACCAACAGCTCCACCGGACCCCAGGGAAAAGAGAACCCCACTGCCCCCCAGCATTCCCAAAGGTAAGGAGGCTGGGGGGTTGAATAAAAAAAAAAAAAAAAGTGAGTGTGTGAATGTGTGTGTCTGTTAGTGAATGTGTGTGTCTGCTAGTGACTGTGTGTGTCTGTTAGCTAGTGTATGCGTGTCTGTCAGTGAGTGTGTGTATTTAGAAGGCGGGGCAGGAGGAAGGGTGGGGGTGGGGGCTAAGTTTTGTCATGCCTACGGCAGCACAAAACCAGGATACACCACTGAGTGTGTGTATATAATGAATGCAGTGTGTGTGTTTTTATGTAGTGTGTGTATAGTGAACGCAGAGTGTGTGTTTGTGTAGTGTGTGTAAAGTGAATGCAGGGAGTGTGTGTATAGTGAATGCAGAGTGTTTGTGCAGTGAGTGTTTGTGTAAGTATGTAATGTTTGTGAAATGGGGGGTGTGGGGCATTTTAATGTTTTTAAATATTTAATTTTTTTACATTTAGTTTTAGTCCCCCCTCCGTGCAGCTCCCCTGTCTAACTCTCGTGGCCTGCGTGCCGCGCGGAGCGTTGCCATGGTAACCTGTGGCAACACTTTGATGGCAGCAGGATTCACGAGAGTTAGACAGGGGAGCTGCTGGGAAGGTAAGTAAGCGTGTGCTGGGCCCCAAGGACCTTGATGGTGGCCCTGGTATGCATTATCTGGTATGATTCCTGAAAGAAAGATTTAAAAACGGTGGTATGGATATTTTACACTGTCGGGGCTCAACAAATCAATGCATCTCTATGAGGAAACGCTGATTAGCCAGTGCTGTGTTTGGCTTGTGCTGGCTCTGCCCCTGATTTTGCCTTCTTGACAATCTCAGCCAATCCAATGCTTTCCTATGGAAAAGCATTGTGATTGGCTCAGATCACCACTTCTGATGATGTCAGCCAAGCAGAACCAGCAGCAGCAGACTGGAATAAACATAAGATGTTACTATATTTAGGGGGCCAGCAGGGGTTAGATGGCGTTTTTAACCTGACCCTATAGTGTTTCTTCATAACTATTTAATTGCTGTAGCACTTTATACTGTGTTAACAATAACCTGTTTGTTGTAAGGCTTTTGTAACAGATTTACAAATCTGCAGCCATAGATTCTTCTTTCTATATACAGAAGAAAATAAATTATTTGGCACTTCTCCCTTGTCCTAAACCTCCTTTATGAACAAACCCATCTCAGATTTCAATTCACCAACACTTTCACTCTTAACAATTTTGTCATTAATATACTTAAAACATGTGTTTGGGTTAGTCTTGCTTTCTTTGGCCATAGTCTTTTTCATTTTCAAGTTTAACCCATCTTACTGCCCTTTTGCAAGCCCTATTGGAATATTTATATGTGTTACAAGATGCAATTGCTCATCTGATTTTCAACCCTATACAGTAAATTGTACTATGGTAATTGTAATATTTAACAATTCTTATACTGTGTATCTATAAGGAATAAGTGCTATCATAAATCGAGGAGTCTGAGTAAAGGGTTTTGTGTAGTCCACAGGCCTGGTTTCCTATGATCCATGTTCATGTTTAAATACACTTTCCATGTAATGTGACAATGTTTAAACATAATGCTATTTACATTCAGCTTTATGTTGGATATCTCCAGTTTTTATCTCTAATATAATAACGGGTAAATTTGACTCACTTGCTATTTAATACCGTGGACCTTGCGAGTAAACACTTTATATCAAAGGATTACTCCATTCATCATGACCACTTCAGTAATTTGAAGTGGTCATGGTGGTAGGAGTCAGTATATGCAATGTTGAATCACTGCACTTACTTAGATATTTAATTGTGCGCTGGGGGCTAATTGTACACCCAGCACACATGACTTTGGCAGCCCAGAACTCTGTTCCACCTGCCAGTGTCAATTCTGTGCATAGTTTTAATCTGTCAGCGTGCTGGAGACAGATGTGAGCTTCTCCCTTGCGGGATTGAACTGCGTAAGACCCCTGTGACGTCAGATGGGGGTGCGGTAGTCACCTGTGCCTGCGCTTGATTCCAGGTGGGGGTTGGGGACCTCTCTATAGTGCCCAAGAAAGTGCAGTACACTTTGGTTAGGGTAACTCTTTCTATCTTGGTCAACCAATTTTTTTTTATTTATTTTTTTTAAATCTAAACCTTCTCCCCTCAGACTGATCCTTCTATGCTGATAACACTTCTCCTTGTTAGAGGACTTGTTAAGGGGAGTACATAGGCAGCAGGTAGAGGGAGGCTGTGCTGGCATTGGACACTTGTTTCCAGCATGCTGACAATAGACATCCAATATGCACAGAACTAACATTAGCCAGCCAGGAATTCTTGTTACAGGCCGGGTATTGACGCCCCAATGCCACTGCATTACACCTCTGCTAGCAGAGGGGTTAAACTCTGTATATGTAGTGTTTTATAGCTGCATGTGCATTCCGGGCTTTTGCAGTAACCCCCAAGTTAAAGGGACACTATGCATCCAGACCACTTCAACTCCTTGAAGTGGTATGGGTGCAGTGCCCCTGTTCCCTTAACCATGCAATTGTAATTATTATGGTTATTGATAAACTGCAATAAATTCTTTGCAGGGTTAACTTCACCTCTAGTGGTGGTCTTTGGTCCGCTAAATGACCCTCGACGTCGTCACGCTTTGCATGAGGACATCCAGCGTTGGTAAAAACTCTAATCCTTGCTGTGCATGTGCATTAGGTCCACCCTGTCGAGCTAGGAAAATATCCCCATTAAAATGCACAGGAAATTCTACCCCAGCAATGCAAGTACATTTAGAAAAGTTTTTTTTTTTTTTGTTTTTTTTATTCTACAAGCAAGCAGTTTTTGTTGTGTTTATTTGGGGGGAGTGTCTATTTGCATGTGTTTTTTTTATATTTGTTGAAATGCAATTAATTTTAACAATTTTATACCCAGATACTGTGGAATGTTAAAATGATGTTACATACATCTCATGCTGACCAGGCTGACCCTGCCGAAACTGAACTAACCCACTACTGATCGCAATTCTTGACAGTTTGCATGGAAGGTTTTGAGTTGTATTGGTTTAATTGTCCTTTTATTTTTTTTCTTTAGATTTAAATATAAAGCAGGAACAAGATTGACAACAAAGAATAATGGTAATCACAAGATACTTTCAAACACTGCATTATAGGAGACAGAATATCCACATCATAAGAAAATATAGATCGCACATTATGAACGATGTTATTTATTCTATCAAGACTTACAGAAAAATCCACTTTGCTGCTAGCTACCCTGAATAGCCCACATCCCTCCAGCACTGCAAAGGAAATGGTGCATTACTGGCGGGGAGGATGCATTCTGGACATAGGTTTGTCTGCTTCACAATACTAAGTAAACAGACATTACACGGTTTGGTACTCATGCCAAGGATTCTTAAGTAATCAATATTTCACTGTAGCATTAATTGTTTGAAAAGAGAAGCTGCTGAGCAACAAAAAGGCTCTTGATGTATAATTGATTCTGTATCTGACATTACTGTCCATTATACTATAATATGGATTTTGCTAGCACCAGAACATTTACCGGTAACTTTTTTTTTTTTTTTTTTCGTGGTTCTGTCCTATGAAGATTCTGGTAATGTGATGGGGTATCTTCCAGAATGAGTATTTGCTAAAAGGTTTTTAATTTTTCTATTGTGTACATTGTTTTATAAATAAGACTCTGTGTGCACACTAACTCTTTATGCCATGGGATATAATCCACATATTCAATGTTAAACAGTGTAACTAAAAAGCTTTGCATCTTCCTGATCACTTTAATGAAAGGGTAGGGGACTGCAAAGTACTGTGGTTCCAATATCCCAACACTTCTCAAGCACTGTCTGTAGTCCTTAACAGCACGGACCACCTATATCATGCTTTTTTACAATCATCCCAAAAAAATGAAAAGCATTCAGTACAAATTAAACAGGCCATACTTGCTCCACACTGTTTTACACACAAAGCTGTATCAAAACGAAGTGTTCCACTCATTGGACTCAGTTTATAGCTGGACTGTGTAGAGCTATAAGGAGGTATGATTATGGTCCTTAAGAGGTTAAAGATCAGGAGAATACTGAAAATCTGAACATGTTTTATACACACACTTTTGTGTGAGGCCATTTGGGACATGGCCTATATATCTTTTATATCAGATGATCCTTATTTATACCCAGGGCTCCCACAAGAACTCTCGGGGACTCCTTACAAAACTATTGGCTGGGCCCCACCAACACACTATAGCAGGCTCACACACCTATACACACATATACATAGCACAGGTATACAATAACACACACATATATGCGTGCACAAGATTGTACATATTGTAACAGATGCACACTGACACGAAGATACATTATAACACACACACACACGTATTCCGTTACACACAGCCATACACATATAATATCTGGTGCATGCACACACAAGTCAAGTTCTGTTTTAGCCACCTCTTTTCCTTCCTTTGGTGCTGGGAGGGTGGCTGTCCTCGGGTATGGTGGGGCTACAAACTCTGTTGGCTCTCCTGACATCACTTCTTCTCAGCGCTGCTGCCCAGGAGAGAAATTGGGGCTGTCAATACAGCTTTTGAAACCCCCTTCACCTAAATTTCAGGTTGCAGTCTGACTAGGGGAGTATATATATCTCTCCATCCAGACCACATACCACTAGCAGGCCATAAACCACAGACTGGCCCCACAAGGAAGTATCAGCTGTCACCAATAAATGGCAACCCTTTTCATACCACATTAACTGACTCACAAAGTGCCATTTTTATACTCTAAGAGTATTATGCCTGCAGCTTGAAACAAATGCAGTACAGCTCTTCAAGTCGTGCTACTTAGTAGTCTGGTTAAAGTTAAGTTAAATATTTGCTGTAGCTCTTCCAGTCTCGCCCAATCTTAACTGGGTTAACAGTAAGTGCTGCATGTTTGTGTATGTAAATTGTACATAAATGGGTCAAAATGTGAATACACTGGCATAAACTTTTCACTTTTTGTCCCACTTTGGGTTTTGATCTTGTGAGTGCTTATTTCTTCCCCTATTACTATGTGCAGTTTAAATCTGCTATTTGACATCTAGCCATCTCTATCGGTATCCTCATGGGTACCATACTATATTTGTATGTTTGCATTTTGAGTTTTTGCTAAAGTTTTATTTAGGGAAAAATTTATTTTGTTTAATTTGGTTAATATAATAATAATAATAGAATCTAGAAAACCAACTTTGTATATTTGTATGGAAATGTAAATCTGTGTGTGACTTTTTTTCATTTATGTTTCATAACATACAAAGACTTTCAATTAATTGCATGTCAGTGAACTTTTGGATTCAGTATTGGCCTTTCTTGGAGTCTTGTCAAATCCCGTAGTTTTTTTTTGTTTTTGTTTTGTTTTGTTTGAAGACTTCTACAATAAAATAGCGAAAGTAAGGCTTAATGGAGAACCATCCATTTTTATGATCATATTCCTATATTTAAAGGGACACTTCAAACCCTTTTCGGTTACTTACTCTATAAAAGTACTGATTTCAAGACAAAATCGGCACTTTGAATGCTGACAAGGTGCACCCTAGGAGCTTTATAAAAGTGCCAGGATTTGCTCTTTCTGATGACTTTATGCTTTAGCCCAAAGTAAGAAGGCATTGTTCCTCACTGAGATTTATTTGATTCCATGCTTCTCTATGCAGAGCAGTCCTGGCACATCGCAGTGGCTGCTGTGATTGCACAGTGTTGATGAGTGCTTCTTTGTGAGAATCATTATATTGTTTAGGAGATCAGTACCTATGATCTCTCAGCGACAGAGCTGCAGCATTGAGACTCCCTTGCCACTGTATTAGAGGTAAGTAACCCCTTTATTTTACAGATCCTTTGAAGAAAATGGGTCCAGTAGACTCCAATTACATTTAAATCTTGATATCCACTAAGCAATACAACCCTTTAACAAGATTATAAGCATGCTTATACTAAATTTTAATATACGTTTGAAAGAAAACTTTTAAATGTAACCTCACATTAAAGGGGCACGCCAACCCAGGCACTAGTAATACAGATTTTGGCTTGGGGGCTATGATAGATGAAGTGGTTATGGGTTGTGGGATGTTCCTTAAAAACAGTTATAGGTGATTTTCTATGTTTTATACAGTGGTGTAATTTCCCGTATAATAAACAGTTACTTGAAAAAATAATTTAATTACATTATTTTTGATAAATATAAATTACAGATGCTTAGACTGAGTGTTCTGTCACTAGCAAAGTGTTAATTTAAAGGGCTCCGCACTCACATAATATACAGTTCAAAGCTACTTAAAAATCACCCATCTCAAATACAAGAATGGATAGCTTGTCAAACCGAATTATTAATACTACCTCTAGTAATAAGCCTAATGGATAGATGAGAAGAATATGCAAAAAAAAATAAAGTTTCTGACCAATCATGAGCTGCTCATTCTGGTCTTTTGGATTTCAATATACCATATGTGATCGATCGGCCCCAGCCACATAACGTGGGCAGTTTGGCTGGCAACAGAATAATTAGAACTTCATCCTTTGACATCAGAGAGAGTAGACCTAGCTGCAATATTTTTTTCAGGGAAACCTTGACCTTGCCCTATAACCTATTCAATAAGTTGTTGTTTTTTTTCATAGTGACTCAAATAACATACATGACCTAACCTTGGTAACCCATTATTCAGTTGTGATTCAATCTTCTACAGTTATGATGCAATATTTCTGCAAAATTTCCCCACTAGAGTGCCACAGGCCATACAATTAGGGACATATATATAAACCGTTATCAGGGGTCTGATGAATTTGAAGGGACTGTTCCAACCACTGAGGACCCAATGAAATGGCACAGGAAACCCCGATTTTGGTTTCAGACCTATGAGTTAAGAACCACTGACTTTATGCTATGAGCATAGATTACAGTGCTTGATTTGTGACCATTTCAAAGAACATGTTTCTGCATCCTGTCCAGTTTAAAATCAGAGTTTTCCAGTATCCACATGGTACTTCTTGGATACTAGGCTGGTGTTCCTTACTTTATAGTTTGTATCCTTTACTGTTTTAACTGTTTAATTTTATGGAATTGCTGTGGAACGTGCAGGCAACTTGTGTGAGTATCCAAGCTGAAGTGTGAATTAGTTTGGTGAGCTGTGAAAAAGAATAATGAACTCAGAAATGAGTTCCTCTGTGCTCCCTGTCAATTATTGTTAGAATCTCCTGTTCTTCCTACCTGGCAGTCAGCATAGAGGAAGCATATTTGCAATGTGAGCCCTGACAATCAAACTGGGTATCATGTGGTAAAGAGGTTAACATTAGTTGAAGGTTTTTCAATGTTTGTTCCATTGGGTAATTTCCAGAAAAGCGACTGTTCCCCTTTAATTCAGTTAAGAGGATGAATTTAGGTTTGTCAGTATCCTTGTTCTTCCTTTAATAATTAACTGTATATTATTGGCATGCTTTTTTATTTTATTAAAGGAACACTCTAATCACCAAAACCACAATAGCTCATTGCCAAGAGTGCCCGGTCACTCCTTCATTGTAAGGAGTCAGTTTGTTTCTGGGCAGTTTGACGTCTTTCCCGAGTTCTGCCACCTTCTCCCCACCTTCACTACCAAAGTCAGAAAGCTTGAGGTTCCTGTGAGTGAACTTGAAAGTGGAGGCCGCGAGCCGCGCCCAACAAACCACAGTTAAAAATTCAAACACGTGAGCTATGGTCGTTATGGTTCTCGGAGTGTACTTTTATGTTTTTCTTTTCCTATAAAATAATTATCTCCGTGTGTGCTAAAGTAATGTATAACTGAATTGCTGAGAGCCATAAACCAACCTTGTCGGAAATCTATCATGTTATTAGTGTGAATAGAACGGATTAAAAAAAAAAGAAAATGTTGTAGCGAATGAAACGTTTGTTTTTGTTCCTGCAGAAATTGCCACTTAAGTTGCTCTTTGTTTTGGATTTTATCATCTTGTCCCCATTTTATCTTTGTACACAATGTATATGTCATGTTCCCTGAATTACATTCCATAACTCGCTGACTGCAAATAAATTAATTTCTATTTTTTTTCAAAGTAAAAAAAAGCACCTTGTATTTTAAAAAATAATAATTCAGAAAATACTGTTAATTAAACTTTAATTTGTAATTATTT